GCATATGTTGGAGATCCGTAATGACCTTGCCAGATTGCTTGGTCTAAATGAAGCGAACTCCGCGGGTCAAATGCCGTCCTTGGATGAGCCATTTCTTAGAGTGAACCTTGCATAGAATGTCCTCCCCTTGCAGCAGGGTGTCTCTCTAAGGTGCATGAGTACTGCTGTTGCCGAAGGTCCCAGAATGAGGGAACACTTACGTACATGGAACACTCACGTATATAGCGAAGCAACGAAGGCAAAGACCAAAATGGCATCATCTGGACCGTCGCTAATCACTGAATGATCGCTTACTCTGTCGTGAAGCTGCGTCCCTCAATTGGAGCCGAATGGGGACATTTCAGTCTCGAAAGTGCAGATCGCACGTCAAGTCATCGGAGCTACTCCCAGTTGAACCCTGGCGTTGCATTTTGGCTACTACACCTCCACACCTCCTATAGAAAGATTGGAGGTCGAGATCTCACGGGACCTAGCTGTTCAGCCTCATCCTTTGCCTGTGATGAGCTGTGTCTTCTCATGACAAGGTTCGCATAGTCTTAAGAACTACTTGTAACGTTCGCAACGCGTTCAAGAAACCATGTTATTGAAGCTATTAAGTCTCCTGTTACCCCTCATCATCGCCAATTATCTGTCGACGATGGCAACTAGGATGAAATTCCTTTTCTTACCTAGTATGCCTCATGGAGGCTACTTCTTCGACTCGGGTAAACAAGCTCACTGGTCCGCTTTGAACCTTTCATGCTCTTCATTAGCCTCTTCTTGCTGCTCCTGGCCCCAACTCGCTCCTTGTTTTCCTATAGTCTTCTGCTTAATTCCATGCTGACGTAAGATGCTCTGTAGCACGACCTACCTTGAGTCTTCTGTCGCAGATGTTCTCATCCAAACAGATCCGTCCGTCAAGTAGCTACTTGACGTCGCCATCGCGCCTGGCGCCGCCTTCGTAGCGTCCAAATATAGCGACGAATAAACTTAGAGTTCGTAAGACGTTCTCCTCATTCTCTTCCCGATGCCGTTGTTCTCTTTTCTCTCTTCGAGCTCTCTTTATACCTTGCCCGCCTATCTTCCAAATGTTCCTCTTTTTCTTGAATGTCACTCTTTCACATTCTATCTTCATTCTTTCTTACTCCTGGCGATCACGTCCCATGCCGATAGTGTGAATACAGGTCATAATCTTGCCCCCACCTATGCGCATTTAAAACTACGGCTCGATGGTCACTCCCACTCAGGCGACCAATTTCATATATGCCTTAGTCCAACTCTCTTCATCGCATATTTCGCTGTTCTAGATTAGGGTTCTCTCTGCTGGGGTGGAGGAGCCGATAAAGGATTTCAAAGCCTCGTGCAAACCATGCTTGCGAATAGTGAGATTGAGAAGAGTAATAGTTGCTGAAGGGATGGCTGGGAAACCTCCGCAGCGCTTTTCGGCGTAAATAACGGCCATCTCATAATATGTAAAGAGGGAGAGCATGTCGCTTGGAATAAGGCAATGGCGGAGACTGGCGGATACCTGGGGCTGACGGACAAGCTGAGGCAACAACTCGATGAAATGGAGCAAGGGGCAAAGATAGTAAGTACAGCTTTCTGTGTCTCTGACGTTGCATTATACATGGCATTATATGCCTTTGTACATGGACTATGAATACAAGTGAGGGCCGCTATAGTAATGAGAACTTATTACCCAATACAATTACATCTCCCTGAACCCTTACGTTCCCAACGAATGGGTCGTTATTCTGGGCGGACGGATCTATCTCGCACAATCTCTCACCTTCGTTTGTATGTCTTATCGAGCCCGCGATGGAGTACCTAAGCAACCGCCCTGGATTGAGGCCCGCAACCCAACTCCTCAACATCCCCATCTAGAGACCCTTCTTCTCCCTTAACGCCAACAACCACAGCACCAACCGCCAAGCTCTCACCCGTGTATTAGCGAATGCAACAGTCAATTCCGCCGTTTTCTTCCACACCTTCTCTATTACTATGACCTCCCGCACAACTTTTATCAGCTTACGAACAAATGCAAGCATTGTTATTAGGGCAATTATATAGCATCTCTCCTTCTTGTCCACCTCTAGTCACTACGCAGAGCGCGCCAACCCCCTCCTCTCCGAAGAGCTCTCGTACACCAGGATTCCGGAATCCAACCTTTTGGCAGCAATGGTCAGCAAGGTCTTCGGGCCAGCAACAGCCGCAGCAGCATTCAGCATCACCCCTAGCGTTGACCCAAGAAACACCACCGCAGCAGTAGGCACCGTCACCGCCCTTGGCCCAGCAAAAATCTTTAACTCAACAATGGACACCACTGCTGTCAACCTTTCCACAACAGCAAACCTTCCTACTACCGCAATAACAACCTTACGACGCCTCGAACGCTCAGATGCTGCAATGGCTCAAGGTATACTAAGAAAGTATGGATCGAGCCACTCAAGCCAATTTCCAGGCCATGCAAAGCGCTTACAGTGGTGGTACAGTGGACCCCACTGGGATGAAGAGTGGCGGGGGTGGAGGCGATCCATTCGGTATGATTACAGGAATGGGGATGTCGGGGGCCGCGATAATGGGAGGAGCGGGATATGTGGATCCTACTGGAGCGAGCTACGGGTGTTCGGTTATATAAGCAGGATTATTGGATTTGTAGAGGGAGGTGGTCAAGAACAAGAGTTGACCTTTGGGAGACGGAGGGGAGAGGGTGCTAAGATGGTTTTAGACAGGGAAAAGGCGAAGGAAGATATTGATAATTATAACGAGTGTTAGATCTGATGCAATATTAAAGGTGCTTGTAATCGTATAATGAAGTGAAGATATTGTAACAATCCAAGGCGCTAGTATTGTCAATTTCGCCTTCATCGATAAGTGCGTGCTAATTGTACATCAAGACGGTGGCTTCAAGTGGCATCCTCATCCATACCCCTATGGGCTCACTGCTCAATGTTATTAGCGAATCCAGGCCTCTGTGAAACTTAGTCGAGCGAAAGAGGTGCTAAAACGTAATAAGATTTACTCCAACTCATCGTTATCACATATGCACGCTCTGCGGCCTTGCTTGGAGTTAATGCATAGTAAGTGCCTCGTTGTGTCTACTAAAGAAAAATTAAATCACTGAGGATTCATTATGCAGCCTGCTGTTAGCGCCAACAAAGCGTATTTCTTTTTCAAATATCCCCTAAAAGAGCAATTATTCTACTGATAAGGCTGTAAGCAATAGCGCTAGTGAATACAGAGTATAGCTTCTCAGAGGCAAAACAGCTTTCAGGACGAGACGAGTGCTTGCAGAGATAATAATAATGTTTAAGAGAAAACAATGTGTTCTTAGATCAATAAACTGCATTTGAATGCCCTCTTTGCTGTCGTTCCCACCAACAAGAGCTCTCCTCGCCGTCGTCTACGCATTCTAAGTACTGACTTGCTCTTTACGACCCAGTGTAGCTGCGGACGGCGTCCAAGTAATCCTAGCATTGACTTCATCGGAGCTAGAGCAAAGTGTCATAGGCTCAGCCACAAAGGGAAACGATATAAGTGACTCTCGGCTCTGACTAATTCCTGCTCACGCTCTCATCATGCCCATTTCGGCTCCTCCTACTTTGCCAGTGCCATTGAGGTTGCTCTCTGCCTGTAGCTTCACCGTCAGACATTTTCGCAGCTGGCGCAGCATGAGCAGGTAGGTCTACGAAACAAGCTTCCTTCTTCGACCAGCCGCCGACTGTCTCTTCGAGCTGGGTCTTCTTGCTCAGGGCTGTTGAACGTTTCTTTTCAATAGAATTGTTCTCTGCCTTGTAGCTCCATCCTTATCCTTAAACACTTGCACAGGGTGTATAGTGATGCTGAATCGGATGCTCTATCTCTCTTGCGTCATGGTATTGTGTCAAAATGGCTCCAAGGAAATGAAGAGTGTCAATCCCATCATGACCAACAGCAGACTTCGAAATTGGCTTGCTTTTGCATTGTGAAAGGGAGCCAGTCGACACTTGCCCCGTCAATAGGACCTTGTTCGTTGACTAAAGCTTTATACACGTTAGCAACCCTGGAAAAGCTCTAACATTGAAGACCCTACCGGCATCGCCAGCGACATGCTTTTACGGTCGTGGGAGACTTCTCACGCTCGCCTTGTTCTTTATCTAAAGGCGTGCTTCTTCTGTCACTGAGATCGTGGCAGCAATGCCAGTAAAGAGACGCATAAGAAAAGCGTACGCCGGCCGGAAGTAGGATGGACAACAGTGCTATCATGAAAGGGAGTATCTAGGAGAAGTTAATTTACATAGACCGAAGGATTAGGGTTAGGATAGTTAAGAGACGCATGGATAAGAAGGCGAGAGGCCAGAGGCCATAAGCAATGAGCCATAGGTTAATGAAGGTCCATGTAGAGGAGGGAGAAGAAAACAATCGCTCGTGGTCCCACGCGCCAGATGATGATGTAGAATTCTAGGATTACGATGATGGCAGCATCTGTAGGAGGTACCAAAGGGCTACCGAAAATTCCAAAACAGAAAAAATCCTCAACAAATAAAAGCAGGTGTCGTGCGTCTATCCCCACAATCGACGCATCCTTTACCAAATTATTAACATCTCTTATCTGTTTTCTAGCTGCCCTTCCTCTCTACTCTCTGGCTTGTACGTCAAATTACATGCTGCCCGGAGACCTTAAAAGGTTGAGGATTCCTTCCAATGATCTTACAAAAGCAACGAGCCGGAACGTGGAGAGCTTAAAGATCCAGGTTGATGATTTTGTCATATATTATATTGATTCTATGTCACCAGTGCTATTTATGCACGTAATGCAAATGGGGGTATCTTATGCTATTTCATGTCCCCTGAACGCCTCGCTTCATTTATCCATCGTTCAATCAAGCAAGTATTCCACTGGCAGGTTTTATGCAGACAGACACCTCGCTTGCATGCACATTAAGAATAGTTGGAAAGTAAAATACCTCATCGTGTATGCCATCAAGCTCTCCTCGGCTGCACTCCGGTCAAGCCGCAATCTTATGCTTCCTCCCAATCGCCTAAATTCCTGCCGCTTCCACCCATCGCGCGAGCTCATTTTTCAAGCACGTGTCCTCATCCTTGAAATGTGCGATGGCGTCGGTATATTTGATCGTGTCGAAGTAGTTTTGCAGGACAACTTCGACATGGGCGAGACCTGTGTAAGGATCTTCTGGGATTGCAATTATGTCAGCGCTAGGAGATTGTATTGCTTTGATCGGCTTCGACAACTGGTCTTGCTTTGAAGGCGCAAGGCTCTTGGTTGGTCGCCGCTTGATGTTGGGGGATACCGGTTGAAGGGGAGAGCGTTTGGAGGCCAGCTTGGCGTTTATCTTGGTGGGCGAAGTGGGCTGAACATTCACGCCGACGTTAGAGGTAAGAGTGCGGGTGCTATCGCAAGCTTCTTTGTGGGTCGCGGTGGGTGAAGACTTAGTGACACTCTCGTCGTGGCGGTCAACTTCATCAATCCAGATATTCGCATGAGTCCCTTGCGTGATTGGCTTTCCAAATTCGCAGCCATGGTTCTCTTCGTCCTCGTCCTCCACGGGGTTAACACTAACTGTTGCAGCTTCGACTTCTAGCTTTGTCACGCGTAGATTCTGTATCTGAGGCTGGGGTCTGCTGGGCCCGAAGCACACAGACCTCTCAAAGTCAATAAAGAAGATCGACTTGCTCTGCTTATCCCACAACAAATTGCGCATTGCCACATCGCGTTGGACAACTCCACCACGATGTAGCCCCTTGAAGGCTTCTTTCGCCTGCTCTGCAATCTTGATCCTGCTGTCGGTGGGCAGATCGATGTCTGGCGGGAGGCGGTGGAGCGGCTCTCCAGCATAAGACATGAACATCATATGCGTTAAACGGGAGCGCGCTGAATACGGATATGCCCATTCAAGGTGGATATTTCCAAGACAAACCGGGATGCTGGTGCCTTGAAAGGACGCAAGATGATCGTAAACGTTCCACTCGTGAATCAAGTCAGACACCCACACTTCTCTAGTCCCTTTGGCGGACACGGTGTAGCCGTGGGAGCTGAGAGTTACTTTGAACATGGCGCTGCGAGAACCACTGATTAGTCGGTCCTCCACGTCGGTGTCAAGATCCACGGCAAGCTGCGATTGTATCCTCTCCAGGAACGAGGATTGCGTAATGGTATGGCGACGAACACCGGAGTTTGCAGCGAGATGTTTATCGAAATTGGGGCACGTATCGTCGAGTCGAGTGCCGCGTAGCAACCCGAGCAAGCAAAGTTGACTGCAGTAGGAGCGGTATTGACGATTGTGCCTATTTGTGCCGGATGGTTTGCTGACTTGTCCTTTCTTCGCTTGCGGAGGGGGACAGGGAGAATCTAGTAAGCTTTGGTCATACTTGTCCTTGAATGAGTCCTTGTACTTGTGATAGGGGTCATCATCTTCATCATCATCATCACCCTTTTGGCACTTTGACTCTGGTGCGCATGAGGTCGATGAAGATTTCAGTAAGCCTCTAGAGCGGAGACAATACGGCGACCTGTCGTCGCGACCAATGAGCTTTCTGCGTGCCTTGTAGGCCGAGGGTCTTCCCTCTTCTCGAACAGTCTCCGGAATTTTGGCAAGCATTTCTCCGTAATCTTCTTCCCAGCGTTTCAGTAAGCTTTCTGCAAATCCTGTCCAGCCTGCGGGAAGCCTCGGAGATCGAATAGCTTGGAGGAAAAACATCAGCACGCGCCCAACAGCTGTCATGTGAAGAGAATTCGAATTCTTCTTCCCGTCATCGGGCTTCCAAGCGGTGCCAGCCTGTAAGTCATCCACGGGAATGCACGGATAGTAATACAAAGTGGTCGGATCATTTCCCGCAATATAGAGAAATACGAAAGTTTGCCCAGTACAAATGTATCCATGCTGCAAGCGACTGTTCACCATGTAATCGAAGGTCTGGGTCATCACAGCCGCGACGAGAAGCTCAGCGTGATCGACCACAGACTCGCGTTTTTCGACACGATTCACTACCTCCGCGAGAGGATCCATGTCCCGCAAGCCGTCATGAAGGGTGGGGATGGTCAGCTTGTGCGGAGCCTTATACTCGATGATGAAAGCCGGCGTGTTCCCGACAATGCAAATCTGATCAGCATAAGTATAGCCCTGCTTCTGGTTCTCCTGATTTGGTTCAGAACGTATGAAGCTTTTTGGTGTACGGGGCGGATTGGTGTTAGGCTCAATGGCAAGATGTTCGAGACGGGGGATAACTTCGTCCTCGTTGTCAATACTATTCCCGTGATTCTCGAAGTAGACTCTACCACCCAAATTGAAGGTGTCGGAGATTCCCTGCTGATCGCTCATTTTCTCTAAGATCTCGGTTACAGGGTCTTCTATTGTTTGCCTGGTAATTGATGCAAGGTCTGCCTCTGAAGAGATGATTCTACGCGCCACCTTGGTGCCTGTGTTCTCGATGAAAGATAGAGAATCGAAATGATTGGTCTCAAAGAAGGTGGGAGTGATCTGGGCCAGCTCGTCCCAAAGCTTTTGTTGAATATCCGGGAAGCTGTCCCATTTGCAGAATCTTTTGGGTATCAACTTGCCATTGGGACTGGTCATACGACCTCCTGTAGTTTCAGTGCCGGGGGGTTGGGATTGACGGTGATCCTGCATTGATAATTGTTGTGGACAGCATCAAGAAACGCAGGGACGGAGGTAGGCTCACGCTCCTTCTTGTATTGTGCGTTATCTGTGGTGAGCTGCGTATTGTTGGTCGTGAGCTGCGTATTGTCTGTCGTGAGCTGTGTGATCCTTGCTTCCTGTTGTTCAGACAACTTCTTGTACCATTCCAGGGTGCCTTCTTTTGGTTCTGGCTCCATCTCTTTCGGTCGACTCTCGAACTCTTGTATCACGTGGCAGTCTTCGTGTCAGTCTCACGAGCGCTGAGTGGCAGCGCTTTGATAAGCCAACAGACTGATTGAGGGGATCTGGGAGTGTCTTTGCGATTGAAGAGCGAAGGATGAGGGTGAGAACGAGCGGTCAGCTTCGAGGTAGGGTTACGTCAGAGATGAGAGGCGTAAGGTGGTACAAGGTGGAGCCAGACGTGGCTGCAAGCCTGATTGAGGCTATGTGAAGAGTGATGAGGAATGAAGGACACGAGTGAATATGAGATTATTCACGCTACCCCTCCGACATCGCTGTTGGGATCAGAGGGGTGTGTCATTGGGTTGGGTGTCGGTGAAAATTACCTGTCGCTTGCTTGTTTACGTTGGGGGTTTGTTTTGATCGGACGGAAATATTCCGTCAAACCGCGGATTCAATGACGCAATGCTGACTCAGCTACAAGTTCAAACTCAATTGAACTCTCCCTCTAAAATTCTAAAATTTCACCTCTCATGATTGACTATTTGCTGCCTTCAGAATGCGCACGACAATGGTAGAAATGCATCAAGCATTGCACACATGCGCGCATGGTTCTTTGCAGCTGAGGAATGGTCGCCTACTACGTTTTTATAATCACTCCGGCCTCGACTACCATACAGGCTGTGGCCCGGATTGAGAAGGCAGACTATGCTTACGTGTAATCACAATGAGGGTTGGTAGTGTGAGATCGAGCCATCGAAGCTTCTTCAAGCGCAAAGCAGCCCGACAGCACTCTGTGCGAGCCAAGCTGTCAACCTGCATGCTCGGGACATTCCCCACAGCGTCTCCGCTGTTACGAATTTGACGCTAGGTCGTGCCCTCCTGCCAGAAGCTGGCAGGTCTTACAAGTTTGGAAAGAAAGAAAGAACACAAAGTCTAGAAACCGAAGGTGGTCAAAGTCAGAGATACAGCCCTTCTGGTGACTTTGTTCGACGCATCTTCCCTTCAAGTCGTGGACGAGGTATTGTAACGCTAACAGTGTTGTCTCAATCCCATCAATCACAAGGTCGGTCAATTCACTCATCTTACATCTTCAGAAATCCTGTTCCTTGATTCGGAAAGTCGTTATGTAAGCAAGGCACCCTTGGATTCGATAGAAGGGACGCCTCTAGGTCACCACTGACTACTACAGTCTACGTTGTTTCTCGAAATCAAGGCACTAACCAGGGATGCACGGAAGGATTTCGAACTTCAGGAGCAGTCAATCCAACTTGGCCTGGGCCTTGTCAGTCTCAGTCATCATCTAAGTATTGAATATCACGTCAGGGCGCTGGCGTTCTCTGCATATACAGAATGAGTGATTCATACAGTGGGTCTCCTGCGGCAAGATCAAAAGTATGTTTGTTGACAGCCATCGGTAACCCTGAGATGGGGTGCCGGATTGCCCTTACCTTTGTTGTAGGTCTACTGTGCCCCTATTCTTTGCTCGTTTTGGGACACCCTCACACCTCGCATTCTCCCTTTCCAGATACTTGGAAACCGGAACAGGTCAAGCACATCAGACACTTGGCAGCCAACTTTGTATAATGACAAGCAAATGTCACATTCTGTCAAGCTAAGGCATTCCCCGTGCTGGTTGCGTGTGAGTGGAGCAGTGGATGGGAAAGCCCATCTAGACCCCATGATGCTGTAATGGTTGACATACCCTGACCCCTGCAACGGGAGACGACAGCTTCGCTAGCCAAAAACGGTAATGAAATCTGGGCTCTTACCCCTGACTCAGCGGGGGTATCGGATAAGCCGCAGAAATGGTGGCAGCCTCGTCCAAATTCCTTGGGGTCATCTCCGACCGTATCCCTTTTAAGGTCGTTGCGAGGTAGAAATGACGATATCACACTTTGAGGATTCGCTGGTCAGCCAATGCGGAGTTGGTCGACCCGGTTTCTAAGATAGCAAATCTCCGTTCTGGAAAGGGGGCTCTCAAGGCAGAGGTCTATAAGACTGGCGATCTTCCACTCTTGCATCTTTCAATCTTTCAATGTTCTAACTCTTGCACCTTCTCCCTCTGGCATCTTCTCACTCTTGCATCTTCTTACTCCTACGTCTAGCTACTCGTCGCACATTCTAATTGTTGATTCATCCACCATCTGTCGACCTGATCACTCTTGCCATCCGCGGTGATCTTTACCTGCAACAAGGACTATATCATGCCTTCGACGTACACTAAAATTCCGAGGGGTGGACAAGATAAGACAGATGCACTCATACAAACATCCAGCGTAGAGGCCGCTATTGAAAGGTAATCCTGCTTCCTCCTCTGTATTACCTCCTGGTTGGGACTGCGGACATCGTGCAAGCCTATCGAGCGGCCCGACAGTTTCCGTACTCGTCGGGCCCCAAAAGGTTGATATGTCTATGTATAAGCGGCTCCTCGAATTTTATGCTCCCACAGCGCCCATCAAGCTTGGGTGGCTGCGCTCGTGGTTTCTGGTCACCCCAAATCACGAACCCGACGTATGGCGGGCATTTCAGCGGTGGGCTACCACTACGTCTCTTGAGGTTGCTAAATGGACAAACAAGACTTCAAAGAAAGGAGAAGACATGTGGCAGAAGTCGGTTGACCTACTCTGCCGTCTGGAAGTCTTTCGAAATGACCTCGGTATACAAGCCAACTTCGAGCAGCTGATCACCAAGGAATTGGTCGATATCTTTCAAACGTCGCGACACTTCGGATGGCCAACGAAAGCGACTCAGAACACTGTACAGATTGTCATCAATGGCCTCAAGGACTACGAGCAGACGGCCATCTGGACGATCCTAATGCAAGAAATCATTCAGGCGCTAACGGCTAAAGACAGGTCTCAGAGGGCCAGCTACGATCAATTCGCTGAGCTGTTTGGCATTAATAAAGCCTTCACCGCCCACGTCGTTCCGGGGTTGTTGGAAGAGATTTGGGATACCATGGACGCCGAAACATGGCACGCTGCTCAGGAACAACCTGACATGGATGAAATCGACCCTAACAACCGTTTCACAGAGATTGTTGAAGACAGTGTCTCTTCTGGCTGTGTCGAGTCCAAGGCCAATAGAGGCAAAAGCAAAGGCAAGATGGCTATAGGTTCGGACGAACGAGAACGCAAGTCCAAAGCGAAAGGCAAGTTCAAAGAAATCGAGTCTGCCGATGAAGAATGACTAGATTGACGAGACTGCGCTTGCAGAAGGACCATCATCCATGCCAGTTATTGGGCACAAACGCAAACCAAAGACAGAGTGAGACTGAATGTACTGGCACTTGGTTATATGTATGGCTCACGTTGAGGTACAGGGGCTGGCAGACATTGAGAGAGGGATCCATCATGGACATAGTGAGGGAGGCTGGGTATATTATTGGGGATGATGACACTCCTTTCCCCTTAATTGATCGCTTCCAATTCATTCCCTCTGATAGTGTACCCGACCTGCAATCAAATTGCGTTTACATACACGGCTTCTATTCCCTCGTTTCCTGCCCTAAGCAAGTCTGACATTCATGGATATGATGCTCGTGCGCATCTTCTCTGGTGCAGAAGATTATATTCTCTTAACCCCTCGTCTCGTGAAGTCCAGCAAAGCGCATGCTGCTAAATCTCCGAGTATTAGCAGCGATAATAAACGTGTGGGCTGGTAGACCTATCATCGTGTAAGGGAGACGTTGGGATAGTAGGAGTGCGTGTTGAATGCTACAAATCGTTAAGAATTGAAGTGATTGAGGTGATTTCAATTCTCTCAATTGTCAGAAATTGTGCTATCGACTGCTGAGTATAATATATCAATTACTACGCACGTCTACTACGCTCGGAGGTCTTTACTCTTCGATGCATTGTGACACTATTAAGATGAGTCAATGCCCTTGAGAACCTCACTGTCGGTAGGGGAACGTTCAGTCTGTGACTCAAACAAGCTTATCGGCCAGATTTAAAATTTTGAATTGCTTGGACACCAAGACGAGGGGATGAGAGAAGAACAGGGAAAGATGAGAACATATCTCAATATCGCTGACTAAATAAGAACAGACTTTGCTACGTGTCTGGACGTACAGGAGGATACAGGGGTGTTAAGACTCTTAGTAAGTGGATGAAAGCATGCACAGAGTCTCAGAGACTGAACGAAGACTGCTCCGCAGACCTCCAGAGACTTGTGCAGTCGTGTTTGAGGACGGATTTTCATGTTGAGAGGATGAGAAACTAGGGGAAGGTATGGTCCATCGAGTGGGCTTTTAGGAGGCCGACTGAAACGACGCGGGGGTCAAGAGAAGAGAAGATCTAGTGGTACGCGAGGAGCTCTCATGTAGTAATAATGTCAATCGTTAGAGATGCTCCTGCAGGGAGCATTCCTTTGTAAATTAGCATGAATTTCGATCGACTATGATTTGTACTTGCAAGCGTCCACTTACTCTTGCTCCCATCGGTCGTGATGCATCCACATGAAACGCCTAGCAAGCGTCAAGAAAACAGTCCTTTTGTATAAGTTGATCCAGGTGCACGACGTCCTGTGTTCGAGCATGAGAACAACGCATCGAGAAATTAGGTGAAATCGAACGATATGTAGCAAGATAAGCACGAAATTTAGCAAAAAAAATATTAACAGACCAGGTGACCAAGAAAATAACATAGATTCTCTACGTTTGGCATCTCTTCACAAGCGTGCAAATGTCTCACATCTCATCAAATTTCGGGCTAGATAACGAAAGTGATTGGACAGTACTATGAAGACAAGCTGGTGGCGACATAATGACTGCGTGTTATGCTCGATGTGGAGTGTGCATATCTGCATAGCTGCTACAAAGCATAGTCGTTTTTAAGCTAATAAAACTGTAAGAATGACTTAGTTGCATTGAGCGAGACAAAACAGCTATGCTAAAGTATCTAGGACCGTCTATGAGGTAGCCGAAGCTACCTAATAGTGGCGATTCGTACGCACGAGCTTGTTCAACTGAAGGCTGCTCGATTCCCGCAGCGAGTGAAAGCTTTATGGCGAATGTCAAAAGTCTAGCTATGCGAGTGAGGAATTTGACGATGACTTAAATCGTATGATTACTATGCATTTGGCTTTTTGCTTAGGAATTCGACCACTTCCGTGGTCAAAGCTTAGGCTTTGGCCCATTTCCCTCAACAAATGTGCGTATAGATAAACCGTATTTTCATTAAAATAGTCTAACCCCTGAGAAAGGACCTCTCTTATATCAAGTCCGAGCGTGAACCGACTCTATGTTTGAAATTGCTAGCTCTCTAGAGCCTAGCTCCCAAAACTTGTTAGCAATAAGGAATAGCTATAACGAGAGCCATTTAACATGGCCAATATTACAGTTACATTGGTGATTATCTTCCTCCTGCCTTTTAATGCACAGTTCGAAGCCTTAAATCGTCTACATCTGCAAGCCCATCTTCCGTAGCTGGTGTTTATAATCTGACCTTCAATGATAGTAGACAGCGTCAATCTAGCCACGGCGTAGATGAGATCACATACAAACTCGGGGAATATCCTGTCCTTGAGGGGCGCAGGAGAGTTTTAGCAGCCTTGCTAGAATCCGTATTGTGTAATCTGAAATTCTCTGTAAACATATCCGCTTCGAATGCTGCAATAAACGGCGATGAGGCAGCGATTCCAGTAGTGCCTCTTACAAGTGAATGTATTGATGGCTGGCATGATCCAACAAATGCATATGGGTAGGCCGAGCCGTGATGCCAAAGATGAAGAATTTCATGTTCTAACGAGGTCTCAGATGGTCCGCGTTCTTGAGTCGGCAGGTGAAGACATGCTGATGATGATGATGATGATGATGATGATGATGACGAGGATCGGAGCAGTTTGTTTGCAAAAAATTTCAGAAAACCCCCAAGCATTGGCAGCTTGAGTGTCAACGCCTTTTTGGTTGATTCATCACTGCCTACCAAAAGTGCGGGCTTCCAACAACGCTCTCGTGGATTTGGGAATTTGTAACATTCCGAAAGATATGCAAGTCCACGATTGTAACATTGTGATTGCTGCCTAACCTCTCTCCAGCCTCGGGTGAAAAGCGCACAAGTAGGGCCAGGCAACCCGTATTTCATGAGAAGTATGAGTGTAGGATTGATGGACTTGCGCTTAGGGAAGGAAAAACGCCAGAGTAGGGTTCTAAAGTTTAGTTCTGGACGGTCCATACCTGGCGCTGCGATTAGCTAACATCTACAGCGACCGCCCAGATTAGTCTAGAGCATACAGTGTTGCCAAAGCATATCTCCTTGTGCTTTTGCGGTAAGGTGTCCGAGAGACACATGACATGTTGCACTTATCTGCGAAGAAAGCCGCATTTCAAAGGTAGGGCGATGGCTGAAGTCCAACCGTTAGCGGTCTTGGACTGATGAGCTTTCATAGAGAACCTCGACTTACAGGCAGTAGACCCTTCTGTCATCACTAATAGGTCAAAACTAGGGGAGTGCGAGTTTTGCGGAAGTTAGCTCGCAAAAGATCATCTACCATCCATACCGCTTGCGTACGTAGTAGGGTCGGAGCTCGTGACGGTGAAGTCTTTGACTAATCTGCACTAGCGAAGCTGGCCTGCGTACAGGCCTTGAAATGGTCAGATAAGGTCCTAGGATATTAAAAGGTCGCAGGATGGGTATCAGGAAAAGCGATTAGACGACTAACCTGCACGATATTAGCATATTATTATTCACAAGGCATGCGACGATGAAAACACTATGAATAGTGGCGATAGGATGAATACAGTAGAGTTAACAATGCAGTGAGAGTCCATGGACATGGAAATGTGTCTATAGACACTGCGTGACTACTAAAACGCTGCAATCCAGTGGCTGAATACACGTTAGTCCTTTCTAGATGCTTGTAGGTAAGGGTGGGAAATTGATGACTTGTTGAGACATGTAGCTGCACCACGGCCACTCTAGAGATCTCGAATGCAGAGACGGATTGTCCAATCGATTCGTCGTCGACGGTTTCGCAGACAATAGACTTCATAGTTTTATCAGCGCTTTGAATTACGGTATAAAGCACACAGTTCTCATCAAGATTGCCCATGGTCTTGACTAGCGTGTTAGCATTAAACGCTTTTCCTTGTGGATAGCGAGAGTGTCTGTGCTGTTCATTGCGCAAGGCGTCATTGCAGCAAGACTGCTGCTAATGTTTGATCGCGCATTCGACGTAACCATCGAGGTGAGGGTCTAGATTGAGATGTGGCTCAGAAGCGGAAAGCCTGGTGGACGGCTCACGAGACAGCCCCAGAGCTGTCAGATCTGATGGTAGTATGCTTAGCTTGAGATATATTGGGAAACTCTCGCACGCAACAGTGAGTTAGTGCCACATCGTGAAATTTGCCGCATTGGAGAATGAGATTTCGAAGCGAGGTTCAAAGCACGAGCTGTAAAGAATGCGCGATGGTAAGGTAAGGCTTAGAGGATTGAGGCGCCAACGTGAACCAACATAGAGCGGACATCTAGGTCTTTAGGATTTCTAGGTAAATGGATGGCAAAGCCTTTGTGAATTTGAACGCTCAAGATACCTTCCTTCTTCAACAGATGGACGTCGCGAAGGATTGGGCTCTTTACTGCTTAAGTTGGGGTGAGATTCATACCTCCCGTGATACTGTGAGTTATCTAGAGCAGAAAGCTACGAGGACTACTACCTATTATGCTTCGTAAACGCGATAATGGCTAAGTATAAATGAACTAGTCATCACATAGCAATAGTCGTGCTCGTAATTAAGTCTCGCTGTGAATAGCGTTCACAATGTCATTCTAAGAGCTGGCTTGGTCTTTTGTTTACCACGGCGTAGGCGCGTTTTAATCCTGCAGCCCGGAAAATACAATCCAGCGGCAACTCTTGATAGAAATGGATTCTCAGCTCGCCACTCCCTCGATCCATATGTGAATCACATGAAGAGTGGCTGTGGACGCATTGTGTGTTGTGCATGCTGGCAGGGGCTTTTGAAAAAGAATTGCAGAGAGAATTGGTAGAGCGTGTGGTTGAAGAAGTCACCACAGCACGAGTTAGCCCGGTAGATCGACAAATTACAGCAACAATGATCTTGCAGGTATGATATGTGTTGTAGATGCAAATTTTAGGGTCTATTGAAGTCCTTAGACCCGAGTCCAAAATTAAACCCCCGAGGATTTAATCCTGTGTCCTTAAATTGTACTTACGTTGTAAGAGACCCATTAGCTAGATTGTATAATTTCTGCTCTAGCACTAGCACGGGTCGCGATGAGATTGTCGCATGGTCTGCTAGCAGTGGCAGTATGCCTACCCACTAATCCGGAGCTCGACAGCTGTGAATACCAAGCGAAATCCTGCCGGAGTGGTCGAATTTCAAACCCTGGTTTTTCATGCCTACCACCCGGTCCGTGATTGAACTCTATTGCTTAATACTCAGCAAGGATATGTACGCCAATGATGATAGTGAAGTATTCCAAGGATTTCCGATTGTAGCCAAGCCGTCGCACAACGTGTCTTGACAGGATTGACATCTCTCCGGCACTCGTAGAAAATCTTTTGCTTCTTGTAGCACCTCTCGCATTTGTCTTTCAAGTCCTTCGTATCTGGTACAGAGCGAACAGAACGCCACGACCGTCAAGAATGCGGACGGGTGTCCAATTCTGTATCCCATACTGCTAGGCATAGTTTTGGAGGTCGAGACAGAACGGAAGCTGAAATTTGAGTCACAGCTTGCCCACAAACGGTGCTGTAGTCTTATCATTACTCGGCAAGGTGAATGAGTACTTACTACACGCCTTACATGAGTGCGTTAGGGGGTGGTTTTGCATGTACCACGACATGAAACTCACACAGAAGCGTGGGCGGTAGTATATCAGAGGCATCCGGGCCTATCAATTGATACTCTTCTGTCGCAATCATTATTACAATCAATCGATCCGCAGTGCTTGCGGCCTGCATTTGAGCGGCACAAGTTGAGGCGGAAGGCTAGGCCATGCGGAGAGAAAGGCGGACCAACTGACGACCGAACCTTGCTCAACCTTCTTACGCTTCGTCATGGTTTGCTGCATCGCTCCTTTTAAGCGACTGCCGAACCAATGTGGAATAACTGGCCGTTGTCATACCTACGTGTTGCGCCGGACGCTCAAAAAGATAGCTTTCGACCACCGTTCACCTGTACGATGCATGAACATGTGCTGAGCCACTGTGCTGCGTGCGAGAAGGGGCATGATGGGAAAATCAAGCTTCCTCGCACCAGATTTCGTATGCAGGACGCAAATAAGACTGCAATCGTCCTTTGCACGCTTTCATTGTGTTTATGTGCCGGTGATTCGCTGAATGAATTTCCCCTACATGATGGTGTTCCAAAGTCTCTGCGAACGACCTATATTTTGTGAGCCATCCATGCCATAAGCTAAGCAGATCGTTGTTGCTGTGCATGTAGCCGGAGAAAGCGTACATCTGAACAGTACCTTGCTAAGTCTTTGCAGTCGGGCCAGAGCTCGCATTATATCGAAGGACCTGGCATGAAACCTGCATTGTGGCAATCCAATAAGTACCTTGTGTCGCCAGGACGAGGGCTGGTGCCTTGCGACTTGGCATCCGGCGTTCTGTCATCCTTAAGACATTCCTGTTTGCTTCGTACGGATTCTGAACGATGATAGACTTGTAGGGCATATGCTGCGTCTTCTTAACGTAGGTCTCTTATTCGGGCTTAGCGTATAGCAGGGACATTTTTGCGAGATCAAGTCTCCTCGTCGTAGTCTTCCTAAGGATAACTATCCATAGCTATTTTCAGCTTTCACTTGCTTCGTGCTTGGTTTCCGGAGAGTTCTGCAAGAAGACAACCCCGAGCTGAACGTCGAAGCTGCACAGCGTGGCTATAGCTGGAGACAGTAGGCTTCGTGAAGCGTTTGCAGCTTTGGTCGTAAATTTTCACCTCTTATTTCTATTGGGAAAATCAATTAAGAAGCGCCGGGTCTTCGACATTTTCTCTCAACAGCATAAGAGCTTTATATTTGGTCTGCTGCCTCGCGTGTTTGAATTTTGGTAATGTATTTGAATAAAAAGCGTAGTACTCAATCGTTTAGATCAAATTTTGTTCTGGGATGATATAAACCTGCCATCATAGATGCCAAGGCAATAGCATCTGGATAAGACCCCTGAATTTCCTTACGTTCGCGATATATACAATCGCAAATGATGCACTCCACTTGCCATCGTCATCCCAACTTGCCTTCAATAACGCATTTTGATTAGCATATCTTTATGTCTGTTGGTCTTCGCACCTCATATACAGCTGCATCCCTCCATCGCGATCCCTCAAAGGCAAAAGAACGAAATCTGGACCATTGACTTCTTCAGGGGGTTTACTGCGTGTCACTTGACCTGCCTGGGAAATGATAAGCAAAGCGATTGGAAGCTGATATCGCTATAGATCAGCGGCTCCCCTCCTCTCCTCCCTCACCAGATCTCACAACAATCTACTTCCCCGCAGCATCAACATCCGGCTTCCCAAACCCCGTCCTCATCTGCAAAAACCCCTCCACAACCGTAGCAGGCGCAGCATCCCACATCGGCCCCGCCGGCGGATTCTCCACCCCCAAAACATTATACCTCGTCTGCCCCTCCAACGCACCATTCGCTGTCGCACCTGCAGCTTCCGTCACTACCCCTTTACTATCTCTCGCCGTCCAATACGGCTGCAACCAATTCCAGTCCGCGAGCGCTACATTCGGGATTTCGAGTATGCCTGTGGATTTCTGCGCCGTGGCAGGGTCGTTGAGGTTGTAGTCGGCGGTGATTTCGTCGGTGGGAGAGAAGGGGGGGACGTCTTCCCGCAGCAATAGGGGCCCGATCTTGAAGAATGACGAGATGCTGTTGAGTTGGCTGTCGAGCACCCACGTCGGCAGGCGCAGTTGCGCTATGGGCAGGAGGGCCGTGTAGGCGTGCACGGCTGTGAAGGGGTCGATTATCGCGGGGTAGACTTGCAGGTTCGCGTTGCGGATGCGTTGCACGCTCGATGGGCCGTCATAGGGGGAGGCGTAAAAGGGCCGGAGGGCTAGTGTTGATGGGATCGGTTTTGAGGGGTCGGAGGTATTGGGGGTGGAGGTGGTTGGGGGGAGATAGGTGTAGAAGGAACTGTAGTCAACGGAGGTGCCGTAAGCGCCGAAGAAGCCGTATAGGCCGTCGAATATGTTGTCCGTGTCCCCGAGCTTGAAGGGGAAGGCGTAGCTCATGATGTCGTCGGACGGGGCGGTTATGCCGGTTGCACAGTTTGTAAGGGGTGGATCTGCGAGCTCGAGAGAGAGGCCGAAGGTTGTTAGGGCGAGGGGGCGGCCGATGATGCTGAGCATGGATTGCGAGTAGGATGATGGCGTTGCTTGGATTGTTGATACGGTTTGAGAGATCGTGCGGAATAGCCCGGATATGTATTTGCCGTCGCTGAAAGCGTCCAGGAGGCCGGAGAGGATCGGGTCAATACCTGTTACGGTGCCGCTGAAGGGTCGCACTGATACGGTGCCTGTGATTACACTGTATTCTTTCACGAAACGTCCGTCCGGCGTGAAGATCTGGAAGCTCTCGTTGGCATAGTTTATGATCAGCCACCCTCGAACTGGGTTTTCCCATTCCGAGACCGGGCGCCAAGCTTGATTACCATCGTCCAGTGTGTCTAGGGTGACAAAGTCGAAGTTAACACGCGCCTCCTGATTGATGCTTGGAGGTAGTTGAACGAAAGGGCACAGGCCGTCTGTCGAATTGATTCGGGGCAACACAATCTTCGGTGAGCCATCAGCGTTCGCTTGGACGGTGTACGAGTCTCCAAGACAGGGGAGGAGGGGAGCAGGGATGGGATGGATGCTGGCTGCTGAATCGATATATGAACCCACGCCACGAACGACTTGCCCGAATTTGTCGACAATGTTGAATTTCGTGAAGCGAAACTGGCCATGCGTGGCGGGCTTGAATGGATTGTACGTCGTGTGGTCTGCTGGAATACCGACGAGGTTTGCAAACGGTGTCGTCTTCATCACGTCCTTCATCCATGCGAATTGATAGTCATCTAGGCCGATCTCGGCACCGATGGCTCGAGCTTCCGGCGTGACTGTGGGATTCCCATTTTCATCAAAGACCAGTGGCGTGACATGTATCCCCTATGAGCAGTGATTAGCACCGAGGATTTTACCATTCCATTGCTCCGTTGCCGCTTACCTGCTTTCTTGTGATCAATTGGTCAGTCAATCCCTCCATTGGCGCACTCACAAAGTCCAAAGCACGAGCACTCTTGAGCAGTGCGGCTTGTTCTGTTGCAGTCAAAGACTGTTGATCTGGCCTGAGCTTCGCAAATACTTGCTTGAGACTCGCTTCTAGGGCATAGCTAGCTTGCGGCAATACTGGAATTCGTCCATGCAGTACCCGATAGTCACTCTGTACGCTTGTCGTAGCTATGTCTTCGTCATTGAGGAGATATCCATATCGCGCTTGCGGGCCCTGCGGTGCGAAGGTCCATTTGCTGAAGGGAATATGGTAGTACTCGGCCTCCCATTCGATGAAAAGGGGAAACCAGCCGTTGTCGCCGGTCCAACGGTCGTCTGTATCAAGATAAGGGGACGTTACGGGAGTAGTCCCCCCTCGAAATTCAGAACGGTCATTGTTGGCCGCTTTCATCAGATTCAGAACAGGGTCGACCAGCGAGGGGGGCAGGTGTTGGGAGAATGTCTTGCTCAGGTTGACGGGGAGATCAGCGAGAGCGACATTTGAGTTCGTAATTGTTCCAACCACCTTATTCTGAGAGTCCAGTCGCACGGCCGTCGTATCGTCTAATGCAATCTTGGGCCATCTGTTGGACAGACCTGCTACCAGTACAGTGGGATCTCTTTGTCTGTAAAATCTCGGCTCAATCCCTGCCTTGACCGATGCGTTGCCTGTCATGCCGTCTTTCGCCCAGCCAATCCTGTCAATGTAGTAAGCCATGTCACTGCCGGGTGAGCCATCACCATTGCTTTGGATTCGGTGATATAGCGCCATAACTCTACCCCGAATGTCATCTCCTGAGGGAAGGCTGCTGTCATTCTTCTCCCTCACACACATGTAGGTCCACCACAGGAAGAAAAGCTCTTGTTTCATGCGTGCTTGATCGCGAATCATTGCATTTAGGTTTACTTGCATCGCGTTGAGTTCCCTCAGAGCCGCAACCTGGTCTGTCGTTGGGAGCTTCTGCTTTTCATTATCCGTGTTGGTATCGGATTCTTCAAAATGCCACATTATGCCTTGATCGCTGGGAATAAAATTGTTGGTCGCCAGCAGATCGTCAGCTTGAAGCTGGGAGTCGATATCATCATTCATGTCCAGCACTAAGGTTTGGATCTTGTTCAAGTTCTTGCGTATATCGTCATTTGCAAATGCATCGGTCGATCTGGTAGAACGAAGCCAGCCAAAGAGGGCATCTATAGGATTGGTCCCGACCGCTACCGGATGTGAGGTCGCGAAGGACTTCTGAATCAAGTCTCCCGGATAGTTGGTGCCGGCCGGCATTGGTCTGTCTGTAGCATACTGGTTCCATTGTATTGAAAAGAATGTGCCAAATGACAAAGCTCGCATATTCTGTTGCGTGTTCGTGTTGAGCTTTGCATCTAGCCAAGTCGTATCATCACCAGTCAACGCTATGTTGCTCATCCCCAAGGTGCATGCATTCAACCGATCACTTGGAGCCTGTGGAGGCGATAATGTTGCGTCTAAATGTAAAGGATCTGATGCCACATCCTGATGAAAGCCCACGACATCGTAGTCGACCCTTGCCTCAGCAAACTTGCATACTTGGCCACTGACTGTCACGGTCAGATCATCGAAGAACGAGAACACGGATGCGTTTTGAGGTTGATAGTCGGCAAAGAAGGGGTTCGCTGCCCGCGAAACGGTGACGGTCGGAGGAGTTGTGGCAGCAGTCGTTTGCTTCCACGTGTTCCAGCTGGAGGTCTGGCCAAGGAAGACTTGTCCCTGCTGGTTCACGGGTGTATTGATGTCTATGAAAGGTGAACTGGTCACATTCGTGTCTTCGCTGGAAGGGACGTCTTTGATGTTTCGGATGCGATCCTACGGAGAGTGACAAGATCAGCATCTTTTCATGCACTGCAGGCTTCACCTCTCGGGTAAATCGACACGATCGACGTCCAGCCCAAATGCGGAGCATGATCATTGAGCTAAGTGACTTACACTTTCGACGACGAAAAGATCCCAGACTTCCGTCAGATTTGCGCCGAGAGCGGCAGCTGATCCATCTGGCTTCACGATGGCGACTACGCATGCTCGCTTTGCATTGTTGAAATCAGTCGTATGTGGACCATCCCTTAAGGCTTGCAATTGTGTATACTGAGTTGAAGACTCTTTACCTTGGGACTTGAGTATATTGAGTCTCAATTCATCTTCGGCTAATTGGGCGGCAGCACTATCAACTGGATCCATTTTGGACTTGCCAGGTCCTATCGTCCGTAAGATGAGCCACCGCGAAGGTATGGGGCGAAAGATGGCTGTGCCGGCTTCCACGTGTTTTGCTTGCGTGTCGCCGGAGGGATAGCCCGCTCTCTTAAGCTGATCTTGTAGCGCGTCGTGCGCACTACTGGACGCGACAAGGCCGCTCCTGTAGAGCTTCGGGATGCTCCAATGCAGATAAATGCCTTGGTTTGATGGTTGTGTCCGGTAACGATCAGCTCGAGCCATGAAAGGAGTATCTCGAAGCTGATCGAAGATATCATGCTGCACGAGATCGGCATCCATCTTGAGGGCATCATAGTTGGGAGTGGTGATAGGAGCGAGATAGGCACGTAGACGTGGGTCTTGGGCAACTGTCTGTCGCTGATCGTAGTTCAAGAAGGCATCCAGTTTCATTGGCACCAGTATTGATCGATCGAGAGTTCCATCCAACGTCTTCTGGGTTTCCTGGTCGACGGAGGTAATGGTCTGCCCATAAACAGGTGACAGTTGATAAGACATAATCGCACGGCCTGCAGAAAGTCTGCCGTCGAGTAGTATTGGAAGCGATGAGACTCAGTGCCAGTGTGCGAGCCGACAAGGATCAGGACTTGGGGCCCCTAGGATTGCTCTCGTTCGGCCAGGCTCGAGGGAACAAGGTTGCACTCAACATAGAGATGCTCAGGGCTCGACAAGCAATCTGTGTGAAGTGCACAAAGTGTCCATATGCATTGTGTACGAAGCTGTAAAGCGTGAGTGGAACGAGGACAGTAGTAGTCTATGCAACAAAGACCCACCGTAGGGATGCGAAAGCTTAGGCAGCACGCATGTCTCCTGCTCCTAGTATATGGATAGAAGCTACATCAAGACCTCCTCTCGGCTCAAATTACAGCATTCTCTATTCACTGCTCTCAGCTCCAATGATTGCCAAGCGTTGGGTCAGGAACGCTCTGCTGCTTAAGCCGAACGCTGAGGAGGTCGCCGCAGTAGCTTTGCCGTCTGAACGAGGCATCGAAGAAGCGAGCCTTGCTAGCTGCCACGGCTAAGCTCAAAATGGCATGAAAGAAGGCACCTAAACCTATGTGGCTGGAGGCGATGTCGAAGGATGAAGGATGAAGCGAATCTCAGAGGTGGGAAATGGGTCTGGAGCAGAATTACCGCCAAGGTATTTTATCGATGCGGCTAAGCTAGCGTAATACGGCGCCCGCTAATCGAATTTTCAAGAGCGAAACTTCTCCTCTTACCTTTTGAAGCTCATCAAGCTACCTGACCCTAGCCTAGCATGAGAGCCCACGATTGACTTTCTCGAGGGGCTCTCCATGGCTGCATTAGTGCCTCTATAGGCTGATTATTGTCTGGGGACTCATCTGGGAGACAGCATTGGCTTACGGGCCGATCATGCCATTCACGAGGCGTCTTTCCATCAAGGAGATGCATGTTGGAAGCGTTTCAAGCTCGGCCGGACTTTCCAATAGCGAGACCCGAGTAGTCAAGTCTGTACTGGTCGCTCCCATGATCAATGGCAAGGACAATGAGACTGACTGCTCTTGACCCTCGCGACGGATGAGCCCAAGTTGACGGGCACTCCCATATGGCTACACCAGCGCTGCAACCTGGCAATGTGCGCTTCCACTCATCATCAAAGCCAGGTTTATTGCAAGGGTCGACCTACAAAGCAACTTTCGTGCAGAACATAGGCACATCAAACAATGTCGCCAGCGATGCCCTAACCTCCACCAAAAGTTTTCATGTCAAGAGTACCCCGTATACCCTCGACAAGTCTGCCATCCACTCGGTATACCCGCCCTCAGGGCATGCAGATTATCTGAGTACGTGTAGCCGACTCCGCGGCATATGCTCATGATGTCGCCTTCTCAGAACAGGGGGCTGCACGAATGGCAATGAGTAATGCTTATCTGGAACAGATGTTCTCCCCCATGTCGTGTTCAATAACCCAGGCACACCGTTTCTGCATCCAACACCATCACCGTGGCTCGCGGTCTTGGTTTTCGTGGAGGAGGAGTTAACGCCTCCAGACGAAAGGCTCTTCACCATAAACGCAGTTTTGCCGACCGATGAAAATCTCCATCGTACCGCCACACTTGCGTATGAGGTGTCCATCAAGAACTTGATAACGAAGATCAATACGACAAACACAGTCCAGCATCCAATCCCCACCACAGATGCTACCTCAACCGATAAGACCGTGGTTCCATTGATCCTCCTTCCTCCGCAGCTCTTCTCGTCATTGTTTGGCACTTACAACACGAATGAGACGACCATCAATGTCGACGAGGAGAGTCCAAGTCTGGCTCGCTTTTCCCTTCTCAGTCATGTGAGGAACTTCAGTACTACGAACCAAGCCAACAGTGCCTCCGATGGGCCCGACCAGTGCGCTGTCACCACCTCGCCTCGGACTGGCGCCCCCTTTGATCTTCAAGCTCCAATCACTGTGTACGCGCATCTCGTGTCACTCTATGGCGTCCACGAACATATGTCAGTTCAGCCGATTGACAGTTCCAAATCGACTGCTCTGGTAAGTCTTTACAGCTGGAGCTATACCTGCCTGCCAAACGACAGACAATCTCTACGTGAGACTTTCGAGGCATTGGGTCAATCTCTGCAGCCGCTACGTCCCCTCGATGCCTCCATCAGCATCCCCAAAAGCCCCACCACGCCTGTGGATGATTGGGTGAGAAGCCGGTTATTGATGGGGTATAGCCTTGTTCGCCGTAGATTGGAGACAGGAGAAGTTGTCCCTGCCGTGCAACGTGGCTTCCTCACTGCCTCTAAAACAAGTCCTATTGACTTTCCTCCCTCCGACATCGGCTCCGACCTTGCCATCGTGGATGAGCATACGGGCATGCTCGACGTAACATTCCAATTAGCCTGGGAATTGGGAAGGACGGCAGCAACGTCTGATCGAGCAGTATCTGCAGCACTTATGAGACTGCGAGCCAGCGCTCACAGTCGGGCCTTGATACAAGCGAAGCAACAGCGCGATCCGGGCTTTCTCACAGCTACAGACACGGTCTCAAATCAATTGAGCGCTGTCAGTACATTGACCACCAAGGTTGCAGGCCTATCAACAGTGACTGAGTTCTTCCTAGATAGATGGCAGAAGACAGGGTTGCAAACGCCTCTCAAGACTCAGCTCTCCTTTCGTGACGTAGACACTCAGGCACAGTATATCAATTTGCTGCAGCCAGGGTTGTTAGATCTTGCGAATGCAGTCCCTCCCACGGTGGCAGCAAATACACACGATGTAAATCTTCGCGGCGTGAATGATGTCGTACCGTACAATGAGGAGAACTCACCGGTGTCATCGGACTACGCGATACTGCTGAGTTGGTGTAAGTAGCTCGCATCTGGCCGCTTGAATCTCCGATTGTTTTTATACCCTTCCCTCATCGGACTGCTTGAATATGTGTGACGACGTTGAACTAACGTGTGTTCTTCACAGGCAAGGAACGATGGTTTTTAAAGGGCATTCCAATCCTCAACATCATTCCCGATCCAAGCTTCATACCAAAGGAGAGCTTGCGAACGTTTTATACTGACCAAAGCTGGTTCAAGGCTTACATTGATGGTGCCATCTCGATTGCCGAGCATTATGATGAAGGAGACACACTGCGTGAGTCAATCAAGACTAGCATTGACACCTACTTGAAGACACCCCTACCGAGTGGTCAGCTACCTGCGATTCCTACTTGGGGCCTAATGATGCGATCACAAATTGTGGCCAAGTTCCCAGATCTACGGGTATCAGCGCCGTGGCCACCAATCAACGGTGTAGTGCCAAATAGACCAGAGATTCTTCGACTAGAGACATTGGACACGGATCTTCTCGTCATGCTGTTCGATCGGGAACCTGGTCATAATACTTTTCAGGGCGGCATATCCTTTCACCCGCCAGAGCACCAACTGACCTCAATGTTTGGAGAGCTTGACGGGGCACCGAACAACATCGTCACTTTGGCCTGGGCTACTATCTATCGAGACTTGCAAGCTGCAGAGAATGACGGACCAAGCGGCTATCAGCATCCTCCGGCAGACACCAAGATCGATCTTATGAGCACCGAGGGCAATCTGATTTTTGACAATCACATACGAAGCCTGATTACGGATAGATACGTCAATTTCGCGCAGCAACAGGTCTCCAAAGGAGTCGGAGACCCCAATAATGTATCTGCTGCCACCTCTGCGCTCGTCGCCTCACAGTTGTTGGCCCGTGTTCCCGAGCTATTGCTTCAAGAACCCTCACGTGCCAGGGGAATCCCTGTTCTACCCGGTCCAGGATCAATCATCTCCACTAAACCCCGCCCGTGGCAGCCGCCAGGCACACTCAGCCCCATTCAGATACCCATGAATCCAATTCCCAGCCATACTGATACCCCTCCCAATCCTCCGACCGCAAAAGCAGCCAGCCAATTCAACCCCATCATCGAAGCCATTGCCCGGACTGACTTGCAACGGGATAACGATGCTGTCATCAGAGCAGCGCTCTTCCCGCCCCAAGGCGTCAACGACATTCCTATTCAGTCTTTGCAGCCCAACGCTATACAATCCGGTGACTTTCCGGTCTCGCTCAATACTCAAATTTTCAACATTCGCTGCCCATACTTCAATACCAAGTCTAATGCTTGGCAATACAAGTATGCACTCGTCGACACAATCCCCAGCTCTCTAGGTCTTGTTACCGACCTCCACGTGCAAAATATCTCAGTCTCAACCAGCCAGTCCTATCTAGCGAAAGCAGAATTTCAATTTCCGATCGGCACGACTCAGCATGGCCTTGTCGAATCCTTTCCCACCATTTCTGCTACGAACCCGGTCTCCAAATCCGGCAGCGAGTACGACAAGCGTCTAAATTTCGCCGGTACTTCCCTGCCCAACGTACGTTATGTGGGCACAGGAAACAGGTGGCTTGTGCGCACTTCCTACACTGCCGAGACAGACTCCACCCCGGGCTCCTTCGGGGTCACGCTGATCGCCAATAACGGCAACCTCGATAATCCAGGCGCAGACGAAGGGTATTGGGACGTCAACGCGAGTGGGGGACGCCAGAAGATCTGAGCTTCGTGATTGCGGATGTGCGAATCAACTGGTGGGATCACACAGGCACGATCGATCAGGTTGTCAGCGTCAGGGAGACATACAAGGGTGCGGTGCATAACGAGCCGCATAATGTCGCGTCCGTCACCACAAGGGTGACCGCGATTGATGTCACATCCAAAGCTCTGACATTCTTGTCCTAAGGATGCTTCTGTAACCTTGCTGGGCACCAGGGGGCGATTAGCATTATTCCGCCGAAAAGAACATACGAGCAAAAGTATCACTATGCCTTTCTGCGACACCAACGACCACGCGGTACATTACCATACCATACTATACAGATGGCATTCACAACGGAGGCGCGTATCTTACGACCGCTTAGCAGGCTCAGACTAGTAAATCTTCTAACCTCAGCGCCACAAGACCATTGTGATTGAGTTTTCAAATGGGCCCAGACCATGGTTGCGACTATCGCATCGCGCTATCGCAGTAGTCTAGCCTCGATACGATGCATTAGTGAGTCTATTGACGCTAATGCGACATACGTGGCAAAAACCCCGAGATTTTTGCTGCAGCGCAACGGACCGGTGTGTCGTTAGCGGTAAGGTATTCCCTGGCTGGGGCATGTTGGCAGCTGAGACCTGAAGCTAGGGGAGTTAGGGGCCAACGGGTTGGTCTTAGCTTGCTGTCGACGGGCCATCAATGAGGGGACATGAAAAGCCTGTTGGTTGCACCACCCCACGTTCCATCCTGCAGCTAAAATTGGCGTGCACTTTCGGCTCCGAGATCTTTCTTCATCTCGGGACAGATCATTCAGATGCGACTTTGCTGTGCCCTTAGCGGTAGGTAACCCCTCATTGTGGCTCACAATTATGCACTGTTAAGCGAGAGGCTTCAGATCGTATCTTCCGACTTGGTCGCGTGGCAAGCGGGATACGAGGTCTAGACCTTCGCCAGAAAATGCCTATATGTGAATCACAACTTCTCATGCCATGTTGGGTCTAGAGCCTAAGCAGACGCACGGCTGGGGAAGCCGTAGCGAAAACCACTGTCATAAGATCTGTATCTTATGATCGATGGATCTAAATGGGGTCTCGATGATGGGCAGACATGGGTGCTCTTGGAATTTGACTCTAGTGGCGCTTTCACGAGCGAGAGCAGCAGAGACAGCCAGCTTCTTAGCGGTGGTATGGAAGATCATGGTCATATCTCGCTCACCAACATGACGTCCTATGCTAAATTGGGGTTGGGTTGAGGCTCTGCCAATACTTTCACCAAGGTAATCTCTAAGTGCGTACGGGCAGTGACAGACTGAGCATCAAACACCACCGCACGCTCAACACAAGACAGTTGATGAAGCTCACTGCCTTTGATGCAATATTCAGAAGGCCCACTGTGGCCATCGTAGCCATACGAATCTGCCCTCAATCGCTGTATCTGACAGTCTAGAAGACATAGGAAGACCTCATCGCTCACCTTTCGTATGCGCCTTGTTGAGCCATGGCTACTACGCAGCCATGGGTCGAGTATTACCAGATGAATGCAGGCTTGGACTTTTTTGGGGACTGTGCAATCGTCTTGCTTGTCAAAAAGAAAGGGACTTTGAATCAGCTACTATCAGCAGTCTTAGTGGATTGCGGAAGCAGTCAAAGAGTCATTGAGCCCATTACACGCCTCATCAAGCGGGTCCAATCGACCTACGTACTCAAGCCTGAAGATAAGAAACAGTTCAAGTTTGACGCTGTGGTGATTACGCACTGGGACAAAGTAAGCTCACCCGGATCGAAACTATGGGGGCTTTTGACTTACAAGCACTCCAACCCAGGATCATTTCGGGTAAGTTGAGTTGTCCACCGTTGCAAGTTGCGATCATGAATACATAGTTGAAGTGGGCTTGAGAAGTTGTTCGACGCATACCCATGGACAAACAACCAATTTCCCCTTTTCAGATACACTATTGTAACCTCGCCGGCAGTGCCAACGCCCTTAACGAAGCTCTTTTGCGGGGACGGTTTTCAGGCATCGGCGAACTCAAACCCTTTCGTGACGTCCATTCCCCCAACGACTGTGAGTAAGCCCATCGCTGCGTTTGATATGCAAGCAAAGAAGGACCCAACAATTCCGTGCTTGCGTGTCGTGCCAGATTTCGGGGATTTCCTAGGAGTCAATCTATTTAATGCGCAAATACCAGGACTAGCTACTGGAACGTGGACGTCAACGACTTCGCTGGAGGCTCTACTTGCTGCAAATAATCCTGGGACGACAGACGCTCCCAATGCGCCAGGCTTCTACATCGTCGCGGGCGAGCAACAAGTACTAGGCTCACCTTTGGCCAAAAGGCAAGGTCGAGTCATCAAGGACTCGGTGAAAGGCCGCAAAAACCAAGATTCCCTGGTCTCCCTCTTAATCTGGAAGGGCGTTGGGACAGGTCCGAACAAGGTCTCACTTTATACCGGTGGGGATGCCGAGTACATAATAGAAGACAGAGTCGCCACCTGGCTTCAAAACCCCAAACCTTACACGGTCAAAGCCGTGAAGGCAGGTCATCATGGTAGTGCGGCAGGCACGTCCATGGATTTTATCTCTCAACTTAAGCCCGACCTTTATCTTTTGTCCACGGGGACAGAGCATCAGCATCCCTGTGGGTCTATGTGCCTGCGCAGATTCTTGCAACGACTCTGACAATGATATAGCCCCGGAGGTTCTATTCTATCTCTACGAGTATGCACGAAGTAGAGGCACCGCAGTTATCAACAAGAACGACACTCAAAACTTTATTGGTAAGTTGAGTAATCGTGCTGTTCAATCGTCGCATGGTGTTCATTTGCACAGCGAATTCCTTAGCTACGCGAGCTCGTGAACATGATAGCTTACAGTTCCTCTTTTGCAGCTGCAACATGCTATCCATATCATATGGGCATAGTTGGTGATACAGCCGGCACAAGACGGTACTTTCACAGTCATGATGCTGATGTCGACAAAAAATACGGGACGAGTGCCAAGAAGCCTTATCAGGACTACTTGACAGCTTTACAAGCTCTGGCCCCTGCTTCGGAGAAGACGACAAAGGCGGACGTCGTCTCGAAAATCCGTGACGGTCTAGCTGCTGTCGATACCACCGCATTGGTCGCCTCCAAGACGGGAGCAAATTTTAAGAAAACCATCCTTTATAAGCAGGAGCAGAAGAAGTACAACGTAGCATCGAATCATGTGGTAGAAGAACTTGCGCGCCTACGTTTTGAACAGATGTGCACCATACCTTCTGATTATATTCCAGCGGGTTTGTTCAAGGACGAATATACAGGCATGGAGCCTGCCAATATCAAAGCCACAGATTATGTCAGGGTGATATTTACGTCCAAAGACGCCCTACCGCAAGAAGCGAGACCGCAGGTGGATGTTATGCCGCCAGTTGTGTTGGTGAAAGCCTCAAAGCCGAAGAAGAAACCGGCAACTAAGAAGAAAGGCAAAACGTCACAAGGCCTTTCCAAAAGGGGCCTCGACGATCCCCTAGATCCGCCTGATGACGACGACGAAGATGATGACGAGGGCACCGCGCAGACACGTCGGCGAAAGCGGGAAGCAAGCGGGCCGGCAACTGCTGCTCTTGATTATTCTCTAACGCTGGATATGGAAAAGAACATTAGGGCGCAAGAAATCCCGATCGACGATGATGAAGGCGATGCCGAAGAGATGGATACTGGGGACCCTGATATGTGGCTGTGGCAGGACATTGACTACTTTGACATTCCACCACCTTTGACCAACAACACACGCAATGTCAGTGGGGTCCAAGCATCTGCTGCCGTTGAAGGACTAGGTCAGTATGACCCCGTCCTTAAAGATGAGCGCTACTAATGCAGGTCAAAGTGTCAAGGGATCTGGCTGTAGCAACGACGACCTTCAATTACATACGTCCATACGATGGCCTGACCGGAGACAACGTCCTTTTCACGCAGTCTGGCTCTCGCGAAGATAGCTTTGTTTGTGCGCTGGCAGACACAGGCATTGCAACTACCTTGACTACAACGAGTAGCATCGACGGGGCATGGACATCGGCCGTCAGTTCAGTTTCCGCCTTCTACCTTTGGATACGCGATCTTCTCCCCGTTGAGATCGTGACATCACTCTCAATGTCCGCTAGTGGCAAATACACACCTTCTACTAACAATACTTCTATTTCAATTTTGTCTGTCATCGCAGAATTGCCCAAAGCTTCTGCAAGCGTTTCAATCACGTTGTCCTCCGCATACCGCCCAACATCCATTCCCTACGAGCCAAGTAATCCTGATACTTACGGTATCGTCAATGATCAAGGCTTCGTCGTTGACAGCCCTGGAGTCCTACTGGGTCTTGTACCAAGCGACAACAATGGCGAAGTAAGCATGACTTTGACACAGGTCTGTGATCTGGTAGGTTTTGACGTGCCCATCTTCCTGGACTCCTCTCAAATATGCACCCTCCATCGGAATGATCAACATACTTTGATCAATGGTCTTTGGTATTTTCCAATGGACAACAACAAAGCGGCCTTGCAACTCAATTTTCAGCTGCTGAAGGACTCAGCCTTGGCTATCACACCACCAGGCTGTATCTTCACGAACACCATATTGATCATCCAAAATGTCGCGACTTTGGAGTCTGATGTGAACGATGATGGCACAGTAACGGACAACATCGTAAACATACCGTCACTATGTCTTCGCACATCCATGAAATTTGAAGGCCAAAGTGAAGCCGATAGCTGGGATGCTGCAGTTGCTTTCAGCGATGACGGTAGTATCCATATCATCATTCTTGATCTACAATGGAATCATTCCACCTCCCCGCTGGGCTCCTTCTGGACATGGCTGACGGCTCAATTGAAGATCGATACAGAGGGCGCAAATCCCCAAGCTCAATTCCAGGCATTCAACGCGTCTCACAGCAGCATGACAAAGCCGGCAGACGGGGAGAGTGCGATGAAGTTTCGGGAGATCAAGGTCGTTCTCAATTACGATAGTGATGCCAAGAACTGGAGCCTTCTCGAGTTCGATATCAATTTCGAGTTGGACGTTGATTGGGGCATCAAGGCTACAACACCAGACGCAAGGGTCCCCCTTGAGCTTTCTTTCAAATACATGCCGCCTGTGAGGCTTGATGATACGCCAACGTATACAGCATGCTATGCGGAGCTCACCGGAGAACTCTGGCTCCCTTTGAGTGACCGAGCCAAGGCAATTGTACAATTCAACCCCCAAGGGGCACTTATCCCCGTTCTGCAGCCGACATACCAAACCCCACAGTACTATGTTTCTCTACCCGTCCTCCTGTCGGCAAACTCTGCACCTGACATCCCAAATTGGCTGCCTACGGCCATCACTCAATTCTCAGCGAAGTTGAGTACAACCGACATTGGATTCTCTGGAACGCTTGCGATAGACCCAACCATCGATCTCGCGTCCCAACCCACACACTGGTTGAAGTTACAGAGAATCCAACTTGCAGCGACGTATACCATCAGTCCGGCTGCCTTTTCCTTCGGTTTTGGGGCCACTTTGACCCTCAATGCGCCTGACCCAGCGAAATACATGGCTCTCATGGACGTGGAAATCGCGTACCAAAGTTCATCGTGGCATATCTCTGGCCAGGTGGGTGATCTCAACGGGGCTTGTCTCTATAGTCTCTTCAATGGAGACAGTGACGCTATCATGACAGTCTTGTCGGACCTCACTCTCGAAATCTTAAGAGTGACCTTTGATCATTCGAGCAGCTCGCAAACCTTCAGCGCGACCGGCAGGATCGATTTCGGTCCCCTCGAGCTCGACCTGGACTTCCAAAATCTTGGTTCAACGTGGTCTTTCAGTGCTAGCTTGAAGGATACGGTCCCGCCAGACACCACGATATCCTTGGCAGACATAGTTGCTGATATATCCTCGGGGTTCGCCGATAATCTCCCAGACTTTCTCACCACACTGATATTTGATCTCGATGACGAGGCCAGCATTACCCTCGACTGCGAAAAGATCGGGACTGGCAAAGACAAGGACAACAATGACAAATTTGCCATCATCTTTAGCGTTCGGGCCAACTTTCTTGGGGTGGAGCTGAGTTTCGTTCAGTTGAAACATCTCGAGGATCCCACTATCCCCGTCAAGCGTCTTTTCAAATTTACACTCGGGAAGCTACCGAGTGTCGACAAGATACCTATTCTTCCTCAACTGGAGCAACCTTTCGATCAACTAGACTTTCTCTGGGCCACTGAGGACTTCACGTCTTCTGAGGTTGACATCTTGAATACGAACGTGTATGAAGACAGCCATGATCGGCTAGTGGTAAAGCAACCGCACATGAAGAGTGGCAATGATGCTACTAACGTTGCGTTGGCCAAAGGCGTGCACTTCATGATCGTGGTAGAAGAGGATGGGCTGCCAGCAGCTATCCTAGACCACACCTTCGCTGCTGCAAAGGCGACCCCTCCATCCAGCACTGACGACTCCGTCACACGTGGAGTCGATGAAGGGCAACCTCTGCCAACAAAGACGCCAAACACTACAGCTCTCTGGTCAAAGACGATAGGACCGCTAACCATAAGCTCCATAGCTCTAAAATTTGAGGATAGAAGGTTGGTATTGACACTTGATGCTAAAGTCAAATTTGGGCCGGTTGAGGCCATCTTCAAAGGACTCGGTATCAGCTTTGAGCCCAACAACTTGACCTCGCTGTCAACTGCAAATTTCGACATCATGCTATCTGGCATCGGCATCGAGATGAATCGACCACCGGTTGTCATAGCGGGCGAATTCTTGAGACTCTCTTCGCACTCGTACGCGGGAGGTATCATTATCGAAGTTGAACCGTACGCCTTTGTCGCTGGTGGATTCTACGACAACGCGTTCCCCAACCCCAAGGCTCCCCCACCGACATTCAAATCCCTGTTCGTATTTGTTGCCATGGAAGGGCCGGTAGCCACCATTGAATTCGCTTCCCTTTCGGGCCTGACGGGTGGCTTTGGGTATAACTCGCAGATCACTCTGCCAGACGTCGATAATGTGACTTCCTTTCCATTCCTCAATGTCGACAGTATCTCATCTAGCGATCCACTGGCAATTCTGAATGGCTTCTTGAGCGCCAAACCGGTCCCTTGGTTTGCGCCCGCGGACGGTCCAATGTGGTTTGCGGCCGGACTGACGGTCCAATTGTTCCAAGTCCTGTGGATCAAGGCTGTGGTAGTCATTGATGTGGGCCCTGATGTCATCTTTGGCATCTTCGCTGAAGCAACGGCAAGTATTCCGGAAGATGTTACTGATCCCACTGAAGCATTTGCACTCATCGATATGGGTATCGTAGCGACGCTTGACTATTCAAAGGGTATTGGTTGCAAGCTCTGAGCAACTACAACCAGCGCTGACAACTCCACAGGGCTTTTCCGCTGCGAGGGTCAGCTTACACCTAGGAGTTTCATCCTCTCACAACAATGCAAATTGAGCGGGGGCTTCGCATTGTGCCACTGGTTTGAAGGCTCGGGGCACGAAGGTGACTGGGTCTTTACAGTTGGCGGCTATCATCCAGCATACGTAAGCAAACGACCTGTGACGCTTGGTCTTGTGCTGATCATGACCCAGAAACCGCCTGCGTGGTATCCGGTGCCAAAGAGGCTCGGTATGTATCTGGCTGGCAGCCCAAAAGTCCCTCTACTGACGTACTGCAGCCATCACATGGCAATATGATGACACTATCTCTATTCTTGGAGAGTCTTATTTCGCAATCACGCCGAAATGCTGCATGGGAGGTGGAGGGCTCCACCTGCGCTTCCACAAGGGCAATGCGGAAGCTTGGCTTGACGCAACCGCAGACTTCCTCATCAACTACCGACCCTTCGCATTCACGGTCGACATCAGCATCACGGTGGGGGCCAAGTACTCCATCAACATTGCTTTTGTCCACAGTAGCTTTGATGGTCACATTGGAGCGCAGCTGCACCTTCAGGGACCACCAGTGTCTGGTTACGTCCATATTGATCTGTCTATCTATGCTTTTGACATTGTGTTTGGCCAGTCAACCACAAGCAATGATCCTCTGGATTGGGCACATTTCTGCGCCCTTCTGAGACAAGAGAAGACTGTCAAAGACTACTCAACCGATAACGTTAGTGGAAAGAAAATGCACAACATTGAAGCAACGGATGGTATGACGAGCGACACAACCAGTACACAACAATTCAATGTCAAGCAGGTTGAGACTGACGTGTGGTCTGCTGATGGAGCCAGCTTCGCTTTCGCCTTCGCTTCCCTGTTTCCAATCACAAGCTACATTTATGACCCGACCGGCGAGATGGCAAATACCCAGTATCAGACGTACATGAAGCCTATGCACACCGAATCAAGTGTTACTACAACATCGAAGCTGACAATATACATCGACGAAAAAAGCCGGGACGATGGCAGCGAGGCCGGAGTCCATCCGATGTTTGGAATTGAGCCTGTCATCAAGCAAGTCCCCAGTGCCTTGTGGACGCCTTGTAAGTTCCCCTAACCTAGCATTTCATCGCTCCGTGTACTGATTATCTCCCACCACTAGACGACCAGGCTCAAGATCCCATGGCGATCCCAGCAATCTCCTTATTTCATCCGAAACCAGCACCCAAAAACCTCTCCTCTCTCCTCGACCCAAGCGATGGGACCGTCGCGCAAATCATGGGCTTCAAGTTCTCCACCCCACCGAAGGACGAATCAGACGACACCATCGAACTCAACATTTCCGCTGCTTCAATTGACATCGTTCCGGGCGGCCCACCTATCCCCGACGCCTCATCGATCCCCTCAACGCTGACCCTGTCATCATCCTCAGCTCAAGTCGCCATCATCACAGGAAAGTGGCCTCCCATCATTGCAAGCAGGAAGTACTCGGCCCGCAACATCGTGGGCCGCGTGGCTCGGCCCAAGTACGATCGCAGTGACGTCCTGAAATCTTGGGCCACGTTCTCTGGCGCTCTGAATATGGAGCAGTGGAACGATGCAACGGGCGATCCTGCGACGGATAAAGTCAGTCGGTATGGAAGCAGACTTAAGGGCTTGGGAGATCAGTGCTCGTATGTGCCGATGCAGTGGATGAGTGAGCAGATGGCTTTGGACGGGGAGGGAGAGGGGCAGGTTCTGCTGCCGGTGTTGAGTGCTGCGGCGACGCTGGATGGGTCGGTGGGAGATGGAGATTGGGCGAATGTGGGGTGGAGAGGTGAGCCGCCGGTGCTGAGTAGGGATTTTGGGAAGGGTTATGTGGATAGGACGTGACGTGGAGGAAATCATCCGGAGCGTTCAAGTGATGATGTGCTCCACCACAAGGAGGCTAGAGTTGAAGATGAGGTCTCGGTGCGACTATGAACTCTAGATTTCTCACGCACACTCGTGGCATTCACATGAAATAAGGTCATGCACCCTAATCCTGAGTATCAAAGAATGAAAAGAAGCTAGTATGTTATTACATTTAATACTTATTGCTTCAACGAGACGGGATCACGCTAACATAGCGGAGTCGAAGGAGCAAAGATTAGTACGGCTACACTTGCTGGCCCTGGCTCAAGCTAATGCAGCTAAACTCGAGGTATAGTAGCACCACTAGGCTTGCTAGTCCATAATCTTTCCCCGGGTATTATGACTCTTAATAACACGCCGTGGCGCCCCATTAGACTGGTCTCGCCATACACCACTGATGGTGGGGATTCATGGCAGCTACCACGAGCTTCCATGGCCGAGAGTCTCCGACCACCTAGCAACGAAGGTAGCCCCCTAGAGAGTTACCACCAACGCTGCTAAGGAATGCCAAAGCTCGAATGTGTTTACAGCTATCACGAACGCTAGTTTTCTTAACACGGCGTCTTCCAGCATGCATCGAGGAAGCCTGTGCGAGAACTCCGCTTTCATTTCATTTTGCCGTACATTAGGGTAATGTCTTTGTGTGCTACTGATGGTACCTTTTGCTGGGGGAGCTACAGCAGACCGTAGAGTGAGTCGAACCTTCAAGCTGGCGACGCAGGAGTTAGGGTTGTCTTTCCAAGCCGACCAGCTTTCGGTGGTCAGGTCTATCAATTCTAGCACATAGATCGTGACCGGATTCAAAGACCATGTCCTTTAATCAGCCCAATCTGGGCCAACTTCAAATCATCAGCGCCACATTCGGCGGCCAGGACATCACCACCGCCGCGCGCAACACTCTCCTCAAAGCATTGACCTTGAACCCGTCGCTGCAAATATGGTCTTTTCAACTCGCTGGCCGTTCGTTCGGGGAGGATCCAGATCCCAACGTCTTGAAGTGTCTGACCCTTGTCTATCGCAACAGCATTCCTGCTTCGACGGACTGGAGCGCACCGAAAAGTATCACCAAACAAGAAGGGGCATCGGTAAACATCCCCTTCGATGGGAAGAATGATGTTGCCTGGTCGCCGCCCTCCACCTTCGACCTGCCAGCGAACGGGCTGCTGATCATCGCTGCTTACTGGTGGACGGGCGACGTTACCGAGCTATTGAAAGCGAAGTTTGCTGCAATGCAAGCGACGGCCAATAAGCCGACGATCTTGCAGATTGGAACGGACCTCTTAGGCACTGCTCCCACCTTGCCAACAGACGTGAGAACAAAGAGAACATTTTCAGTGACCTATGGGCTAGCCACCAGTGTTGGGTTCAAGTTCGGCGTCGCGGTCGGCAATCCACCACAAGATGACACGCCTGATTGGCCTGTTCAGCTTCCGTTTGCTTTTCCGCCGGCACAGACACCGATGTATACTTACCAAGGCGTCTTTATAAACCTCAAAAACGCAAGTACTGACGACAAATACTTGTATCCCAAGGTCGTCGCTCTGGATGGTTCCCCCTATGGGATGGCCTTGATCACGGATATGAGATTGCACCAGGTCAGTTGAGCCCATGCTTAGATCTTTTTGTAGCTGGCTGCTGAAGTCGATCTAGGGCAAGATGTCGACTTAGCCTTGGTAGAGCGTGCAGGTTGCATTGAAGGGGATCGATACTACGTAGGCTTTACAGCCCGTACTGCAGCAGCCCCCAACGGAACGATCGCAGGGGATTCATGGCTCGTTGACACCAGGATCCAAGCGAGTACGGCAGCTACCAAGATGATTATAAGCGTGACTTGGTCAACAGATACCAACGGCGTACCCAGTGTCGAGTGGTCAGGCTTGACGCCACGTTCGATGAACTTCACCAACGCTGATCTCCGCCTCAACATCTACGCCTGCGTCTTCGGGGGTGTCGACTGCACCCAGTGGTTTCGCCAGCAATACGTAACCAGCGTGCTCCAAACCCCTCCCACCAACGCCATCAACCAATACGTCTTCACGCCCACGACCTCGTTCTTCGGGGGAGATCCCCAACCCAACATCCGCAAAGTCTGCATCATCATCTACCGACTCGCCTACGCCGTCAGCTCCACCAACGGCATTATAACCAACCCCTCCGACCCGCCCATCACCGACCCAAAATGGCAGGACGGCTCTTCGCTCCAACCGTTCCACACCGCCACCTACCCGATCCTCAAAAACATCTCCGACTTCCGCACCGCCGCGCAAACCGAAGACGTCCCTCTACCCATTGATCTGCTCAGCATCGACCAAACCCCCATCGTCTTCCCCATGAGCAACTACCCCTTCATCGCCGCCGCCCTCTGGCAAGACACCCCGATCACCGAGCGCGTAAAAGCCCTGATGGAACCCTACCCGCCCCTCCCCACAACCACGGACCTCACCTTCCTTGTCAGCGCCGCCTCCGAGGCTCTCCACATGGACGAACCCTGGCCCGATACGCCGAAACAGACAGTCGTGCTGTACGGCCTCAAGACCCCCGCCACTTCTCCCCCCGGCCTCTACACCTACGCCCTGAAAATCTCCTTCAACAACCCTAACGCGCCGTACACTTTCACAATGCCGATTACGCTGGATGCGCTGCCCCTGAATACTGCGTGGCCCGCCCCAACGATGGGGAGCTCTGCGCGGAGGGAGCCGACGTATCGATACGTCACCTTCTTTAATAACACGGATAATGTGATGGCAGGGGAGGCGGTGCAGGCCGTCGATCTGTGGCCGCAGGTCTGCAAGCAGGATAGTGCCACGTGGGATGCGTGGGAGAGGGGGAAGGGGAAGGGATGAGGGCCGCCTGGCGTATACCTCCTGGTACGTTAAATAGCTCCCCCAAACAAATTTCCTTCCTTTGTACTGTTTTTTCACGCCTTCCCTTATATATCGATCCCCTTATCCCCCTATTCCCCTTATCCCCCTATTCCCCTATATCCCCCATATCCCCTTCCTAAAACCCCCCCGCCGTCTTATCTTCTAACTCCCCCCCCTCCCCTCAGGCACATCCAAAACCCTCGACCTCATCCTCGACGCAACATGCACCCCTGGCGACGCCTACACTCTCGCCCTCCGCAACGCGACCGACACGCTGGCCGCCCCGAGGTCGAACTGGATCACGGTTGTGTATCAGAGCCCGAGTTTTGATGCCAGGCTTACGTGCGTGCCAAACCTTGTGGAGGGACGGGGACGGGTGGGGGCATTTGATTTAGTGGGCGAGGGGTTTGCGAGGCCGTTGTTAGCGTGAAGGGGAGGAAGGAAGAGGGGGGGGGGGTGGTGATAGTTAGGGATAGTTGTCGGGGGTGGGGTGGAGAAGGGGGAGGGAAATGGAGGGGGGGGGGATTCTTAGCTCTAGCATATCTGGAGATCGTGGTTCTTGCTGCCTCTTTTTCGTCCTTCTATCCTTTATAAGCGATCAATAAAGCCGCAACCTCTGAGTTTTGGACACCACCTTCATTACTTAGCCGATGGAATGGTGGAGGGACGATTTAGATGTAAATAATAGCTATAATTGAACAAAGACATCACCTAGCCTCAAACGCTACAAAGTGTTATCAGGTCGCAAATCGCTGTTGAATCATAGGGTACATGTCTTATACATAACTATTAGTAATGTTTTCTTAGAGTAAGACACTTTGGGACCTAAGAGAGCTCGAATCTTTAGCGCTTGTTTACAAGTGAATCTAGTATACGTTAGTTAGGGTTAAGCGGACCTAATGCTGTACCCTTAGGCTAACTTGTTAATAACACTTTGTGTAGTCGCTTTAGTTAATTACTTTACTTATTCCCTAGAGTTTCTTTTAAAGGTTATGTCTTAGATTCTTTAATAATTTTTAATATTAAGTAAATTAGTATTATTAATAGTTATATTTAAATAATATTATTAGTTTTTTTTTATATTTATTTTTAATAATAATTATAATTACAAATAATAATAATTAAAATAATTAAACTTAGGTATTAAATAATAATTTTTATATATAAGCTTTTTAGTAAAAAGAAAATATAATTAAAATGGTAAATTAAAAGCTATTAAATAAGTTATAATTAAATATAATAGCTAAATAATATTGAAGTTAACTCTTAAGAACTATTAAAAGCTATAGTATTTATAAAATATATATCTATAACCACAAAGAGTGTTAGCAGGGCTATATAGAGCTTATAAAACGAAAACACTATAATGATTAAGTGTACTCCCAATCTAAGGGCCCTAGCGGTTCATGGGATAAGTGAGATGCTTTGTCCCGATCGGTCACGGCAGCTTCCTTTACGATGGGTCATGCGATCCTCAGTGTGGTCATACGTAGGTGGAGTATCTGAAAGATAAATGAGCTCTCTTGCTCATTGCGACGCTGCCGTTTGCCCTTCGAACCTGTAAGCGCATCATATGTGAAGTGGCCATCGTAGGGATAGACTCGATATATGAGTGTCACCTTGGATTGAAACGAACGAACCTTGAAGGATTCCCTTGCCTAGAACACCATCTCGACTTCGATTACACAAGTATTGCCTTGACTAAAACCACAGATCGCGAATGCGGGCGACAGACGGGCAATCTCTTCAAGTATATATGCTGTAGACAGCCTCGTTTCGCAAAGCATGAGGGGTTTTTTGGTCGAAAAGTAATTCTGCGGGCTGTCAAGGTGGGCTTGTGTATCGCTCTTCGAGTACTTTTCGACTGACCAAAATGTGTTGATTTGAAATGGTTGTGGTAAAGGCCAAATACTGCTTTCAATGATATGCTGTCGTACAGGCACTCTTCTCTGCTCACATTCAAATCTGATCGCACTGCAGGGAATAAGAACTCTGATGTCAAGAAAGCCAAATGAGCGTTCCAGAGCCTAGGCTATGATCTCTGTTTTAGATCCCTTAAAGGTGTTCTGCCCAACAGCTAAGTACGTCAAGTGTGCAAACGTCGAAGACTTCGTGCCGCTTTGCTGCAGAGATCTTTCGGTATTGGTATACAAAGCTGCGTTGCCACCAAAAGACTTGCTTTTTGGAGCCTAAGAGGTCCTCGTGGAAGACTGATAAGCATAAGCAGAAGCATTCCGCAGAGCCTCACTGCCTCAACTGAGATTCTTCTTTGAACAGCAGTGTAGGGGAACAATAGTGAGACCATCAAGCCATACGTATGCACCATGATAACGACGAATTTGCCAGTGGAATGACATACGGCTTTAAGGGGTGCTGAACGATGATGAACTAGAGTCTCATTCGTTGATTCAGCAATACATATTTTTTATGTGGACTACCCTATTCCCATTGTTGGACCTGTAAAACAAGGATATTTGCTAGTGTCATAAATACTATGCCATTTATGTCACCACGGCTCCGCCTTTCAAAGGTTTTGGACTTGTTGTTTACGTCACCGATTATGGTCTTGCCTTTCACTTGCTTACATCTCCTCTCTTCGTAGGTGAGGCTTATGAATGCTGAGAAAGCGGCCATGGTGCAGAATTGGTCGGTGATAGATCAGGAACGAGTGATTGGGGTAGCTCTCAGGGCAGCTAGGTCTCGATTAATACTACGTCTACAAGGATTGTTCAATCTGCCTACTAAAACGTCCCACGGTCCCAGACAACAGTTGAGGGCGTGGCCGAGTTGATCGTAACGTGCACGAGTGATACGTACGTAGTCTTGCGCGCAGACGTTGGAAGATGGCAAATGAGTAGGTGTTCAAACATAAGGGGGTTGGCGCGGTGCCGATCGAATGGGGCAACCTTGTGAGGCCCCTAAGGACCGTGTTGATAGGTTCGTTGGCCGAAAGCCCGTACGTGGACATGGAGACGGGCTATTACTCGGACACGTTCGATCTCACGATGATATACTTACCCTGAAAACTTTTAGACTCTTGCAGCCCTCCCTAAAATTCCCGCCGCGTCAAGAACCGAATTCAGGCTTAAAATTCGGCGCCAAATGCTCATACAGTCCGTGATCACAACGTTGGTTCAGGAAGATGCGATGATGGCCTCAGTCAAGAAGTATGAAGAAACAAGGGCGCAGATGAATGCGTGGATGCTGGCGAGTTTTGTAGGTGGTTCGAAACTAGTATCTTGTTGTGGACGGCCATGTAGAAGTAAACAACGATATTGTCATCAAAGCAACAGCTCGGCGTGGACAGGACGATTCGGATGGAAATATTAACGCCCACATGGACGAGAAGACTTCACAGTCGATCACATGATGATAGTAGGTATCTTTCATTATAGAGCCGCGGGATTTGGGGTGCACATGGCAGAAAATCCAAACTAGGACCTGCCTGTAAACGAGGAACATCAAGAGGAGATCGTTAATACCAGAAAGTTCCTGGAGTTCAACCACGGCAGTACCTAATCTCCTTTGGTTTCGCAACCACGAGGTAGCTGAGAGCGTACGAATTGCACATATCCAAATGTCTGGTCGTTGGTGGTAAGACGTCTGCCGAGAACTTCAGCAACTTCTGCCTCGGCGATCTAAAAAGCAAGATGGGGAGACGAACGGCCAGTTCAAGTGCGATGAGACCTATCTGTGGGTCTGCTTCCATGCTGTTGGATCCAGATCCAAGAGGCGACGACGGCTGTCTGAATGGTTGGGGAAATAAGTGATGATGGAAATCCTCATGTAGCTGCGGGTATTTGGTCGTGGTGGCTATGGTGGTGGTGGTAATGTCTGGGACTTTAGCCTAGATGTCGTGCTATACGCGATTAGCAAGAATGGCGGTAGAAAAATTACTGTTGTATAAGCAAAAAGGGTAATACTAGAGAATAAGCGAGTCAGTAGAAAAGAATATGAGAAGGCTTTGTGAAGTCGCTCTCTATGCTACCTGCTTGTGTGCTTGGAAGTTGACTCCATGAATGCAGGGGTACCACCGCTAAAATCACAAGTGCTTCAATAGCCATTTCTAGCATCAAATTCTTCTACGCTATGCTCGTCCCTAATCTCAATCTTTTGAACCACCCACTAGCGGCATCTCAGCCCCAAATTCCCACCGTCCTTCGGGATCGTGCCTCCCTTAATCAACGCCGCCTTCGCATTTTTCCCCGGATGCAGCATATCTTTCCGGGACGATTAGCGGAAGTTAGTAGCCGTCCATTCAATGATTATTGCGAGGCGCGTTAGGATGATCCAAATGCTGGGAAGTGTGGCGTTTAGACCTGAGATATAGAGGCCCAGGAGGCCTGTGGAGCGTTCGTTCAATGAGATGAGGCAGAAGCAGTACAGTAGCGGAGAACACTTACCATACTTCCACCAACACGGAAGAAGATGCACCCTTCGTGAGTGGTGAAGCTGTACCATGCTAGTTCATGGCTGAGACGAACAGTACGAACGACGAATCAGTGTAGATCAATAATTTGGCTCTTTCGGCGACCTTCAAACATGTCGTGAGTGCTTTCATTCTCAAGCGCACAAGACTGAAAGTGGAGGAGTTGCGCAGATCGTCAACTTAGGCCGCCATTGACATATGAGACTCATATGAATATGATGCATATGCTTCACTCTCAGCTTCGTGGAACGCCATTCAGAGATCGCGAATGTGCCAGACTCTTCAACAAATTTGGAAATGACGCTTTGCTGGCGAGAGCTAGAGGAAAGATCTGACAGCAACGCAGTACAAAATGTCCTCCAAAGCCACTCCAAATCTGGCATAGCTTGAATCAGCAAGGCATTGTACGTCGAGAAGAATGCATAAGACTCCTCGGTGCTAGAGAGTCTGAAGTGAAGGGCTTCATATGGAAAATATGCGCCGCTCGATTCTACCAATCAGCGGAAATCTTGGCAGCGCTTACTCATCCTTGATGTTGCCGATGTTTATCCGGCTGCATCTCCTCTCATTTCTTAAGCACCGACGTCGAGATCCCGATAGATGTGCCTCGGCCTGTAAGAGCCTCACAGTACGTCCTCGATATCCACTTAGGATCGACTGGAGACGCGTAAAAGAGTCGGCAGAGATCACAGACCGTCGTTGAGGATGCATGGTAGGTCGACTTGCGATCTTTTTCGAAAGCTGCCCCAGCCATCACAGAATTCTCTCAAGCTGGTCCGTCTGCGTTTGGAACCTACGCTGACAATGACGGCTTGTGCGAGCGTAGGGCCCTCCTCATGCCCTCCACCAGGCCAGAAATGCTGAGAAGACGGCCACGGCGTTCGAAGAGGGGGAGATGCAGGTCTTGACAATATGTCCAAGACAGCAGAAATCATCATGGACTCTATACTTCACACTATATGTCGCATGTGCGGTACGCCTATTGAAGTAGACGAGCAATAGCTGTGAATTGTCCTACAGGGAGAGGATCCAGCACCGCGATCTGGAAAGCAAGAGAGGGCCAAGAAATGGATGTACAAGATGGAATAAAGCGCAGTCCCTTCAATCACGTATTCAAGAAGGGTGTCGACGCCTTGCGGTTTCGATAGACGGGACAGTGTTTATTTCTGTAGTGCAAGCCCGGATATAAGTTGTTACCTCCGAAGCTATCAATCTATAGTCTAGCAACCATCCCCTCTCAATGATCGCTCAAATTGCGTGTTTAAAGGGTATCTTTCCAATGTCTGAGAAATCTCCATTGTTGTCCATCTTAACCTCGCTCGCATTTTGTCCTATTATACGTAATCCATTGGACTTTCTTCTTGCAAAGGTACTGATGTGAGGAGAAACATAAAGAATAGCTCTCGTGTCTCAGCTAATTGGAAGCCAATCAATTTATGGTCGAAGAACGAGCTACAATCAACGTACAAACAGTGTCAGGGCAGGTCAAAGTCTCGGGAGATTGAAAGAACGCCACGAAAACGACCACTTCTGAACATGGAGGAGGCAGACACCTTCAGTAGACCACTCGAGAACCCTTCTAGAACCATTGAGCAACAGAGTCGTTTTATGACAATGGTCACAAGGGGAAAGGGGCTGGGAGCCCGAGCCCTGGAACATCGTGATCTAGGCCTCTGGAGCGACAAAAGCAAGCCTGAAGCCTACCCGAGACAGTGTCTAAAACTCGTCCTGGTCCTACTCCTCGGTGCAGCGACAATTCTCGTACAACGAACGCCGACAATGCTTTCGTATTAATGTTTCATCGACCACACCCTCGCTCCTTGTAGTCTTCACCTCACTTCACCTTTCCATCTTTCCCCCCCCCTCCGGCGCTCTTTACTCGTCGTTGGCCCCCCTATTTCCACCCCTCCAGCACCTTCACCGTTCCACCGCTCTCCAAAGTCCTCTTAACATCGTCCGCGGCTTTCAGCACCACCGTCTCCTCCGTCCCGAGCTCCCTCTCAAAAGCCGCCCGTGCCTTACGTTTGGTATCCATCCACGTCGCGCCATTGAAGCCGAGGTTCCCTTTGTCCCCCTGTCCCTGCGCATCAAGCAACATCGATGCAAAACGGCCGACACGGCAGCTCCACTCCTCAAGCCCGGATACAGCCACATGAGTATTGTTTTTGCCGTGCGATTGCCATGTGCAAGGCTTCTCTAGGAAACCCTGGCCGCCCTCGTCTGCTTCGCTCTGTTGGACGTGTGGGCGCGCGCTCCGAGTGGCGAAGGGGATGTGGAGAGCGGCCATGAGGTCCATGAACCTTTTCCCCCAGCTCTGATCAACGAGGTGGTGGAAGTCGTCGAGCTCTTGTTGGAGTCTCTCGATGTAGTCGGTCCATGCGGTCATGGTGTCGTCGAATCGGGTAAGGCGCATGTCAATCGTTGTGTAGGTCCGCTGAATGTATCTGATGTCTTCTATTCTGTCCGCCAAAGCCGGCGGCATCAGACCGGGGATGTATCTTTTATAGCCGACTTCTTTCCATATGAGGTCTTCTAAGCTGGCGATTGCGTTCTTTTTGGCGCTCGTGCCGATTGATGTTCCTTCAAGGATGGGAGATAGCGCACGTGCGAAGGCGGGGTACTCTTTCTTTGTGAATCTTTCAAGTTTTTTCAGGTCCTGGGATGCAGATCGGTAGAGCGGCTCAAAGTCGTGTAGGATTTGCGATTGGATGTGGTAAGCGTAAGGCGTGTAGTGCGGGAGAAGAGAAGAGTTGAGCTGAGAGTTCAACATGCGTAGTGTCTCAAAGGGTGCCAATAGGAAGAAGTTGACAAAGGTGATGTTGCGGTAAGGTTGCCCTCCTGCGTTTGCGTACTGTGTCATATAGGTAAGGAAGCGCTGGTAGTCCCAACTGATGCTGTCCATAGTCCAGCAGACATGATGGGAGAATTCTGCAAGCGGAGAAGACAGATTGGTACTCGCATCTATCAGAATTGCTACGGAAATCGGGTCAGTGTCGCCCAAAGTACTGTTCGTGTTGCTGGCTTACCCAACTCGCTCCGGACCTCTGGCACGCCGTCAAAGGGAGCATGCAACAATCTTCTTCTCTCATGCTTCAGATTGGTGGTAAGCTCTCGGAGCTTCTCGGGAGCGACTAACAGGTCGAAGATGAATTGGTCCACCTTGACGTCGGTGTTATTGTTGCGTGGTAGACTCTCCCAAGGCGAGACGGCAGGCAGTGGGGTGACATGGATGCCGGGAATAAAGCAAATACCAAGGCCTGTGAATAGATTGTGAAACCCTCCGCAGAAGAACCAAGTGCAGGTGCACGATTGGATCAGAAACCAATTCGCGAACAGGCTCAGCCAGCCGAGAACGAACCAAATCTTCAAGAGAAGAGCGAAGATGTACGTCGCTTCTTCTATCACCTGTGCTAACCAGCTGAGCTCGTCAAAGTTTCGGAGGGGACGCAGCAATTACTGGTCAAGCATGCGATTGAGCCAACGTGCGACTGCTCTCACAGGGTTGATAGGGTTGAATACCATGGCAACAGCTGCTCTCAATCGAGAAAAGGTCGGAAGTAATAAGGGGCGATGTGCAAGACGCTGGCATTAATCAGAAAAGAGAACAGACGTGCGGTGATGATAGTCGGGAATAGTAGGTAGTAAAGAGTGTGGAAGATGGTGTTGAAGAAGAAGCAGGAAGTCCGGAATTGATCCCAGACGGTGACAAGCACACAAGCAGCAAAAATAGCACATGTGCATAGTCCATGGCAATGGCAATCTCGACAAACGACAGAAGGTATTACGGGACAAAAACAGGTCGTCATCGTTCATCGTTATTGACATGGGGTTGGCTTGGATGGGTGTGCGCAGAAGTGGAAGTGACAATTACAGGGAAAAGAGAAAACGTCCGCAGGCATCAGGAAGGAGTAGGGGTGGAAATGCAGGCACCCCGCCCTAGACTCATAAGGCATAAGCCCCGGGGGCGGCCAGGATCACCCCCGGTGTTTAGGTCACCCAAGTGACCCAAGAATTTCTCCGGACGGGATCTCGCGGGGGGATTTTCTGAATTGTGACAACCTGCCCTTTTCTCTTTTCTCTTTTCTCTTTTCTCTTTTCTCTTTTCTCTTTTCTCTTTTCTCTTTTCTCTTTTCTCTTTTCTCTTTTCTCTTTTCTCCAACATCCATGGGCTTCATCTGCGGACCCCACGACCTCATCGGCAGGAGCAACTGAGACTGCAAAAAACAGAAAACAGGCTATCTAATGACAAAATTTCTCCAATCCTTCCAGGCAAAGGCGCCCACGGGAGGCAAGAGCTCCGGTACATGGCAAACAAAGCGGCCTGCAAAATGCCAACTGTCCTCCCCACAACTCTGACCCCGCTTTGACTCCGAGAGACTTCTCTGCAGTGCAGGTGAACGCGGCCTGCATGGGTTTGCCTCCTATTGAAAGCCTGTCTTGCTGCTCCTCTGCTGGTGTTGGCCTTCTTCTGAGCAATCACATTCATCGGCGGCCTGCCACCGTACTCGTACTCGACTGCCGAAATGGGGGACTTTCGGGGACAGTTCCACAATCCTGCTCCCCGTTCCGGGGGGGCACTGCCTAAAGTCTTGGGGTTGCCGCATGCGTACAAAGATGAAAAATGGTGAGTGACAAATGCAGACATCGGTTTTTTCTACATGAAAACAATTTTCGCAATTTCGCAATTGTCGGTACCCAATCTACCAATTCTACTTCCCTGCCTGCTGAATGCGTGCAACACTACGGAAGTAGCAATAATCATTCATGCCTTCTCCCGTTCTTCTCAGCCCCCTTTCCCGGGACTTTCACTCTCCCTACTCTTCACCACTACTTACCCCATCAACTTGAACACTCTCATCCCATCCTCATACTCTCGAACCCTACCTCCCGCGAACATGGACGAAATCGCCCGGCTCTGGAACCGTGCCAGGGATGATTGCTCCCATTTCTACCATGGTCTCAGAGGCAACCTCTCACAACGCTACGCCAATCTCCGCGACCGCTTCAACCGCATCCGCACCGCCTACCAAAATCGAACCCATGTCGAGAAATTCATGTTTTGGCTTGATCGCCTGCTCCTTTTCCTTCTCCCTTTCATTCTGCTTTTTGGGCTGTCACAGCTGCCTCCCACCACTCCAATCGGCAATGTCCAGACATTCACGTTGGATTTTACGACAGGATACCATGTCATTGCAACAATGGCGAATGAGAGCTTTGCTGCCCCACTTCATGTCAAGGTGGCATATGGAAACCGAGGTTTTTTCGATCCTAGAATTGGAGATACGCATCATAGCGATCTTTTTGGGAATCAAGGGACGGGCTTGTCAGTGATCCGTCGCGCGCCCGAAAATAAAAATGACAAGCCCGACTCGTCCACCAGCTCAAGTTCACCTGGTACGTCTCCTTGCCCCACTTGCCCTGCCTGTCCTTCTATCTTCCCCTCCAGAACACTGACGAATCCTCACCTTCGCACAGCACTCAACGGCGAGCACGTCACTCACCTTGCCTTAACCCCAATCTTCCCCACCAACACCAACAAATTCCGGCTCATGTGGGCCTGGCCTGGCTACTTATCCTCCTGCCTTTTGATTCCCAACTCTGCCCGTGGAAACCGCCTCTCCGTGCGCCGTCTCCTGAAGGAGGGCTGGGTAATAATCATGAAAGAAGACGACGGCACGATTGATTCGGGGCCGCGCACAGGGGAACATGATGGGAAAGATCAGAGTGGTGGGTATGCGTGGGACGGAGATTATGAGTTTGTGGGGCGCGCAGGGTGGGAAAAAGACACACAAGGGTGGGGCTTGAAGGGGAGACATTGGAAGGTGGGAAAGGGATGGAAGAGGAGCTGGATGCGGTAATTTCTCACCTGCACTTTCATCCTGCCCCCCAAAATAGCAATGCTGACGAGAAGATTGTTAGTTATGGCGCCAAAGTCGACCAGGGACGCGGGTCCGGGAAACAAGGCATGGATGCGGGCATGGTGCTTAGGCATCGTAAGTTGGGTTGGGAAATTAGGCCGAAGTGGGTGGTGGTGAGTGAGGGATATGGGGAGTGGCGGGTTGACCTCATGGTGCCAGATTATAGGCCTTGGGGAAATTGGGCGAGTCGGACGTGGGCGAGAATGAATCATTGAAAGTGCGATGTGCATAAGGGAAAAGGGGGAGAGAAAAAGGATTCGTGTGGGCTGGGTTGCATGTTTGTGTATTGGCTTGTGATTTTTTTTGATGATGTGGATGACATCTTGAGAGCCCAGCTATGGTTCCCCCGATCTTGTGGGTGGAAGTGTTGACTGTGCATTTTTTTCGTTGGGACATGGATAGATTGAGACTAACAAATTGGGTAGTATGTCTTAAATCAATCTCCATATCCTCCTCCACGGGAATCTTCCAATCCAAAGATTGCCAGCAGATTGCCCCCCATCACTATCAATCATACCGGCAAATTTGCAGGCAAATACAGTGTTGCTGTTCGGATGGCCGCATATACGAGCACTCGTGGTTGCCTAATGACTTATAGTGAAAAAGAAAAAAACAAGTCAAGCAAAACAGCGTAAGATATCCGACCTCCATCTTCTCTCAGCACCGCATTCACCCCTATCCCCCTCTCCTCATCCTTCTTCTCTCCCACCAAACCTCAACAACAAGTATCCCTTCACCCCCCATCCCCATCCCCATTCCCAACATTCACTCCCCCCATCTTGCAGCACCACTCACCCACCAGCCTCCCTCCACCAGTCCTGCTTCCCCCAACCCAACCCCACCCCCAACCCCGAACCCTAACCTTCCACGGAACCATGTCCGTCTTCCTCTTCCTCCTTATTACAGTCCCATACTTCATCCTCATCACCGCCCCTCTCGCCCCGCTCTTCCTCCTCTTCCTCCTCTTCCGTATTAAGCGAAACAAGCGCCGGTACAGCCACGGCGCCATCTTCACCGCGCTCTTCATCGACTACCTGCTCCTTTGCACCATATACGCGGGGGTGGGGGGGTCGGGGGAGGTGGGGGCGAGGGCAGTACTGTCGGCACGGCGAAGAGGTGGGCGTATAGGAAAGGTGGGTGGATCGTTCTTGGGCTGATGCAGTGGGGTTGGTGGGGTGTGGGGGTTTTGAGGGCGTATGTTGGGAGGGCGTGCAGTGCGTGTGGAAGAGAATGGGTAAGGGTACTTACTTTCCTTATGTTATCGCAAAAAATCTGATCTTTTTTGGAGCTGGTGGCGCCGCTGAGCAGCTAAGATGCATGAATAATGGAGGGGAAAGCTGATTGTTGTTTCGAGCAGGATCGTGATCATCAGACCTGGCGTGATTTGGGTGCCTGTGCTGTCGAATCCGCATCAGAGGCTACGAAGACCTTCGCGACCTGGCTCGCCTCGTGGCTGCCACCGCTTAAAGAGCTCTCGCACGGCGCTCTCACGGTCTTGCGCTGCGTGTATGATCTCTGCAAGATGCAGCTCTGGGCGCTTTGGGCTGTCTGCAGCAGTCTTCTTGCCTTCGTCGTGGCTGTGGTGTCTATTCCTTGGTGGGGTTTGGTGCGGGGTATCTCTCGGGCTGTGGGGAATTCTGGAAGGTCCTGTTGGGAGATTGTTGGTGTTGTGGCGGCGGTGTTGGGGCTACTGATGGCTGTTATGGTGGCTCTTGCAGTCTACGGAGGCAGGCTTGGGACTGGAATTCGGCGGTCTTTGGAGTCTGTCTGGCGCATGGTTTGTCTTCATTGGGGGAAAGGATTGTTGGGCTTGGTTTTCGGGGTCATCGCGTGGTCTGTGGCTGACGATATGGGCTACACAAAGTCGAAGGAGATATATGGGGATGTGATCTGGTGAAGGGCATTTGGATGGGTGGGTATCGTATTGATGCAATGTGTCGTTCTATCAAATGATGTGGTTTATTTAATATTCAGTATTGTGGCTCTAACAATAGGTGTCAAAATGAAGCAAAGATCGGACTTCGGACATCCGCCTCTCATTGTTCGTCCCCCCAAGTATATCCCCTTCAGCTTTGCTCCTTTACCACGCATCCTCTCTACTTCTCACATACATGCTGACACGATGGGGAATTTTGGTTCACCGAGAAAGCATTTGGCCACTGTGGCTTGGCTGACCTTAGCAACGATATGCTCTCTGCTTGGTGGCCCATTGGTAGCCGGGGTTTGGATGGATAATATTGATGGGTCCTATCGTGACTTGAACGATTTAGAGTTTCACGAGGCGAAATATCCATGGGACATGCTATCGATAGGCTTAAGCCTTCCCAGTAGTTGGGCCTTGGTGATCTTTTCAAGGTAAGCTCACCGTGCCTACGTATTTGATTGATAGAGTGTACCAATGTAGCCTAGATACGGATCCCGTTCTAATGATCAGGGGCGGTTCGCACAGCAGGTAGCACAGGAGGCCAAGCGACGTTGCGCCAATCTCCATCTTGATCTACAGGACATCTCTAGTCAGCTTCTACAGCTCCCCAACCTTGATCGGTTGCCTCATCTGCAAAATAGATTGCGCGGGTATGTTTTCGACGATCAACAACAACACACTTCTCAACAGGAGCCATTACCAGCCCCAATTGGCGAGGAGAGTCTACCTGAAGCTCATTCACCTTCCCAACACCCTCCTCGACAAGGACCAATAGAAGCCTCGGTTGGCCAGAAGACCTTACATGAAGCTCATCCACCTGCTACTCACATTGGGAGCGCGCCAATTCTACCCTCACGGGTGTCATCGACACAGAACGCTCATCTGGCGTGTGATCTGGATCAGGATGCCAGTTGGTTTCCATCAAGCTTCGGTCAAGTACCGAGGCCGGACAAAGCAAAGGGAAAGGAAGTTCTACGAAGGCATCCATATACCGATTCTGAAGACCACCTTGACTCCGATGAAGATGTAAATCGAGCGTCTAGTGCATCTGCGCGGCGTCGCTTTCAAACTCCTTCATTTGACGACCCTGAACCCGTCAGCGAGGATCCTCGTCTTGAATCCCATAGGCCTTGCAGAGATGAAGCTACAGGCCAGACTTTGGGCAGCCCTGATAAGAATCATGACGAAGAAAAGGAACATGATACGATTCTGTCTCATCTTGCGGACCAATCTAGGTCCATTGAAAGCACTCACGTTTCGCAATCTTCACACCGCCAAAAAAAGACTAAAGGTGATCCTACGTCACCGATAAACCAGATTGCCCCTCCGAAACTAGATCATACATCCCTTCAATTGGGTGAAGATAATCCGTGGGCTGCTGAGCCGAGTTCGCCTGTTATCTCAAAGTGGATGCGTTCTCCACCTGAACCCACTGAACACAAGCCTCCTAGTCGAGCATTCACTCCATTGCAGCCGGAACTGCTACAGGGGGGTCCATCACAAGGGCAGGCATGTGCATCTGAGGGGTCTCGACAAAGCCTACCGGAAGCAGCTGGTCACGGTGCAGAGGAGCATCACCAGCCTCAAAACCCTGCTAATCGAGATGAAATATATACGCCAGCGGCCAAACCTATGGAGCGACAAAAAGTCAGCGGAGACGCAGACAGAGCAGAGAATGGACCCTCGACCCTCTCGAATTCTCAGACCGGCGATGAAGATGAGGTAGCTCGTGGTACAACAGCAGAAGCATTTCCAGGCTCAAACGCTAAGTCTAATACAAGTCATGATGCCGAAGCTACTCACCAGACTATACCACCAGAACCGTCTCTCCCTGCAGCAACTCCCCAGTACTTGGCCGCTGAGTCCATCACCGTTAGTAATGCTGAAGCTTCCCACCACACCACACCTACTGAACCCTCTCAATCTCTCAAGTACTCAGCCCTGGCTATCTTGCGCAAAGAGTTCGAGGCCGTGGATCTCAGACACAAAAAAATACATGAAGACCCTCCATCGTACATGAACATCATAGCCGAATGGTTCAAACTAGAAGATTCTTGTGTCAAGAACTCACGCACCCACACATGGATCCAATTCGTGTACGATGACGAGCAATTCCACGAGATGAATCGTCTCAAAGTATGGCTGCGCAATAGGAAACATTATGACTTCGAGGACGACCCTGAGACGAAGCAATCCGAACACAAGTTCCCGCCGAATTATAAGGGGGCGTATGGGAAGAGTATTCACGAGATTCGCGTGAGGGTCAGGAAGGATTTGCAACCTAGGTGGGACAACAATACGAAGATGATTTGATTTACGGTTGTGATTTTGGTCCCTTTGAGGGATGATGTCGCAGCAGTCTGCTAGTTGTCGGTAAGATCTCGTGCGCTAATTCCTATAGCACCAATGCAATGGGTTGCTTATTCAAACAAGATTCCACACGACTTTTGATGGCCACAGGTATATCCAATTCGACATGAGGCGAAAGACATAGAGTCAAGGAGACATTTTGCCAATCCACAAGTCCAGAGCATTGAGGACTACTGAAGCTATGATGCCACCCTTTCATCGTCTCTGATTAGATCAAGACCCTCCCCATAGCATCGTAAGTACTCTTTCTTTCAGATTGCACATCTTTACAAAAGCGACATGCCGAAACCCAAGCACCTACAGCATCCATGCCTCCTGGCACGAGAATTACAAACATTCATTCAAACTGTCATACTTCGGTCTGACCTTTATGCTTGTCGTCACACCACCCCCTTCCCTTATCATCCATATCTGATGTGACAAGTTCTCACCACACACAAACTGCCACGGAGCATCGTCCCCTCCCCACTCTTAGCCTCAGGTTCGAACATTACTCAAGTCTCACTCTTTACAGTCGTCCTTATTCTACGCCCAAAAACACCCAAACAAACTGCCTTACTATTCCCCCCCCCACGCCCCCTCCCCACTACGACGACCACCAGAGGATGCTTTGCTCGGGTTCAAACAGAATTCCACCACCATCATCTTATTCTTCGGTATTGAATGCGCTCGCATGTGGTTTCCACCACCTCCCCTCATCTTTGTGGAGGAACTTTGGTGAGGATAGCGATGCTGTGGGTCGTTGAAGGGCCGATCTGTCTTTCAGATCGCTGCTGGTGATAGGTCGAAGGGGTTTGGGGGAAAGGGGGGATTGATGACAGTACGGGTGGGAAGGGTGTGGATCAATAGAGGTGCGGGAGATCACGAGACGTCAGAGGCGTGGAGATCATTTCGCGGTGGAAAGGGGGGCCACAGTAAAAGGGGAAAGGGCGAGGGAGAGGGAGAGGGAGAAGCACGAGGTGGTAGTGAAGGAAAAAAACAATGGGAATGAGAATTGTGATTGTGATTGTGGATGCTGCTCATTCGCCACGGTCGAAGCGTGGTAAGGCGATTTTGTTATTAGTATCCCCTCCTAAACAGCCAACTCAAGATCGATTCATCTTTCTTTTATATAATAATATATGCCTCTGTTCACTTAGCCTGCCAATTCTCCCCATCGCCTTATATGTGACGCCCATCTCCATCCTCGGACGCGGCTGTGCTGCTCCCAACCCCAACCCAACCCCAACCCCAACCCCAACCCCAACCCCAACCACAGTCCCAGATGAATGAAGGACCTTCCAAAGCTTGCTCACCTTCCACAGATTGTTCATCTTCCCAAAAACCTCTACCTCTCTTAATATCCTCACCATCCCCACCATCCATCCCCCCGCCCCCAGCAAACGCTCGCATAGCTTCCCTCGCCGAAGCATCCCAGACACAACCGAATTGAAGGGCCCCTCCTCGCGCACCACTCCTTTACCCAACCCCACCAGCCCTTCACCAACTTTGTTTCTCATTTCCATCGCGTGGTTCGGTCTAGGGCGTCGGAAGTGCCCTGCCCTGGCGTTGACATTTCTGGAGAAGGCGGCAGCTGCGGTTGGTGGGGGGGGGGGATGGATCAAGCACCGCGGATGGGTATTACACACACAGTAGGAGCAGCGGGTGCACCGTCCCGTCAATCTGATTATCACTACCGTCGTCGTCTTTCTTGCTCGTCGGGAATCAATCCCCTGTGACGACATTGAAGCTGGTTAAGGTGGTGTTGGCTCCTCGCTTCCTAGGCTGGAGGTTGGAGGCTGGAGTCTGCAGCGGGGTAGTCGTTAGGGTATTGGTTTAAGTCCCTAATCGGTAGGGTCGCCGAGAGTGTCTTGGAAAAAGGATGGGTCGAGAGGAGCGTCGGACATGGGGATTGTAATATCCTCTGTTGCGGGAAGCGGTGTAGGTGATGGATGATGTACCATTACTGCTGAGGTTGGGAGGAGAGGCGTGAATGCATCGAATGGCTCGTATTGGGTGATGGCTTGCGCTGTGATTGCCTCTCTAGCAGGATACTCGAGATTTGCGTTGATGTATGGTGCTGCATCTTCTTCCATACCGTGAGGCTCAGATTGCGCTGACAATAATGTTGGGTTGATGTCGTGGTACGGAGTTAGGCCGGTTGGATCAGTGATGAAGGACATATTCAAAGCATCGTCTTGTATGCCTTGAATTTTCGTGTTTTCGTCGCTGTAGAGCCTCACATTCGAGGACAAGACAAGTGGCCGGACGTTTGATTGAAGAGCGGCAGCAACGGGTCGCCCTTAACGCTCCTTCCTCACTTTCCATCTCCCCAAAGGCTGCGTTCTCATCCACCCTCTCCACCTACCGCCGGCGCCCCGACCTGCGCAAATGTCGCCTGTCTTTCACTCATGGGTATTTCCCCAATCCTTCCAAACTCATATTCAGCTTTAGTCTCTCCCTCCGTACTGACACCTTCCCGGAATCCGAAGATTTTGTTGTTGAACCTTCGAAGCCGGAGGCTGTATTGCATGTAGTAAGCCATAAGCCTTCTTGGAGGTATGAGCTTAGTGTAAACGTTTGTTGAATGCGTGAGAGGATTTTCCTGCGCTTATACAACTTGAAGAGGCTATACTCTTCCGTGATTCTTGTTACATGTTGGATACTCCGAAGTCTTACAAGCATGGAAGTTCTAAGCGTCTAGGGAAGCGCTTCGGCAGATATTGCTCTGCTCGTGGTAGGATGTCATCTCAGATCATGTGCTTTGTAAAGATAAATAGAAGTTCCACAACCAACATAATCTTACCTAGTACAAGAAGGAAAGAAGAGTCTCGCTGCCCTTGGCCGAAGGGCGAGAGAGCGGCCACCGACCTGTAGGTGGATCTCAAAGCTTGGGTTGTCCTCCTTAATCTGTACTATGCTCGCAGACAGTTGACATCATCCTAGTAATATTCGAAAGCCACGAGTCTCAGCGGACACTCTAAGTACACTGAAGTAAAAGATGGCAGCCCGCTTCATTATGCCAACGCACATCACGATCAGGTACGATTCCTTGGACGATCTAAAGGCCTCGTGTACGCTATCGTCCGAAAGCGTACCAATCGCTATCATCGCTGTCCTATCGAAGCAAACTCATCTCCTGTTGCCGAGTCAAGAACGATGGCGCACATCATTTTCCTCGCCACGTCGTTGCCGACAACAAAAACATAGCTTAGTAGTGAACGAAAGCAAGGCCAAGGGAGCCTATGATGAGGGTGGCATATGCGTATGCGCATGCGAGACGCATGGCAAGATTGACCGTCCTTGTCGTGAAGGCCTTCAGAGTATTGGACACACTTGAGCTGCAGACATTGCACTTCGTTGAAAGCCGCTTTCTAGTCCTGCACGTGCTTCTGGCCACAGGCGGATCGGGCGAAAAGCGTACAATATTGCATGCAATGAATAACTACGTGGGCGAGATGGCGATTAGGAACAAGATGTCCTGCTTGTGAGGGCACAGAATGACGTACATGATTCTATAGACTCTGTAGCTAGGTGCTAACAACTGTTTGGCGACGTGCTCAAGATTCGCGCCAGACCACAATCGGCTCATAATATTTGTATGCTTGATGTTACCAACACGGTCGTTTCATCACCGACGTGGCCGCCAAAATCCTAGTCGTGCGTGAAATGCCGACTGTTGTTCTACCTCTATCCCGTACCCAGCCCCATGGCAATGTTCCAAGAATACAGGTAGGTGTAAGTCCGGAAACCCCTCGACGATGTCGTCGTACCATAGGCCTGAGGCGAGAGAGGAATTGTGTAGCTCGTACGAAGTTGTAAGTGAATTTGAATGCGCAGAAGCACACGAGAATGTTCACCCTGAGCCTTCTGCGCGTCGCTGCTTGGGAACACTACTGTGGTCATACCTGGTCAGATGGTCCGAGGAGGCCGGAGGATTCAAAAACGTCGACATCGACAACTATGTGCACTTTGATAATTCGGCCGGATGAAGGGCATCTGCAGCCGATCAATCTTCCTCCATCGTAGCCCCACGGGTGAATCGAATGGTGAGCGTGGCAAAGATCATTGGCGAAACCCCGTCAAGAACACTCAAAGCGTTGGTAGAAGTGGTGCTGCTCTTGATCATATCCTTGGCATACGGAACTCTCGTGTGAGATGAGGACAGGCAGAGCAAAAAGTTCATCAAGTGTTACCCTGACGTCGGCGCCATTGATACTGGGTATTTCGTCGGCAGGTGTGCGTGTTTGTATCGATCAAGATGCGCAAAGCAACATTTCGGGTCTACGGGCGCTCGCCTTCGAAATCTTAGACTGCTACACGAAGACGTCGTTGGCCGTTCCTTTGGGCAAGGACGTTTCCAATTTCCACTCCTAGACCAAACATTGGTTTTTCATAGAGACCAGAACTGCGTTCATGATGTAGCGGGCATCACTGTCTGTGTCGTACTTTTCCTCCCTTGCGGCGACGCAGAACTGAAGCGATTACACGAGCAAGATTTAAGCCGCTCTCGTCGGTACTCCGCTACCTTCATTTCCTCTCCTCTTGGTATTTCGGTCCACATCAATGAAGCTAGGCCTAGAGTCCTGTACGGCTACGACTTGAAGTGTGGTACCAATCGCCCTCTCAATGATGGTTATCTGCTCGTCTGTTCAGACAGACCCCTTCTGCTCGACGCCAATGTTCCCACCAATGACGATGAAGTTGTCCGCCTTCGTTCTCCCAGCCCCAGGCCGGTTGGCTCACTTGGTATCCCAATTATGAGCCTTTGTGGAATCCACAGCTTTGTCCTTTTCTCTGCTCCGCTAGATCCTTCTGCATCCATCTTCGAGCCTTGGTGGCATCCTCCCCATATCCCCAATCGTTTCATGTCTTCGAGACATCGGATAGATTGTAAGTGGGGGTATTGCCGTCGTCCTTGCCTCAGTGCTTCGCTTGACCATCTCCTCTTGCTCCAACTCGATCCATCTCAGTCCGTACCTCCACCTTCGATGACGCTCTAGTCGGTATTCGCATCCGCAGGCATGGTCAAGTCCTCGATCTTATACATATGCACGTGGTGATCCCTTCTATAGTGCTGTCCGCACAGCCTGAAGTCTAGCCGTAGACGATGACGGGACAACGGTCACGATCTTGACGATGACTAGAAGGCAGGGTCGGCAGGTCGACGCTGGAAAAATAGAGCGTAGGAATGCAACCTCGGACCGCTCTGCCATGTGTTCCAACCGTCCATGTAGAGCCCTAAATCTCCATATCGATCCTCAAAGTGTTTTCCAAGAGCTGAGGTCGTCCATATCGTCAGATCGACTGTTGGCCCCCTCGTAGTGATCTGCTCAATAGAGTTCGCGACCCTGCTAAATGACGACGTGCTGAGTAGGCAGTAGGCAGTAGGCTCGCGCAACGCTAGTGCAACACTATCTGCAGCAGGTCCGGTAGTGGTAGGCATGCGCGTCGCACTGCGGTGCCGTTGGCTGAGGTTTGGGGGCTTGGGCGGAGGGAAGTAGTGAACGCCTGCCTGCTTCAAGGTCCACACCCTCAATCACAGGAGCGGGAGGCTCCAAAACTGTAGACACCCAGCTCTTGGTCTTCATTGACCTCCTTCATTCGTCCAAAGTGTTGTAGCCAGCGGTCTTCATCCTTCGTCCAGATTTTACCCAAGCCTCACGGACCTCAACGATCTCTTATGTCGTCTGAGGCGCCTTCAATTGTCGAACATCGAAGGGAAGAGTCGGAGGAAAGATGCTGGAGGCCGACATTTACCAATGCGAAGGCGTCGAAGTGTATGCTTAGGCCGGCGAGTAAAGTTTGGGCTTGTAGGCTCGTTAATGTGAAGCCATTACAGCTCGAGAGTTTGGTGTCATTTGAGGGCGACCGACAGAATTTGGTGGGGATATGGAGGAAAGGGAGGATGTCAAGGGAGAAGCGATGGTCATGATGCGAGAAGTGTATTGAATGTGGAGGTGCGCGCACGTCAGCGTTGAAGGAGAGTTAAACACACGCGACTCGACGAGAGGAGAGAATGTCATAGAATTTGACAATTTGAACTTCGGCCAAGGGTCTCGATTGGTACATTCGTCTTGCTTTGACGTGATGACCGCCATCCTTGACTTTGAACGGTTACAAAGCTGGTGAAGCCACTCCCATCTGGCCAAGAGATTGAGAATGTGGCGGTCGAAAGTTTCTCCGACCCGACATGCGAATTTTGACCAGAACTACGCTCAGTACGTTACACCACTCGCTAAATCTTTCCTTCATTACGCCCTCGATATGACCATAAACTCTCTCTTACCAATGTACGAATCTTCTTTGATTCCTCTGACTTTTCCAATGCCAAAAGTCAATCCCTGACGCCTGCGCCCAGCGTAATTACGCCCCTTTCCCAGTCATCCTCACCACACGGGGCCACACCCCCTCCGAGTTCAAACCCTCCTGCATGAAGCGATTGGCCAAGAATTGGGGTCCCAATGGCTTCATTCCCAGAAGATGAGAGCCTAGGAGACGTCCACGAAGATCAAGCAACCTACTGCGGAGGAGGGATTTGCCATGGAGGGGAAGAATTTACATGGAGCGTCCGCGAATACAGAATTGACGTCGAAGTTGAAGGAGGAGGTAGTCAAGATAGTGGTACTAGGTGGTGTGCCGAAACATCGCTGCTGCAATACCATGACGAGGATTGCATTTGACCCTAAGATTCACGTTGGCGCTATATCTTGGAAAGAATGACCTACACTGGGATTGGGCCGAGATTCAGCGTTCGACGAATGATCGAGGACAAATAGCAAGACAGCAATGGAAAGATCAAGCCAAGAGCTATAGAATCATTACGTTCAGCAAAGACTTTGAAGGGCGCATAGTCTCTTGAAACAACGTTGTGCTCGTACAGAGAGGCTTTTACAAGACGTCATCAGCACTGCGGAGCTTGTTTCGACTTCTCCTTCCTGTCGCTGCTTGCTGTATTATCGACCTGGTGAGGGGCTAAACCCACTGGGCGCCTAATGAAGATAAGCTGACGCGCGAAAAGGACACTGAGAAACCAGAAATCCATCAGTCACTACGAGACACCACCACCTCTAAAGCCTACCAACACCGCAAATTTGGGGCGATAAGACCGCACAGACTACACTCAAGTTGACTGTATCCGTGGGTGGCGTCATCAGGTCACCTACACTGCCATCTCTTTGCCTCGACGATTGAGGATCAAGGCTGCACCTGCCCTCATCCACGACCACTCCGCCAACTCTTTCCTCTGTTCACAGCGAGCACAATAAAAGGTAATGTCATCATACACATGCAGACACCGTCCGACTCCTGCTCAGATCGCCAAAAACACTTCACGCTCCCGCTTGCTCCCTCAACGCCCCAGCTGAACCCTTCAGACTGACCGCGACGCAAGCGCGACTTCCACCGCTCTTCCTTCACTCCCGACGCCTCTGCTGAAATCATCGATGAAGCAAAAGCCATCTAACACATTACACTATGAGAGAATCGGCGTTGCTGGTCGAGTAAGATAAACCAAGAGCTGGAGACGTCCGCTCCTTCGCCGCCGAGCAAGCCAGGGATCCGCCCGAGGCACTTCTTTTACATGCGCAATCATCTCTCCGCGAACGCATGGTGACTCATTGAGCTCTTCGACGACCTGATGCGACCCCCTCTTCTCTCGCCTTTTCCTACAGGTACCGGGTCCAGAGGTTCATCTGTAACACGATGCCTTCCCTTAACCTTGGCGGATTGCGAGAGAACAGCATAGCTGCGACGAGCACCTCTAGCCAGCTTCTCACCGTTGCCCGCCTCCACCTTTCGAACCCAGGCCGTCAGCAGTAATGACAAGGCATGCAGTTGAAGGGGGAGCCTTTCCAAATTCAAAAGAGCGGAATCAAGGCGGTGACTAAGACGGGGACAAACACCCAATCAGAAATAAGGCGTGAATAAATGGATAAGGATGGAACATGCGATGGGAGGTGGTCCAGACAGACACCGTGGGTTAAAGAGGAGGGTTGGGCAGTAGCGCTACTCGTCCTTCCTTCGGGAGCTTTACCCTTGATCTTCAAAACTCTGGCCGGCAGCTCCCCGCACCGTAAGGTAACGCGTCATGGCAGCGGCGTCAGGCTCTCGCAAGAGGGACAGTCTGGTTCTAGACTCCGCGGGTAGTTACTACTGATAAGCTTGCATGAGCATCGCAATAGATGCCCATTGGTGGTCCAGGTGCTTGGCCGCTCTAGGTACCTCGGACAACACACAAGGCTGAAGGAGGGAGCCTGAAGCTGACGGCGACCTTCTTTTACCCATCATACAGCGACTCTGAAATGTTCAACTCTCTGGCGAGTGTCTGTGGTCTCTTCAAATCTCGTCGCTGCCTGTGCGCTTCACTTGACTTAGTCTCAAGAGATCTGGCCGGGGCGGGGCATTGCTGAGGTGGGTTTGCAATATGACAGACCCCGCAACTATCGTGAGCCTCGTTGGCACTGCATTGCAGTTGATTGAAGCAGTAAAGGTGATCGTCGACTATGGCATGACACTTAGAGATGCACCTAGCGATGTTATCGCGTTGGCGCATGAGCTGGACGTCTTACATAGCGTCTTTCAGAACCTTGCCAGCCGACTCGAGCAACAAGACTCGGTCCACACCTTTCCAAGGTCCTCAACTTTGTACAGCACTGCTAGCGATTTCATCGACCAACTTGAGGAGTTTAGAAAGGAGCTAGAAAGATTCCAAGTTGCCAGTTCGGGCCCCCGAAGAGCATTACGCTTGCTCACGTGGCCTTTGAAGCAATCACAGACCCAGAGAAGACTTCACCTCCTACAGAGATATACAAGCATTTTTCACTTATCGGTAACCCTTGAGGGTTTCGAGCTCCTTCAACGGGATCTCTCTTCGTTCGCAGAAACACAAAGGAATACAAACCAACTCTTACGTGCATTGCAGAATGGTCTCCAGGCACGACTGACGGCGTCACCACAGCAAAGGGATTCAGGACTTTCAGATGTGGTAGAGAGTCTTCGACGGGCGCTAGATACTTACGGCTTCGACGGACAATACGAGCGGGAAATCTTGCGGAAGCTCTCTACACTTGATTACCGAGCGCGGCAACAGGAGTACTTTTTGAAACGCCATGAAGGCACCTATGCATCTTTCCTCAACGACGCCCGGTTCACAGAATGGCTGCGGGCATCAAAGGGATCGATGCTGTGGTGCCCGGGGAACCCAGGGGCGGGGAAAACAGTTCTTGCTTCAGCAGTGATCGATCATGTACTTGGAAGGAAGCTAGATTTGGACGCAGCTGTTGTTTACATTTACTGTGATTACAGGGAGACAGAAGCTCACGATGTTTCAGCACTCTTGTCCACCATGACGCGACAGCTTCTAGAGCAAGACGGATGTCAAGCACCAATTGAAGAAATGGAAAAGTTGCAGGAAGAGGTAGAGCAAAGACATAGAGCTCTGACGGAGGACGATCTTATGGTCCAGTTCCGGAAATGTGCGCAAGATTTCGGTCGCGTTTACATTATCATAGATGCCCTTGATGAGTTACCGGACCATGTTAGAAATGACTTCATTCAACGACTTGCAGCGCTTGATGGACAGGTATATCTATTTGTGACCTCACGCCACAACATTGACCCTACGATCGACTTTGATAATGCTGCCCGTTTCGACGTCGTTGCCTCGTGGGAAGATGTCGAAACCTACATGAGATCCGAGATCAAGAAGTCCTCGCGCTTGAAGCGATATATCGAGGGGCCCAAGGGTGACCCTTCGCTTGAGACTGAGATCCTGAAGGGGGTCTACGGGATGACAGAGGGCATTTTCTTGCTCGCAACTCTACAGATACAATCTCTTTCCAAGCAGCATAGTGTCGATGGTGTCCGCAACGCGCTGCGAAACCCACCTAAGATCGTCCTTGATCAGTATAATGAGACTATGGACAGAGTGAATGACCAAACCGAAGAGGACACAAAACTAGCTCTGAGATTAATTTCACTTGTACGTTACGCTATGAGGCCGCTGACAGTAGACGAGGTCTGTCATGCTCTGGCCATCCAGCCCGGTGAAAGAAGCCTCGGCGAAGTTCCGGACATCGACACTGCTCTTGAAGTGGCGGTAGGTCTTGTGAGGGTAGTTGGACACAGCACGAATACCGCTTCTTCTGACCCGACAACAACAAGAAAGCAGACTGTGAGACTCGTACACCACACATTGCAAGAGTACATTGACCAACGACAACTCTTTCCAACCTTTCATGTGGACTTGACACAGAAATGTCTCACATACCTGTCGTATGACGACCTGGAAGACTGGCTTACTGCCGAGGTATCTGAGGACGGATGGGCAGGAAGGCTGTCTTTCTTAGAATATGCTGCACTCAACTGGGGTATCCACGCTCAAGCGGTGCAGACCGAAACTGTCAACCACATCCTCACATTTCTTACCCAGGCACCGAGGCCACATGTCACCAAAGTCCTTCATAAGGCGTACAGCAGAGCCGATAACCTACTACGATATAAGCGATACGATATCCCACCAATGGCGGCTCACAGCAGACCGCGAACGCCCTTGATTATTGCAACCATCCTGCAACTAGACTATGTGGCTGAAGTATTGCTTCCATCACCTTCCATCAACAGTAAGGATATGAACGGGCTCACGGCACTTCATTACGCTGCTAGAAGTGGGAACGTCGCTATCATCGACAAATTAGTAGCTGCTGGCGCTGATCTAGATGATAAGGACCCTTCACCGCTTTCCATAGCTCTTTGGCATCTTCAATTACCAGCAGCAGAGCTTCTAATCAAGAACGGCGCAGAAGTTGACCATGATGATCTATCATCATTACTGCCTTCCATGGCCTCTGCAACACGGCGTGAATCGCCTGAAAAGCGCGAGTCTGCGATAATGTTTTTGCGATCACATGGGCCACATTTCGAAGCACGGTTCTTAGAGCTGGAGAGTCTCAATCAATCTTCTGTAGTATGACTATCTTTTAGCTTGAGAGGGTAGCAAATCAATATCAGGACATTTCCGTTGACAATTGGCCCACACGCGTTGCAACCTGGAAAGACCAAAGTACGCAAGCAAGATGAAAAGGAATCAGGAAGGTGTTCCAACCCATCTGTATCCTCGCGTGACTTTTACGAGCAGGGGAGGCCTGCCGTAGCTGCCACTTGCTTTGAATAATATTACATCATTCTATACCCATTGGAAGTTCATCTGGTCATCAATCAAATAGGGAATTGCAGATACATATTCAGGTCCAATGACCGGATGTAAAGCCTCTCTGGTTGCCAGTGTACGGTCTCAGAATCCTCTCTCTCAAACGATGCTTACGAAAGCAACCGCTTCAAGGAAGGCGCATACCTTAAAAGGCATCTTAGATTAATCGCTTAGCTGAATAATATGGTTCTGCCGTGCTGTCGTACTCATCTTGACCGCGGAAGAAGTTGTGCTTTGATTTCGAGTGGGAGCTGGAAGTAAAACTGGCGATGAGAACGAATTACGGAGCTCCAATACTCGCTTCTTGCTCAGAGAGACGGAGCGGACCCTAAACCTGTTGCTGTGCTTCCACTAACTTTGACCGATTCTTGCCTCTACCCCTTGATCAAATGCTTTACACGGGGCTAGTGAGGAAGCTCCTGTCACCTGTCTGGCCTACGCACCCTGCCGATCGGATTCAAATCAATCCATTCCTCAACCTTGATCAAAAATGATTTCGTACGAGAGCAATTCATAAGAGACTCGCCAGACAGTCCATGCCGCTGTGAGGCCGTACCAAACGCTATCCTCATCATCTATTTCAACCCAGACTTCAGCTATCCTGACCCTCTACCATCTGTCTATCCACCAGCTAGAATAGGTCTCCACCAACAACCCCAGTTTCCTCTCCTCTCAAACGTCGATCAAGGACGAGTTTGGGACTCGGAAGTCTAGCAGTCATCTCGACGGAATGATTCTTAATAAGTGCGTCCGCTCTGCGCTGCGAATGAGTCGGTCGGAAAAGCCTCTGGCGATATCCAATGCGGACTATTTCTTAAAGGTCAAGGCATGTAGGCCTGGCGATGCTGCTAAAAAAGAAAAGAATGTATGGGTCTTATAGCAGCACGCCATCTGCAGCACTGGCTGCGCGTAGTAGATGTCATAAGGACTTGAAGCATATGGAGGATAAGCATATCGCAATAAGGGTGCTCAGATCCTTGAAGGAACCTGCCAGGTCATACTCTATATCAACACATCGTTGACAATACACCAAAGGTATACAGCTCTACTATCATTCAGTTTTCAGATAGCTGGTCATGAAAACCCCACATCCCTTAAGCGTTGAGAAGCGTATTGAGGTCAATGACCTACATCCATGGGTAGCCAGTCCCTTCCCCCTCTAAGGAATGAACAAACACTTAATTGGGCACCGTCTCTCGCGCCTCTGACTGCGTGCGTCTATTTGTTCTAATCCAATCCTACATCAGTCCAGATTTTTACATGAAGCACCGCCCGGCCTTTAGACACTCAGAACAAGCTCTATCTATATATATCGCGAAGATGAAGTAACAAAAGCTTTTCTTGCTCGTCGTGGTTGCAGCGCACAGAAGAAACGTCCTGCCATTTTCCGTGGCGCTTGACCTCGTCGATGCCCTCCCTGTTCTGACAGACATCGGATAAGAACAGAAAGAACTGCTATCTCTTCCCTTCCCTGGTCAGAATTGGCAAGGATGGCAAGGATCGCTCCCCGAGGCTTTGCTGCGCGAATGGGGGGCCTGACTTTCATTTCGTCAATTGGGGCGCTGGGTCTTGATGGATTGGATACTAAGGGGAGGGGAAGGGTTTAGATGGCTGTCTCCAGCTAGAGCGACTGCGTCGTGGGGGCTTCCTCTAGCAATACTGCCCATCGTGTGTGACGTTTACGATCGCTCTTCGAATGCATATCGTGTGCAAATTGTAAAGACTGTTTTTTAGATCGTGCGCGATTTTTCTTGCAAAAGGATGGATAGAAGAATGACAAAAATTTTGTGAATTGTTGGATAATTCGCTATTTTTGGATGCACGTGCTTGTCGACGGCTTAGAATTTGCAAGTGTATATATATGGATGTTCGTTGGAACTGTATGCGTCTGCTTTGCGATATACTGCCTCCCGTCGCCGTGTGCGAGAATGTAGGTAGACGCTATAGTCCACTGACCTAGACAGAGGTATAAAATCTCTCGTGGACGAGATGCTCCTTTCGCGGGATGGGGTTTTTTTCGATGTCAACTCCCTAGGTATTTCATCAGTGAAAGAAGGGTTTGTCTGACCATCATGACCCCCTTCCTTAGAAACTGCCCTCTCCTCAGACTTTTCTACTCCTCCTATTGCTCCCTTTAATTCAGTGCCCCCCTTGCCCCCTTCAAGCTCTGTTGGAATTCCGGCCTTCAGTGCTGTGGCGTCCATCTTGGTGGGGTGATTAGGATAGCCTGCTGCCTCAGCGCCATCAAGCTCGCCAAAAGCCTTGCCCGTTTTGTCTATCTCTGGCTTGCTATAGTACTTCTCCATAGCTTCAACCGTTTTTAGCAAAGAAGGGGCTAGCGAGAATTATCGTAATGAAAGCGAGTGACCTGATAACGATTCCTGCGAATAATTATATATTATATAGACTATAAACCATTATTATTAAGATCCCTGAACAAATATAAGAACAAATCCCCAAAGACTACTCCTAAGCGCTTGGCTTAGAATGAACCACTTGCCGGAACCACAACAGCCCCCCCAGAAACGCCTTGTACAACCGAGGATCCTGCTGTGCTCATATTGTCACTCAACGTCGATGCAAGATACAACCGTGAGGTTGAAGCAAATTTTGCCTCCCCGCCCCCAAGCCATTAATTTTAAGTGACGCAATTGAAGGCTGAAGCGACATTCCGAACGAAGGATCACTACTTAGTGAGCTTGCTGCGCGCGGACGATCTGGGTTCAAAAGCAATCTAAGAGATTGCTTGGCAGTACTCCGTCGGTGGAAGATGAGGCAAATAGCAACCGACAGACTCTTATAAGCCCGCCTGAATCGATTGACACTTTGAGCTCTTCCACCCTTCCTGGCCGGAGCAAGAAATCCTCGGCCAGCGTGGCAGGTTCTTACGCTCGCACGCTCGATGTCCTTAGAATCCGCCCAATATCTCTATTACAACGATTTGAGATAAGTCCAAGACAGCCGGGGGATATCGACAAACGGTATTCTTCACAGAATCTTGAGAGAGCATAGAGAGCGCTTTGTTTGACTTGCCGCCGTTGCTCGCTCCTATGGTATCTCCCTCACTCCGCGGCTAAAGCTCTGGAAGGGAATAATTCTGCTGCGTTCGCCCTGAAACACTGTGCTTTCTATGGTCTTCGAGGCTCCAGTCGGCGAGAGTCCAAGCCATATGGTTGCGCCCCCTTTGGGTTGTTGCGGAGGGGCGGTAGGGGCTCAGTGGTGCTAGCCAGCAGCAACTGCTTTCCTTCGGACGTAGGTGAAACCTACCGGGGGTTCTTGGTCTTCGTGGAGTTTGTACACAAGCCATATGACCACCTCGCGCCTGGCTGATGTGTGCCGACGCTCGCAGACAACAGGAGAGAGACTATTCGGAAAAGAGGGGAAGGTTACTAATATTGAAAACTGGAGAGGCAATTAAGTAGTACTAGCTGCAAGGAGAGCGAAAAGCAGTACCTGCAGGTAATACTTTAGAGTTTGGGTTCAAGTATATAAAAGGCCAAGGGCAGAGAGGCAAGCCCAATGGCCGTCTTCGCCCTTGAGCTGCACTGATCTTACTCGCTTGAAGTATGACACGGACACGCCAATTTGCATCGCTATCTAGGCTCTCATGTCTCCAGTACTCCGAGGCTTGTGACGCACTCGTGCCGAATGCATTTTCATATCCACACCTTGCCTCCCAATTCAAGAAGGCACGCATTTGGTCTGCCGCACGACCTGTTGATTCTTTGGTCATTGGCAAGGCTTCAGAGGCCTAGAAATTGTGAAGAGAGCCCTAGGAGGACATTGAAGGCGTCCACATCTACACTTGTACAGTGGTAAAGACCAGGCCGCCGCAGCGTCGTGTGGGGCCGTCATTTGGCCTTCCCAAGGACTGGGGGCACTTGGTGAAGCCCGAGTGTCATTCGCTTTGTGCGGAGAGATTTTGGTCGCTGGTGTAGGTGAGCCTGAAGCACCATCAGGCTCGTATTCTTTCTCATCCTCCTGTATAATATTGACATCTTTTTGCCCCCCACAGGCATCGTGGACATCAGTGGTGGTCATGATTGGCTCTTCGCCCACTTTGGGGGTGTTGTTTCCATGTTGTGCTTCACCACCCGCTGCCCAGATTACAGCCGGTGCGAGTGGTCATTTAACCAACACATTGCCGTGAATGAGTCTCTTCCCCATCCATTTATAGAGCGTGCACGCGTCAGAATCATCAATGTTAGGTGTGTACGGTGTTAGAGATGTACGGTAGGGTCTGCAGGTGCCCAGTCATCGAGCAGCAGTGGTGTCCCAGAAGATGGCGCTACGACCAGGCTGAGGCCTCGTGTAGAGCAGAGGAGGGTTCGCAGTGGTGAAAGTCAAGGCTTGTACGTGTTTCTGTCCGCTTGGGCATGTCAAGCCAGGGCTTCCAACGCTCCATTGATATGTGTACCCCCATTTTCTTCACATGCGTAGACACCATCCTGGCAAATGTCGCGTCAAGATCGTGGCGTCCAGCAAATTGAGAGATCGGTTGAAAGTCGAATAGGCAGATGGGTAGCGAGGTCTTTGCATGACAAGAAGGGAGGCTTGAGACAGTCATCATTCAAAAATGCCCGCATCGATGGAGGTCAGCCTACCCTTTGGCAGCACAGATGCTGTATTCCTTACTTTGTCGCGCGCAAAGGCTACGACCCTTTCGTCAAAGCAATTCAAGGGTTGAACTATGTTATGTAAGGTGCGGTATGGTAATGTATCGTAGCTGCGTATTATATTGATATAAAATACTGGAAACTCTGTATCAAGGCCTCCAATTTCCCGCGTGTAAAGGCCACAGTTCGCCTGGACCATCAAGCAGCCCCTCACAATCCTTCACCACACAGCTCCTCGTCACATTCATTGTCCATGCGACATGGCCAAATCTGTCAGCAAACATTGCGTAAGTAGGGTTCTCCATCTCCTGCAGTTTCTTGAATTTGCGCGAATGATCATGCAGTGCTTTGTGCACATAAGCAGTATTGTTCCACTGACTTGAGCTCTTATTCACCTGCGTCTCAATGATGCTAAGATTGCTGATCATCCACTGAAAATCTTCGATGCGTTCAAGTCCGCGCTGATGCATTTGACGATCTTCTGGCCTTTCGCCTATAGGCCGTCGAGACCCTTGACGTTGAGTCTGTTTGTCGCGCATTTTGGCTTCGTAGTCGCTCACCTTTTCTCGAATAGGTTGCAACTCGGTTGACAACCTATCACGGAGTGACTTTGTTGTTTTCAATGCCTTGCTGTGCCATTCACGTGTGTTGGCGAGCATTTGGATCGACCTGTCTACGAGATGCCTCAGGTGTTCATGTTCGACGCTGGGATCAACAGAGGAGATGAATCTTGGGATATCGCTATCGATGAGCTTCCACGTCGTATTTGCATCGCGATCCGCTCCCTTGATTTGTCGTTGAAAGGTCTCCATCTCGCTTCTCAAGTTCACTTTCTTCGAGCGATTCTGCTTATCGTGTTTACGTTGTTGGTTGTGTCGATTGTTCATTTTGGTGATGTTTGCCACCGAGCCATCCAATGAAGAAATAATCTCGAGGCTACTCTGTAGTAGAAGTCTATGAGGCTGCGGAGTAGAGCTTGAGTTGGCCTCAATGCGACCTAACGCGGGCGCCTCGTCTTTCGTCTTGAACATGGCGAAAATCGCAAGCTCGAAAATAGTCAGAGCTGCTGCAATCGAAAGGCCCCAAAAGAGCACTGTGCACCAACATGCCGCGGACGACTTCTTGGGCTTTCGATTCACATTATGCACGTCATGTGTATCGTGCGTATCATGCCGATCGCGCGGATGGTGCTGATGATGCGCAGAGGTCTTGGGGCCTTCTTTACTCGGCTTGGTTACGCTCTTCTTCATCGATTAAATGACTGAAGTACATTTGTTTATGAGACTCAACTCACAGTGGGAGACTCTGGTATCTCTGGCGAAGACTGACGAAATTAGTTTCAGCGACAGTCGGCTTTGACGAAAAGGCTTCCTTACGGATGATCGAAGTCCGCCGTTCATCAAATACTCATTTGAAGCCTTCCCCTTGCGCTGTCGAGCGGCATTAGACGGTGTTGAATCCGGACCATGTTGCCTTGCACCTAATGGGGTGTTTCGCTGCGGAGCGAATTTGTTGGTGAAGGCTTGGTCTGCCATGGATAATCACAAGGAACAGGACAGATGGGTGGAATAATATGAGTTTGGAAGGTGATGAAGTGCTGGAAGATCAGTGTTCTCAGCTCCGTCCCCGGTGCTGCATATCCGATGTCCGAACGCCGCTCTTAGTCGCTCCGCCATACGCCCTATCGATTATATTTTCGAACATTATTACTTATGTTTGCAAGCATCTCAAGAATCCATAAGCACGCTGGGAATGAGAAGAACGAACTCACTTCGCTACTTGGCCGTGGCGGTCGCGGTCTCATGTGGTGCGGAGCATATTCATGGAAAGGGCGGGCCCTCATGTCATTGTCTTCACTTGCTAACAATGGGGCAGATGCATCTTCAGGCTCTATGTACACGAGTCAAGTCCAAGCGACATCAACAACAGCTGCAATGACCACCTCAGATGCCACAATTAATTCGACCCCGGCGCGCTATACATTGTCCGCTGAGCTGGTGTGCCTACCTGCGTCGATAGATATCTACGAAGAATATACCTTTGTCTCTACCTTCACGAGAAAAATGTCAAATTATACTATCCCACCAGCGAATCCAACGCCGCAACCAGAGCCGCGCTATCGCCCCAACACCGTCCTCGAGGTCCTCGAAGTATTTCCGTCCAATCTTAAGGCAAACTCAAGACCATTGATCGACTTCCTCACGAATCCTCAGCCTTTGATACAGCGACTATTCAACCACACTAACACTTACGCGTCCGAGATTGCGGGCAACATGCTCCCTGACATCCGAAAGTGCCTCGACCCCGCCAAACTGTTGGAAAGCGCCCTACGTTTGGGCTGGAGCGGACTCTGCCACTCCGCCATAGAAATCAATTGGGTTTGCAAAGCATTGTGGGATCATGTGATCTCAGAAATGGTAAAGCGCCTCATATCCAAACTTTCCTGGCCCGAATTCGGCTCCCTCAGCCTGACCTTCTGGCGCCGCCCCCCACCAGAACCAGAATCGAAGCATTACATCGAGCCAGTCCAAAGCACCATCGAGTCCTACGGCTCCGGCCTATTCAACCAGCTCGAAGTCGTCTGGATAATCGGCCCGCTCTTAACATTCGTCCGACAGATATGGAGCTGGAGTAGGTTCGTGTTCAATACCTTCAAATTCTTGATACTTGGGACAGTCGGGGTATTTGCGCTTCTTGCCGTGCTGTACGGCTTGAGGTGGCCGTTGAGGGGAATCGCGTATATTTTGCCTGTTTTGAAAAGGGATGCACAGGAGGTTAAGGCTTCTTTACAGTCGCAAGAAGGGGAAGCGGGAGGGGACGGGAAGTAGGTGTTTGCGGAACCGGACAGACTGAAGGGAATGGAAAGAAGGAGATCGCGGAGAGATAGCTTTGGAGATACGTAGACAAGATACTCGCATCTAATGCCATTTATTGAAGTCGGCCTGCGTAGAGGGCACAGCGAGCAGAGAATCGATATAAAAAGCATTGGAATCTTATCCTTCGTCATATCACAACAATATATCGTCCATAATAAATCCCCCCCAACCCCGCTGCCACTTCTGACCCTCCCTCTCGCAAAATCTCTCTGATCCTGCACCCAACCAAAGCCAACCCAACATCTGCCTCACGTACTCCTCACCCTCGATCCATGCCCTACCACCTTCCCATCGCCTCCACGCTTGAACTCCATCCCTCCGTCCCCTCCGCTTCATCTCCCACTCTTAACCCATCCATCCCCCCTTGTCATCTCTTCCCTCTCCCCTCCCCCCACAACCCCCCCTTTCAACGCCCGACGCCAATTCAACCTCCTCCTATGCCCAATCCAGACTGTAAAAAACTTTCGCGCCCAGAATTTTCCGCGAAGAAATCGTTGCCTTACCCTTCCCCCGTCGTCAGCAGCCCGACCCGACCGCTCTAACTTTTAGAGCTTGCAGGGGGAGGGGTGGTTACGCACAGATGCGCCACTCTGAATTCACTGGAGTGCTTCGTTCGACAGGCTGGAGATCAGCCGTGGACGATACGATCATTTCTTCGAATAAGCGGTGGAGGGTACTTGCATGAGGGAAGGGGGGGGGCTTGGTGGTCAAGAATCAAGTCTGTTGGTGTTGGTGTTGGTGTGAGAATAAGATAGTGGGTGTTCAAGTCGAGGCGTCTACAATGTTTGGTGCTGGGGATGGATGGTTTTTAGGGGGAACTTCTGAGAGGTTGTGGATATTGTGGTTAACAGGGGCTGGTATAGGTCGGTTGAATAGTGGGGGCGTAGGAGATGGATAAGGGGTGGAGAGGTTGAGGGGTTTGGGAAGTTGATGCTTTTGATGTTTATTCGCTTACACCGCGCAAGGCTGCCATCCTCAATGACTGTCTGATTGAGTATGTGAAGCCGTTTCTTCGCTACCTACTTTGACTCTTTATAATCGTAGCCTTCATCTGCTCTCCGCCTCACTGCATCGCAGAAGGTTCATTGCCAACCACAACCTCTTGGTCCTCGGCCCTATTCCCTCAATCCTCACCACACGCCGTGCATATTCAGATGCATCCGCCCAGCCCGTCCCAACCCTAGTGGCATTCTTGTCGCCCACCTTCCTGCGGCTTTCCCTTTACCAATATTCCTGTGGTTGCTATTGTTGCTGTTGCCAATGTTCTGGCTTCGAATAAGGGCAGAGGTTAAAGCCGGCGAGAGATTGGATGAGAGCCTGCGCGATCTTGCGTACCCCGGCTGCACGTACAGGAGAGTGGAGAGGGTTTTGGGGCGAAGATACGAAGGGAATGGGAGGCGTGGAGAGAGGGGAGTTTCGGGCGTAAATCTAGAGGGGTCGTGGCCTTCTTGGCGTCTGTTGAAGAACATAGAGGCCTGTGTGGGAGCAATACTTGGGGTTGGCGAGGTGGTGAAAGCGATGTTCGCAATTCAAACCGTCGTAGCTTATGTCATGATTCGCAAGCGAGAGGAGAGTGCCAAAATCGAGCATGTATGCAGGACCCTCCAAGCTTTTCTATCATTTGGTTCTGATCTTTTCAAGTATATGCCACTATTGAGGGATCCCGATCCACAAGGAGCACCTGTCATTACGTCTGATGTATTTATGTCGAGGGCAATTGGTGGAATTGGAAGGATTCTAACGTAGTCGTGTGTGACGTCTGTCTTAACGTGGTGTAAGGTCCCTCATGTCCCCATTCTAAGGCATGTTGAGAAATTCAGATATTGTGGTAGCTAAAATCTCACGACACACTGTGTGAGAGGTATCGGTTGTAAGCAGTCAGCTGAGAGGATGGGCTGTAGGAGTGAAGTATCGTAGCACTATCTATTGCTAATCGTTAGCATTGTTGCTACACCTCCAAGCCCAACAGACTTACTGAGGACTATCTTCCTTCTAGGCTACCGGTCGTCTTACTGACCTGCATGGCCCCGAGTACAGCGACCGCAGCTGCTGATCCTCCTGTCTTTACTCCTGCATTCTCTGCTTTCTGTAGCCTGGTGTAGGTATCAAGACCGATCTTCGCCTTGCAGCTTTAATGCCGGAAGTTGCTTGGCTAACGCAGTAGGAGCGGGCGAGAATGCTCGTCAGAAGATCGTATTTGCAGAAATGGGATTCTAGCATAAGGGTTGCTTTCCCTTCCGCGGGGTTCATTCCTTCTTTCACCCACCAGGGCATATGTCATCGTTCTTGCAATTCTCCCTCCATCTCTGTCTCCACCTTCAACCGTCTTCAGCCTGCCGTCGCAGGTGTAATTGATTCTTTGATGAGTTTGTGGAAACCGTCACTTTTTTCTCTCGCCATTCCACGCACCCCAACGATTCACGTTCTTCAAATTGCTATCTCTTCAACAACACTTGCAATTGTACGCAATGAGTCTTTTGCCAGTCGACTCTCTAGGGGTTCACGCGAGCCAGGTGCTTGAGATTTGGATAGTGAGGTTTTTGTTGTAGCAGGAGGGATTCGGCAAGGGACGAATTAGAACAGACAGGGACAAACTGTCCGGTCTATTAGTGGACAAATCCTTGAACTCAATATTGCGCGTACACGTCAAGCTTGGACCTCTCTATCTCACCTCGAATTGAAGGAAGTGTACACCTTTGACCGGCGAAAGCTTGAGCTCGCGATTTGAGATGATGAATCTTTTCGTCCACCGTACGAAGATGGCGCTAGGAGATTCGAACTTATCCTAGAGTCTCAGGGCACGACCAGCGACCCTCAATTTCCAAAAAAATACATGCAGGGCTTTTCAAAGTAAGATTTTCCACGTTGCGAAAGAGAAGAACATCGCCTAGACACAAGACAATGCTCAACAACGCGGCGTGCGAACTCTCGTTCAAGGTCATGAACATCATGAAAGCGAAGCAGGTTATAAAGGAAGAATAAGGCGCCTCCCGCAAGTTTACACCCAAAGTCCCGACGCAGAAGCTGTCGATTGGTTCTCCCTCAAGCTCCATGAATTCGACGCGAAGAAAATGGAGCACCTACCGCGCCCAACCACCCTCGCTCACCCCTCCGACTCCCTTAGCAACCTCACCTACCCACGCTACGTCAGCCGTGCGACCGTCTAGCATTGAAGCTGCAAGAGGGCGAAGAGCACCCGCCAACTCCCGCTACCAAACCAAAAGGTCAAGATGAGGAGAAAGGCAAAAGTGACGGTGATGCGCAAGCCTAACCAGCGTATGAACAGTTGGCTACTACAACGGGGCGCAATGAAGATGAAGCGGACGGATCAGCCTACTGCGCTAGGTCCGGCGTTGGAAAAGAGGGACAATCTTCGTCTCAGTTAGTAGGACAGGGTGCATTAGAAGGAGAAGAGCAAGGGCGCTCCTTTTTACTCTTCAAGATCTTGGATGGGCAAAGGGAGAGAACTTAGGTGGAAGATTGGAGAATATAAGGAGAGGACAGGGAGAAATATTTGAAGAGGGAGATTTGGGGGTGCGAAGGAGGGAGGAAGGGGTTGTAAGCTGGATAGAAAATGGAGTCTTGGGGGACTCTGGGGACGGCCAGACCGAAATCTCTTGTGTGGTGGGCTTCAACTTGCGCTCCCGCGTCGGCTTTGGAGGATAAGGGATTACATGGATTTGGTGGGCTCTGCACGATCGAAAGAGGTGCGTAGGGCAGTATAGACGTAAAGAGGGAGCATGGGAAGGCTGATTGAGGTATTGGGTTGGGAGAAGATGGGGTTAACATTGAGAACGCAAGAGCATATGTGTTGTAGCTTCAGAAACTATGCGGCATATTAGATGCACAGACTCGTATACACCGAGAGTAGAATTCAATATGTTCAGCTAAACAGTCTACATTTCCTAGCACAGCTCAAGCACCGCAGAGTCTTTACACGATATGACATCGCTTTAGTCGCGATACAATGACCGTTAAGATCCGCATTGTCGTCGAACACTAAGTTGTACTCTTCCCTTCCTCTTGCGTGCATGCCAGCTTTGGTGGAAAAGCTCCATAGCTATCCCTCTCCTCCCCCGTCAATCTCAACTTCACCCAACTTCGCCCAACTTCTTCCAATTTCGTTTCTCTTCTCTTCGTCTTAGCGCTTGAAAGGGAGCCTTAACGAATACAGCGACGTTCGCGTCCGTTCTAGTGCATCGATATGCCCGGTCTGCTGTCTGACCATTCTTCACCTTAGTTCCTGGATGTAATTGATGTTCTTGTGACCTCCATGACTTTCGCAGCAGGCCGAGGTTTTTGACGAAGGAAATACAGGGAGCTTGATGAGGGAGAGATGGCTAGAAGGGTAAAGTATGGAGTGAAGTTCGAGAGGAAGGTGCGTGAGAGTGGAGGAGTAATTGAGGATTCAGGGATTGTGGGCATGGTGATCATTTGGCTGGTGTCTATTGTCAGTAATAATTCTGTCTGAGAAACGATGCATTAAGGGTACTTGATCCGAATACCTCGTCAAATTCATTTGCGTTCATCAATAGAACCCTTCAATGTCCCTCTTCCTCTCTCTCGCCCACACACTTTTTCCTAGGCTCCTGTTCTGCACTCCCTCCCCCATTCCCAAGATTTGATCGCCAATTGCCCAACTTGCCCCTGATGCTTCGGCATCGTCCTCCTACCTTTGCTTGAGATCCAGCCGTAATACGCATTTCGTACATTTGACCCGCGTTGATGAAATTGGCAATACAGTCAAGTTTTGCACCCTAGGCCTCGTCCTACGGCTCTTGTGGCGGCACCCCTCAAGCTCTAGCTCCGCCACCTACTTCTTTGCATCCATCATAGCTCTATATCATAACCCCTTAACATCATCATCCTTCAAACGAGCAACTTGCTTCACCATGTTTTTCTCTTCGCTTGCAGGTGGAGCATTTGTGTTTTCAAGAGTGAGTGGGAATATAGGGCAGTTGAGGAGGTTGGAAAGAAGGGAGTATGGTGGGTCGACACTCGAAGCCATATTTGGAATGCGGCTGTCAACGCAGATAGCGATGTTGCGATGGTTTTCATGATGTTATGCAGGATTTGGCAGTCTCGCAGGATTCTCCGCGAAGACCCTGCACGCCAAGAACTTTTTCGATGGAGCACAAAGAGTTTAGCTCCAGGGCTTCTATGCTATGATTTGCCCAGCCGTGTCACCATCGCAACACTCATTTATTCATTCACCTAAAGCAAATACTCACAGCTGTACGTCATCAGCGTTGCCACTTCACTCATCTTCGTCGATAATTCAGCTTTTGGAAGATGGCGTGTACGATTTCCAATCGGCCATGGGTAGCGAATGGCAACAAACAAATCTGGGGCCAACGCAAGCCCCCGTCCAAAGTCCGCTTGACCTCCAGCCTCAAAACATGGGTTCATCCTCTCTTCACTGGCTTGACCAGCTCTGTTGGCTTTGCTGGCGACCATTGGAAACTATCCCCAAGTCACCTATAATGGATGGCTGTCTAGACTCCAGGCGAGACTTTGCTCCATCGGAGGTTTTGAAATGTCTCCAATTCATACTGCAGCCTGCTGTAAGTCGTCTCAAATGAAGTATGTACAGATTCTGACATATATAGGCTATACTAGCTCTTCATCAAATTACTATAAAGTCGGAAAATCCTCTGAACGAGGAGCAGAAGGACGCCCTGAAGGCTCTACACATGGTCTCTCTCATGATCCCCGTTGGCCAGGAAAAGAGCCACACAACGGCTGCCGATGATCAGGAAGCACTCGGTGAATATTTAAGGATTGCAAAAATACAAATCGAGCAAGAGACGGAACTAGTGCTCCAAGAAATGATCGCGAAGCAGCAGCAGACCAAAGAAAAACAGCGGGCGGCAAAGGAACGCAATCGAGTAAAGAGAAAAGCAGACGCTGAAGGATCAAGAGAAGATTCTGAGACTGAAGAAGAACAGGACGAGACTGAAAGTCATGCTGGTTCTCGTAAAAGGCCTAAAACAACCACTGCCGGCGATGAACCAAGTTCACAGCCACCGAACCCTAGAGCGCCAAACCCTGTCAACAAAAACACGGACACCACCACCAGAAAGACTCGTAAATCTACGCGACCTGTAGGGGAAGGTGGCGGGAGTACAAACAAAACCCTGGACCATCCGCCGACACCACCGAATACCCCCCAAACAAAACCTCGTGGCCGTCCTCCCGCCCGTCCAAAGAACACCACAACCAAGCCGCCGCCTATCAACGAGCAAAGTCCTATATGGCGCACAGTCCGTCAGCTCGACGACCTTAAACTTCATCACTCGCTCAAATCAATGCTCAATGCAGACGACTTATCCCCCTCCCTCCTTTTAGAGGGGCAGAACGAACCCGAGCTTACCATCTTGCCCCGTGGAGATCAAGAGGCTACAGGCCCGAACTCGCTTGAGGAGGGGATTATGCGTTGCTTCATGTACGCCCTTACATCTCAGTCGAAGGGCATATATGGACGCATGAGGGAATTGTTCGTGACGCTGTTTTTGGGAGATTACGCGGACCAGGAGTTCGGTAAAACCGGACATATCAATCAAGCCAAGGCCAAAAGGATGGTGAAGAAGCTGATTCAAGCTCACGATAAGGCAGGCGCTGATGACCAAGGGCCCTTACCAGACGGCATGAAGGTGTCGGAGCTTGAAGAGAAGCTGGTGGACCAGATGCCAAAGATGCGCGTCAGAGGAAGAGTTTTGGTTCACCTGTGCTACATATTTGGGACTGGATGCTTGTTTTGGCTGCAGGACGTTCTGACTGAGAATTTGTGAGCTCCCTCCGTTTCCTCCCTTCTTACCCTCACCACGATCTCCGTTCTCCCAATCCCAATTTTCCTCACCGCTGTCATGCTTTGTTGCCTTTGCCATAGCCTTACTGACGCTGATTGTCCGCAGTCTGAACCGCAACGCCCCACTTTCTGGCCAGTACTATGATGCCGCGATGATTCATCTTCTGGATTTGAAACTTGCCACAACGGCGGAGGACAGTAAGGGCAACGAAATTGGGGATGCTGTGCGAGCGAAGTTGGCACAGGTGTTTGGCGTGAAGAAAGTCAGCCATGACAAAGGAACCAGATCACAGCCGAACTGAAGCACGTGGAGAGAGAGATGATGATGACGGCCGCATGTTAGTGGAAATGACGATGTAGCTACTGTCTGTCCCTTCCCATCCCCACTCTCTTCACTTGACATAGTCTGCCTTTCTTAGATACCAAAGTATTCCGTCCATGTTTCCACTCAATATCCATTGCCTCAACAAGTCTCATAGCCTACCGCTTTGCAAATCCCATCCAATCCCATCCAACCCAATCCAACCCAACCGTACCGGCCAAATCATATATGTCCCAGCCCACGCACAGCCTACTACCAACGCCTACGCCCTCCAAACCTCCTCCCGCTCTTGCGCCCCTTCCTTTCCCTCCCCTCCTGACCAAAGCATCTATCTTTATTACCCTCCTCTCTCTCCCGCTGCTCATTCACCTCAACGATTACTTGCCTACAAGGGCAGTCTCGGAATTTTTCCCACCTCCCCACCTCCCCCTCTACCAACCCTTCTCCATCCCCCATCCATCTTCCCCCAAAGAAACACCCAGTCCATACACGTTCTGAAATTTCCAAAAGCTTGAGATAAAATAAGGGAAGGCGGGTGCCATCTCTCGGGGCCTATGGAGGCTTTGTAAAGGCCTCTGGGGGAAGGCGCAGGATGGATGAGTAGCTGGAAGGGAAAACGCCCTGAGATGGTGGGACGGTGGGACGGGATGGGATGGGATGAAGCAGAATGAGTGATTTCACTCAGACGAAGCCGAATCAATCGATGAGGATGTATAGAGGTAGAGGTGTAGAGAATGAGGGCGTTATATAGACGGGATGGGATAGGGCGGGGCGGACGACGGTAACAGTGGAATCATGAATGGGTGGAAGGTAAAATAAGTATGTCATTATTGCATCAGTCTGTTCCCTGTCTATGAAGGGAAAACACATTAAGCCGTTTCTCATTTGACATTATTGCATGCCATCCTTTCTCACGATTACTTACCTCAGGTCCTCCACAACGACAAACCTCGCCCCACTCCCTAATCCCCTTCCCTCTCTTAATACAAACCTCCTGACATCTTCTCCCCTCTCGTCCTTCTTTCTCTCCTCACTCACCAGCTCCAACCATTACGCCCTCTCCCCCCACACAAACACAATCCAGCTCCCTCCAAGCCTTCTCAGCCGCAGCCTCATGCATACCCGACCTCGGAACGACATGATCATGATACCACCCCTTCAGAAAGTCCCTCACCCCTTCCCCGCCGTCCTCCTTCCCACCCATCATCCCTTCTCGATGCTCTGGGTTCCCAAAAATCCCCTCCATCTTCATCCACACTCTCGAGACCAGGTCATCACGCGTTCCCCTTCCCCCTCCCTCATCCCCCTTCAACTTCTTACAGCCACGACGGCTGGAATCATTCAAACACCCATCAAGCTCAGCTATATCCAGCGCCGCCGGCATCCTCGCCACAACCTCCAGCTCCACCAGCTCTGTATACCAGAATCCCAACTCTTCCGCCATCCTCTCCACCGCCCGCTCCTCCGCCACGCAATTCTCCACCGCTCGCTGCGTACGATCGGCCCAGTCCAATGACTCCTCGTGTTTCGCGACTGCCTCGCCCCATAGTTTCTGGTATGCCCACGGCGTAGGAACTTTACGCCGCACGTATTTGTTGAAGCCTTCAGAAGTCCATTGAAGCCATGTAGGATCCCTGGGGGCGATGTTCTGGGCCGCCATGTCCGCGAGGGAAGTGTAGGCGGCAGTCAGGGTCGCGTAGTGGGATGAGAGGCGCGCGAGGGCGTTTTGGGCGTTTGATGTGCGGGTGAGGGCGGTGGTGATGGTCGTCGTAAGGTGGGCGTTTATTATGGAGGTTTGGATTTGCGATGGGGCTGGGGCTGGGGCTGGGCGGGCGTAGTTCTTGAATGCGCAGGGGAGGGTGTATGTGAGGTGCGTGTTCAAGTCGTCGAAGGCGCTGAGGACTTTCCGACGGCGGGTTTTGAGCGTTTTGAGGGTCATGGGTCTCGATGCGGCTGGTGAGGAGAGGTTTAGGGCCTCAAGAACGGGGATGTGAAGCTGTTCGTCAATGTTGAGGCGTATGTTGAAGGTAGGATAGAGCCTGCTGGAACGCCCGAGAGTAGTGGTTGGACAGATGGGCACGGGGGCCACAGGGCTGTAAAGGGAGTGATAGAGGCTCCAGACGAATATAAAGACAATCAAAGGCACTGCCACGCAGAGAGTGGGCAAGAGGACGATGGTTAGGAATTTCCTGAGAGGAGGTCAGTCAGCCAAGAGTGTCAAATGTGAGAGGTGGGAGGTACTGACGCCCCTAGGCTGCGCGATTCAAGACGGGCTTTTGGTGCTCGAAATTGCTCGCCTTGACGTGCGTGGTGAAGTTGAGCAGCGGCTGGACGTTGGTCAGCCTCAATGCAACGGCGAGGACCTTGGAGCATACCTTGCATTTGCCGCTCTCGTTCAATGGCAGCGTTTCGTGCAAGTCTTTTCCCAATCTCTCCATTACCAAAGTCGACTCTCAGCCCTTCTGGAGAATTGTATGTTCCAGGCATCTTGCCAGATGTTTCGAGGGTCTTACGATTCCTGATATGCTGCGTTTCTTTCGTAGGGCCAGAGTGACGAGGTCGACCTTGGATGCTGTCAACGCTTTCATCACTGGAGCTGGTGGACGGAGAGCTGGAGCGAGCGTCCGTTTCATCCTCTTCGGAATCTGAGACCGTCGACACGCGGCTTCGCAGCCGTTTGTGCACCATATGGCTCATGGCTTTTCTGACGATGAGAAAGCGAGTGTGAGAAGTTGTGAGGTTGTAGTGAATATTTCTACCACGGTGGGAAAAACGAAGAACGAAGCCCGGGAATGAATTTCGGACGTCCCGTTGACGGACGTCTGCTCTCGGACGGGACGCCGCATGACTCTGGTGATGGAGCAACGAAGTCCGACAGAGACGGCTCCGTACTGGCTGAAGCAAGAAGGCTCAATGCAGTCAGGCGCGGCGATCCAAGGCCTGACATATCAATCAATGAAATTGCCAACGGCCATCCTGCTGAGTGCAGTTTAGAAAAAAGCGGTGTTTGGAGGGGCGCATGAGAGAGGACTGGGAACGGTGCGCAAGATTTTGGGAGAGAAGGTATCTCTTGTGCCTCCCATCGTCCATTCTGCAACAATGACTGTCTTGTGACTCGTTGTGTATGTTTCATTAGCCCATGGGATGAAGGTTCGGAGACGCAACGAAGTTGGGGCTTGCCGCATAGCTGTATTTCTTGAAATAGGTGGATGCTGCATAAAAGAGGCGGCCAAGGCAACTCATTGCGTAAGTACAAATCACCTGCAGTGGTCTTGATTATCACCTTCACCCCGTTCTTTGTTGTTACACGCCTTGACTATCACCAGCATTGAGCCCGCATCGACTCCCCACGGTCGTTGTGTTCCAGCATGCCCGGCTTGAGACTGTTGGCCCCTCCAAACTTGATCGTTAGCCAGCCAATCGCTTACCTATCCGTAGAGATGTAGAGGTTGACTGCTTGCGAACCTTTTCTCAAGATCCGGGCGGTCAGCGACGATAAATCCGTTACTAAGCGTATGAAGGTCTGGTCTCTGATACATAGTTGAGGCGTCTGTAGAGGATGATAGAGTTGAGGAGAGTGAGGGGTGCCTCATCGAGTGAGGATCTGAATTGCAGGGGACTGTCGGGAAGGTGGATGAAGGCGTGAGAAGAGTTTGCGGTTGGCAGGATTGATATGGCGCGGAGGGGAATTGGACCCCTAATGTGAGACTGAACGTCGGTGAGCCCCCAGTCAAGGAAGTTGGGCTCTCGCAAGGTGTCGGTAGCAAAGGCGTCCTTGGAGCTAACATTGTTTTTGTACCATCTGTGGGTCTTGCATTGAAGTTGTGCGCTGGTGGAGAGTTAATCGTGGGTGAATACATACAATCAATCTTTTTTCGGCGACAATTGGTACATGGGATAAGCCCAGCACTAACTCGGTCGCATTTAATATGGTTTCTGTGGCACTGATCACACTGCTAGCATGTCAATCTACAGAGCATATAGAAGAAGAATGGTGTAAGGATCTATACTGTTCTTTTCGCAGTTCCCATTGGCCTCAATTTCTCCAAAGCCGGTTGATGGTTGGATTATGTAAGAGAAAAGATCTTGCAGTGTTGGTTGAATAAATGTTGCAATAGAACCTTGTAAGATTTCAGACTTGTGGTCAAGGAGAATGCCAAAGCAATGGGGAAATGGCAGATTCTTATGACCGCCAGGGCCATCTGAATCAAGACCATCATTCTGACGGAGGGAACGCCCCTTCCCCTGCACGTTCTGGCCGAGCCTGCTGGAAGCAGTCGTCATGACTTGGATTTAGAGATGTGCATTGCCTGAGTGGGTGAAATGGGCACCTTTCTGGACATGAGGACAGGGGTTGGGACAATGAAGCAGAGATGAGTGTCTCAAAGCCTCCGCGCTTGGCTGCCCACCACGGACAGCGTCAGACGATAGTCGGAAAGCAGAGCAGAGAACAAGATACAATCAATCGCAATAGCATTGCTGAGGGCATGATGGCAATGACGCTGTCAAATAGAGCATGATGGGAAGAAATCAAGAGGTAGAGACAGAAGATGGCGGAGGCGGGCTGCCCAGCCACTAACCTGAAGCGGGAAGGACACGCGGAGATATATCTCAAGCCACCCTTATCTCCGGTGTCTACCACGTTCTCGACCAGGCTTACTAAGTCTTCTGCAACGCCAGACCTGATCGAGCTTTTCTCGACATCTAAGATCGAAAGCTAGGGAATAAAATGTGACAGGTTCATTTCCTCATTCAGCTTTTGACAGAGTCTGCCGTCGAAGTCCGTCATTGAGCTTCTGGATTGCGGGGTAATTGTGGCGGGATCCAGCGGAAGGTCCCTTACCAGACGCGCCTTGCCCTATCTACTCTAGTGCTTCTCTTGACGTCTTGGCGGAGCAGGGGCCTTGTGGCTTGTGGCTTGTGGCTTGGCATCTGAGAACCTGCTGTTGACCACGGCAAGATTGCTAGGTCCGCCAATTTGGAGCACACAGCGCTACAGCATAACCAAGAGATAAGCTCGTTCAGATCTCAGTGAGAAACTCCTATACCAATGTGAGGCATAAGGTTGACCTCAATGCTGCTGTCCGCCTTGAGCGGACTTACGCTTACACCGTTGCAGGAGCAGGATCGACCGCACCAGAACCCAAGGACCTGCAATCAGAGTGTTAAGGCTCATGTTCAAGTCCCTAATCCATCTCATCATGACCAATAGTTTCCGACACGATCCGTATCGAGATGGATGCAGAGCTATCGCCACTGCCATCTTCGCCGCGATGCCCGACCGTTCATTGAGGGAACCTACATGATGCCTTCGACTATCTGCTGCTGACCGCCAAACACCGCGACCCCGATCGGACGCCCGACGTGCAGCAATCGCAATTCATCGCCGCTCTCAGGTCCGTCCCCTCTGATATAACATATAACATGTCGGCTTACACCAAAACTCTCATTCGCTCTCCATCACTCCCCCACACCACAGACACATGGAGAGCGAGACTTGCCAAGCTGCGGCAGCAGAGATGGCAGACCAGACTCAAGACATCACTGAAGAGTCCAGCGAAGTGCCTGTGACGCCGCCTAACCAAGCTGATGACACGAAGCCCCATTCCAGCCAGATTCTCACACCCCCGTCAACTCAGAAGCGCAAACGTAGCAACAGCACGGCGCTCACTGATGGATTGCTGGATGAACATCCTCCAAAGCGCGATACCCACTCCAATCGATTACAAGTCTCGACAGCGCGGCGAGTATCATTTTCAAAGCTAGTTGCTAACACCATGACCACTCTCAGTCATGGTGCCTTCTTACCATTGGTCCCAGATTATACGCCCGGGATGATTGTCCAAGACTCTGCCTCGCCAACTTCGAAGGTGGATCCCTGGGGACTTGCCGGCGCCGATCTCCAAGCATTCTTGAGCAATGAAAGCGACCCGTATTCTGCCATGGCATATGGCGCAATCTCTCAGTATATCGAGCTTCCTCCGATGTCGTGGCTCAACAACTTCTTGAGCATCAACAATCTCAACGGGCAAGAACTCCTCACTCGCGTCCCCGTCGCACTGTTCTCCCTCATCAACGCGCCCTCCCCAATTGCGGCCAACATGGACTTGCTGCCAAATTTCTACTATCTTGAGGGTCTGCTCTACTCAATCAACCACTTCAGGCAAAATAGCCGCGGCTACAAGGCCTGGTCCGCAGACATGGTCAACAAGCTGAACTTTTTCTTGTCGGATGCTGATCGTGGGCATCCTTATGATGGTTCTACAATGACTAATATCGATGGCCCAGTGAGCCGCAACGCTGTACTCCGTGCAATTAGTGCCAATCAGGTCCTCAAGCCAGGAATGACAAAGGACGTATACGTGCCGGGAGGCAAGTATACGATCATTGCACTACCAGGAGGAAAGATGGGGATGGAGTGGAAGACCGAAATAAGCATTGTGAACCCCGATGGTGAAGACGGATGGATGATGTCGCATTGCGTGATCCAGGAGCCGGTGGCATCTGGGCAGGTTGATGAGCAGACGGCACTTGGGGACGTGGGTACAGAACGTTCGACAGTGGAAAAGGCAATGACAGGACTTGTGGGAAACCCCTCCTTAGAAGCCACCCCAATCCCTTTTGGCGACGCTCCTCTTGAAAACTTCTTTCCCATCGACAACCAGGATTCTTACGGCGCAGACGATCTAGACTTCAACCAATTCCTCACCGACTACCCACCCTTCGAACCAGCCCCGGCCTCATCAATCTCAACGTTAGCGCTGGGCCTATCAAACGACAAAGATGACACCGTTGGCGGGATGCAAATTGACAATGCCCCCGCTGACCTTGCTGTGCGCCCAGATCCATCCCCTGGGCTTGACACCACCCCCACTCTACTCCCCAACGCGTCGAACGTAATACAGAACGCTTCCAACGTTCAGATCGGGGAACATGGCGGAAACGATATTGCTGATGAGCCGTTAAGTGGCGGAAGGGAAGACTTGGCGTCGCTGCCCTTGAATCCGGACGTCTGGGATGAAGCTGAGGAGACTTGAAGGGGGGATCAAGGGCTGGTAAGCCAGCCTCGGAAGGCCAGCAACAAGCTGTATCAGGACCTCAAGATGTTGCAGAGACTGAGGATGATGCTGCGGCTGCTAGCACCACAACCACGTCTGCGTTCGACAATTTCTATAGAGAACTGGGAGGTTACGCGGCAGAGAGATGTCTCATCTCATAATATCACGAATGTAGGCTAGCTGGTCTTAGTGACTTAATAGCGGGTATGCTAGAATAATGATGACGACAATGTTGTGACTCCGCCCCATACCAAAACCCCAATACTTCCAATGGCTAAAAAGGTAGCATGCAAAATTCCATCTTTGCCACTCCCCTGTCTGCTGCTCAGCGTGGCTCCCTTCTCGTTCCGCTCGCACACGCCCCCTGCAAAACGCACACCCCCCTCCTCCCCCCTGCACAATGTCTGAAGAAACATCTCCGTTCTCATCTATGCTTCTAGATCATCACTGCAGTCTCCGCCCTTTTCCGCCCATTCTCCTCGCCAGAACCGAATTCTTTGCCAGTCGGCAAATTTGCATGCTGATGAAATCTTGGAGGAAGAAGGGAGGGGAGGGGAGGGGAGGGGAGGAAGCGAGCTTGATACAAAAGTGAGTGAGTGGATGGATGGCGGCTGCTGCGGTGTCTGATGCGATGCTGTATGGTAAGAGGGAAGGAGGGAAGGAGGGAAGTAGTGAGATGCATTTGGTCCCAGGATAGATAGAAGTGCTGGGATAGGTTGGGGAGAGGGAGAGGATATGCAGTCTATGGGGGGTCAATGAGGGGGGAATTGTTGAATGGGAGCTGGACTCTGCAAGGTACAGGGGCAGGAGAGGGCCAGGGGGAGGGGGAGGGGGGGAAATAAAGGCTACGATACCAGAAAATGGGGTGGTCGGGATAGGCAGTACTAAGGAAGGCGTGGAGTAGATGTGCGGACTGCAGACTCATCGGGGATGGAGGGGGAGGCTGATAAGGAAAGAGCTGCATAGTGATAGAGGGGTAACGATACCGTGTATGTGGTTTGAAGAAGAGGATGGTCAGGCGCTATTAAGGATTGATGCTGGATGCTGGAAGGTGTGTATACTTTTCGAATCAACTGGTTGAGCTTTCGGTAGATTGGATTGGATTGGAGGAAAGCTGCGGGGCGACGGATTCGGACGGCGGCCGACTGCATCCCCTGTTAAATGCGGCCTAGACGTGTTTGACGACTAGAGAGAGTGGCGAACAGGAATATGTTACGTGGGAGTCTCTGAGAATAGATATACGTCGAGAAATTCGTAGTTGTTAGTGCATTGTCGTCGTGTTTATCCTTGCATCGCACCGTTGTTCGTCAAGATGTTCGATAAGGAATATCTTTCTTTGTGTTGTAGTAGGTAACGTCTTTGTACCTCTGCTCGGGCTGACGTTTGGGCTGTGGCTTAAGTGAATGTCTCTCACGTTACTTGTCGAGAGTTTGGTACTTCGAATGCGGCCTGCGTTATTTGTGAAATGAAACGTTGCGACATTAAGGATGTGATTGTGATTGTGTGCGTTGATCAAGTGTCCTCCTCGCCAAATCTCAGTGACGATACCGATTCTATGTGCGGAGCTGATGCCCTCTTAGTTGGTCAAGTCATTGTCTCTGGATGGGGGAACGTATAAGTTCTTCCTACGATGCTTGTACAGTGTCAATTCTTTCATAAGTGCCATCAACCCTAGCTCTAACCCGCTTTTAGAAAGACACTAAAGATTTGACCCGCTGACGTCACTTTTCGGGAAGGACCTTTCGGCAAGGACGGAAATGTTTACCTTCACTTTGTTTTCCTTCTGTACCACCTTCTCTTCAACATCATCGGCACAACCTCACGTCTTCAGTCGCGTCCACTACCGATTCGATTGCGCATGTCTTACGACTCCACTTATCCACATGTCATTTGACGTACGCGAATGGGCTTCAAAGATAAGCCCCAAGCCAGAATTCGGCGCTCAAGTGGACACCAAGTCGAGCGCAAGTGAGCCCCCAAGGAAACGGGCACGTTTGGTGAGCCTGTCTCGTCAGTGGGAAGGATAATCTCTGACGTTCACACTCAGGTACAAGGTGATACCAGCGCCCGCGCACGATCCCTTACCCTCTCACATTCGCCCCCCTCCACAGTCCTCAAGTCCCCCGACGGGCCCTCTGAACAGCTTGCATCAGTCACCACACCTACGACAAGCCTTCCGCTTACTTCTACAAACCTTAAAAAGCACACTAGCAGCATGCCGGGACCTACGCAGACACCACCTCGCTCCTTAATTTCGTCCTCGTCAAACGCTCTCACAACCCCGCAGACCAAGGGAATCGCGTATGGGGAGCTATCGTCGGTTCATACTTCGTACGTAGCATCAAAGCATGCCAAGGACATCTCAGCAATTGGAGAAAAAATGGCAAATCATGGACTTTTGTTCAACAACAGAGACTCATTTGAAAGGTATCCGGAATTCAAAGAGGAGGTCTTTCAAATCATCGAGGCACCCGCTGTCAAGAATCCAGAACCAAGCTCAGAGAAAAAGTTCAATATTACACATCAGGAGTATGAGCGATCAAACGAAAATACTTTCTTCCATGTCGCTATGCCGATATTGATGAAGGATGGTCACTTCGTTCTGGAAGATGGCAAAGCAGCCTACAAAGACTTCTTGGTCGATGAAGGAATCCGGGTCAATATCGATAGGGAATTTCGCGGGATGTTGTTACCGCATAGATATCGCGATCCGAAATTTGATAAAGAGCTCTCCGAAGCTTTACGGAAGAATGATGGAATGAAGAATAGTAAGCCGGACTGGTGCATGGGCATGTCACTCAGGAATTGCCGAAAGCTTGCCGCAGATCGAACAGCTATGCCGACGCCGTTACCGTCCCACCTCTCTAACCTCCTAACCATCTCCCAAGAGATGTATCACCCTTTTTTCTTGGCTGAGGCAAAAGCGGATGGTCGCCCCACCGCCGATGCCGTGGACCAAGCTCGTTGTGGTGGAGCGACAATCGTGAACGCTGATTGCGTGCTAACTGACCTCATCCTCCATGAGTGGGAACCACGAAGCTACGAAACAGAAAAGCAGCCAATCACTCATGCACGTCAGCATGTCACTAAACCGGTACAAAATCCTGCGCAATCACTATCCACTGGGGCAATGCAATCGGGGCAGATCGAAGATCAACAAGTTCATCCCATGCTCGAGCGCCCGTTAGGCGCGGACCCCCATACGATGATCTTCTCGGCAACTGTGAAGCCAGACCTTGTGACCGTATACGTCCATTGGCGCGAGAGAGTCCTCTTCCCCGACGGCACGATCGACTCGCTCTTCCACATGAACACCGTGTTTTCTCAATCTAACCACGACGAGCGCAGAGCGCTCAGAGACATCCGTCGTGTCTTCCACAATATCATAAAATGGGGCATCGGGCCACGGCTCGACGAGCACCTGGAAATGTGGGACGGGATCAGGGAGTACGCTGTGTGGTATCAGACCGAGGAGCTGCCAAGGCAGCTGGAATTGCAGAAAGGAAACAAGAAGGCGCAAGCACGTGGGAAGAAGAGAGCGTTCGAGAGCGATGAGGCAAGCGTAGCCGCGAAGAAGGTGCTGCTGGAGGTGAATCTGGAGGAGAGTGTGGAGGACTAGAGACAGGATTCAGGGCTATCGCCATACGTGCAAGCCCAAATAGCAGGTCATACATCATACGAAGGGTAGCTGGGAGAGAAGCGATGAGTCTTGATACCCAGGCTCTTCAATTGATAACGAGAGGCCAAATCTGCTTTCAACAGCATGCGCACATTCTCTCAAATCCTGATGTCCCACTGTGTAAGCTAACCGCCAGCGAGCAGATTGACTTCTGCCCTGCTTGGTGTAGGTTGTTTATGAAGAATTCCTCTGATCGTGATCATCATACATAGTGGAGCACACAGACCTAAGACCTCGCAAAAGCCATACGTTACAATCGTCAACGGGCCACGTACAGGCTGCAAGCGGCAGTCTTGCGAACGGCATCACACGTCGTTGAGAATCCACGGCCAATTGAAGCAATAGAACAACCCAGCCTGTCCTATGTCCCGTCCCCTCATTGACCAAACCTCCCGCTACATCTCAACCACGGTTCGCTATTTCCACCTACCTACACATCCTTCAACGCTCTATCCCTCAAAGCATAATCAATCAACTTCCCCGGCCCGGGGGTGATCGCATCAACAAAATCAAAGCCCTCCGCCACGCCCGCAAACCCACCAAACTGATTCCGAACATCGATAACATTAAGCAAGCCCTGCCTACTAACATCGAATCTCCCCATCTGATCCGTCGCGATCTCCCCAACAGCCGGATCCGTCACATATCCATAGACCGCTTCAGCAGCAGCAGCAGGCGAGTATCCACCACTCCTCTGTAGCAGCTGTATCACTTTCCGCTTGTTGGCGGGCTTGGCGAGATAGGCGTTTGCGCGTAGAAGGGCGGTTACGAAGCGTTGGATTGCGAGATATTTGTCGCCGTTGGGGTTTGTGAGCGTGCTGGAGGCGACGGTTAAGACGAGGTCGGACAAGGGGTTTACGAAGTCTTGCGCTCGGGCGAGGATGTTGGGTTTTTGGGGGGCGGGAGCGGCGGCGGCGATGAGGTTCGCGAGGACTTGGTAGGGGAATATGGTTGCGGCGCCGCCGGCGAGGAGTTGAGCAACGCGTTGGGCACCTACTGCCTGGATTTATGATGACGAGACGTCAGTGATGCGGTCTTGTGAGGGCTGGATTGGAGATGGAGCTGGGGGGTAGACTGACTGCGAACGAGTAGTCGTCTGGGTACTGCAGCCCATACAAGCTGAGTATCCGCCTCGCTAGAAGAACGTAACCACTGGTCGGGCTGTCTACCAGTAGCGTCTTCCCGCGGAATTGTTGGATGGAGGTGATGTCTGGGGAGCCGAAGAGAGTCAGGCCATCGCCTTGGTCAGTCTGCGCCACTGCAGAGAATTGCTGTCCTTGGTTGAAGCGCCGGTCGAGGATGTTGTCAATAGTGCCTTCGAGGACATCGAGACCACCGTCGAGCAGGTTCTGGTATGCGACAATCGAGCCAGCTACCCCTGTTTGATTGACAATAAGGCCGACGTCATTGAAGTAGCCAAGCTCGGCGGCGATTACATAGCTCGTCCGATTGCTGAAGGAGCCGAAATTGAGAGTCAATGGTTTGGGCTTCTTGGATGCGCTGTCGGCTGCTGAAGAGCCGAGGGACAACGTCAAGAATAGTCCAAGAAGAGATCTGATTGTAGTGAAAGAAGGCATGTTGAAGAGCGCCGTGGACACAAATTCGTGTCGATCTGCAGGTCTCCTCTTACGGTCGGGAAGAAGGCGACCTTCTTTACTTCCTTATACCCAAGGACGACGGCCATGGCGGAGCGCGCTATAGCATGGCCAAGCACCTTGTCGCGGGCATGTTATGAGATCTAGCCAGATGAGGAGAATTAGAAGATCAAGGTCCCATCTTACCTGCCTCATTGAGAAAGACATGGGCCCAGATACAGAACTGTACCTGGTGGCGTCAAATTCTAAGATGCCGTGCAAACCGCTTACTCGATGAAAATGTCCGCTTCCAGCCTGGAAATGCGGAGAAATTATTTAGCTTGCCGGATAGTCCGAAGTTTGACATTCTAGTCGTGTTTTAGTGTATAGCGCAGCAAGTGCTACCGTGGGTCAATGCGTCAATGCGTCATCCACACAGCATATAGCGTCGATGCTTAAACGTACCCCGGATCTTGCGCTGATCGATCTCCAGGGGCAATGGAATGAAGGCCTCAGAATTCGGTAGTGGCCTCTGCTTGGCTGAGCGAGTACCGGATTGTCGTGACGGGGCTGACCGCCGAAGCAGTGCATCCGTAGCAGCTCCATTAGGACAAAAGCGTTTAGACAGTTTTGTAGGAGGTCTTCAGGTCTAGTGCAGTGGATCAGAGGGCTAGTGCAGTAGGTCAGAGGGCTGCTTTGCGCCACCTGAACGGGATTGTTGGGCAGTAAGACTTTCTGAAGGGTATGAGACGAGTGGGCGATTATGACGTACTACTTCACAGTCCCTCCAACTTGTTCGTGAAGTGCTCGTCGAGATCCTCAGATTGACGACTCCTCTTCGTCCCTTTGCGTCGCTGGTTGTCGTTGTCTTTCACAGCGTAGGTCTTTGTGACGAACCAGGATGCGCTCATGTTCCAAAATGCTAAAGAGTAATAGGTGAAGGCGAGCGGACCGAGCAGCGCTAAGAGGAGAGCAAGGCTTAGGCAAAGTCGTAGGCAGAGAGGCAGCGAGGGTGAGGGTCGACTAGTGCTTTGGTATTTTTGTGTTCTCTCGCATTGTAGACAAAAGGTTTTACGAGACAGTCCAACAAGATTCACCTTCCACAGTCGTGCGTCCCTAAGCCTCATTAGCCTTCGCAAGCCTTCTGTAGCGCGCCACGCTCTTCATTGTGTCGAGTAAGCGAGTATTCTGAGAGTCGCGAGTATGTAGGCGTCAGAGGTAGTGAAATTGGTATATGTCTTGTCTTCCCGTTCACCTTCGTGTTTCTTCCGACCAGTCAAATCACGGCAGTTCGACTTCCTCCGTGCTAGTGATGTGCAAGACTGTCCTCAGGAAAGGCGGGCGAGCGTTGGATCTGTGCGTGGCAGCTGTGCTACTACTCCAGAGTCGAGGGCTCCATCTCGTTTGAGTCTCCCAAATCACCAACCTTTGATACGTTGCTATGTTGGTATAGCTCTGGGTGTTTATGAGCAGTGAACGGTCAGCGTGGATGGTTATGAGGAGTGCAGTGGATCTTCAACTGCCAACTAGATTGTGCTTGGACTTAGGGCTAAAATGCACTCGACGCTTGTTAGTAAAGCTCGATACTTTGGCGGCCGCGTCATGACTAGTGAGGCAGACGTGTTCCCGAGCGACCTTGCGTTTTTGGTTTTGAGCTAGTCGTGTTGTGGGTAAGTATTAAGGGCTGTAGGCCGAGTCATCGTTGCCTTGTCGTTGAAGCACGTTGCGCTTTTGCATGGTCTTGTCGCACAATTTTTCTTCAAATCCGTGGCTGGTCCTAGGTAGGCCAGTGTAAGTAAGTGCAATGGCAAGGTAGTTGAACTGTTCTGACGAGATCAAAGCCGCTACCAGTCTTGAGACATGATATCTGCCATAGGACCTTTCCTCTCCATGCATTGTCCATCGATCAGGTTCTTTCCGCGGACTGAGACACTTTGTGGCCCTCGAGATGTTGTTCCTCAACGAGTCCTCCTATTTTCCTTCGCGTATTGGGGCACGATCCCTCTTGTCCATCAATAAGATTTGTGGAGCCCTCATCCTTGTCATTGCGACGCCCAGCGTGTGTCAGATGAAGGCACTCTTCTCGGACTCTCTCATCGAACGGCGTCATTTATCTCACTTCATGACGGGGGCCCCGATCGGCGACGAGCTGCCAAAGAAAGGAAAGGATGTCTTTCATGTCTGTATGCAGCGGTATGGCGTCGAGACTTAGGAGACTCGCATCATGGCCCGGCGCGCATGCTTAGCGGTGACTCTCCCAGCTTCATCACCGTAGGTTTCGAAGGCATGGCATTAAGGTGTGCTGTTACACGTCCACGCTGTCTCGTGCTCCATCCCTTGTGTAGTACCCTGCGATATGATCTCTTTATTGATGTAGCCCTCAGGTCTCAAATAGCTTTTGCCCACTTGTTCTCCTCGGAGCCACAGGCGTTCGTAGGTCGCAAAATGGTTGGATACTGGCTCTGCTCTTCGCAAAGCTTGATACGACAGGCTGTGTGTGACAAGCGTCTCTAATCATTGAGGAAGGTGGAAAATGGGGGTGAAGCCACAGAATTGGGCCGCGTGAGGAGGGTCTTGCTTAGATAATTGATAGGCGATGGCTTCTACAATAAGACCACCGCGACTGATCGCGATGTCTTGTGATGCTGCATACAGTGAATGAAGAATGTGATTGGTGTTGGACATGAAGGGAATTGCATGGTATTTGTCTACGGCGCCAAGCAATCCGGCTGCAATACGGAGAGGACATTACGTCATGTCTTGCGCGAAAAACATTTGGTCGAGGACTCTCTTGCTGTCTCCTAAAGCGTGCTAGTCCCCAGGCTAGGCTCACCGAAAAGGCTCTCAAGACTTGGTCCTCGATTGACAGCGTCTTACTGGCATTTGATTATTTTTTCGAATCGAATCCCTCGTATCCTCGGATTGGAGTCAAGCAACGTTGCGACTGGTACTTGGATTACCTAGCCCTCCGTTTCTCCTGGACTAGCTCTCCTCAACCCGGATTTGAGGATTTTGCGGAGGTTATGAACAAATTAATTGAATATTTCCGTGATGTCAAGCCCAACACAGATCGCACACTCGGCGCTATCTACTAGCATAATAACGGGTTGACGATACAGATACTTCTAAGCAAAATACCACACCTGAGAATTGACGTGCCATCAGTTCCTGGAGGGACATTAGGCGCTGAATTGGACGTCTTTCCTACTCGGCAGCTTCCTCTCTCAGATTGGACCGATTGCTTTCTTCAGATGCAGCACAACCTCATAGCAAAAGGACTCGATCAGCCAAGCAAGTTGAGCGATATAATTAGAGCAAATTGTGGAAGCGTTACCATCAAAATTTTGATAATCAACACGTTGCAGGGTAAATTACAATATAAATACGTACAAGCCGCCATGGTCAATGCACAGCTTCACCTTTCAGCGCGCCAGGTAGATCGATCTATCGCGGCCAAAGGATGGCTGACCTGTACTGAGCCACAGACTCAACCATTTGCCATCATCGTTGTAGGAGAGAACCTTCGACAGTACGCTCCAGAGCAAGTATCTTTGACGAATGCGACGGTAGCCGGCAGCTCTCCAGAACTGATACAGGTATCATGATTGCTAGACTATAGGAGAATATACGCCATGGCGCAATATTTATTCAAAAATCAGTTCTTCACGTACCGCGCCTGTGACAACGACCCAACGACACAGTATCGACGATCTCCACGGGTGAAAGTAGGATTTATTACCTATGGAGCTATCCAACGTGTGGTCTAAGAGAATTTCCCAAGTCTCCCGATCAACGTCGAGTCTCAGTCACGATGGGACCTTCAGTCCATTTCGATGAGATTATAACCAATGCATAATGATGACGTTGCGGCGACTGCGACTTAACTCAAACAGTTGTACTCTATAGGTCCACCATCTTTTCACTGGGCAAGAATTCCAAAGCATCGAAAAAGACTGGACGCAACTCATAGAACTTCTTCTTCTTCTGCATGGACTCCAGCAGAAAGAATAGCTGGTGCTTGTGATCGCTCTTTTTTATTAGTTGTTACAAGACAGGAGATCTATAACTTTTTCCCTCGTATCGTACATACCCCCTTTAGCTTTTATGTCTTAGATTCACACGATTATTCATTACCCCCCCCTCCCCCCCTCCCCCCCTCCCCACCTCCCCAAGATACATATTCTTTACTCATAACTCATGGAAACATACCCCACCCCCACTCCTATATAATAGGCGTCGCATCCCTAACACAAGGCCCAATATGAAACGCATCATCCCCCTCCGCGGGCGCGCTGACCCCATCCGGAAAAATCGAATCATTATTATTCAAGCCGAGCGGACAAAGCGCCTGTTGCGCCGCATTGGCCTGATTAGGGGTCGCCTGACTAACAGACGTGAACACGGTGCATTGGCCCTGGTATAGGTAGTAGGAGAGGCAGCCCTGCGTGTTGAAGCATGCGGTGCAACATGTCGAGATGTTGGCGTTTCCGGCGGGTTTTATGGATTGGGAGGGGAAGTTGTTGGAGCTGCTGCCGAGGGCGCCGGATGTTTGTGAGAGGATGGAGGGAGCGCAGAGGGCTGGGAGGGTCGCGGTTGAGGCCACTGTTGTTGTGGTTGTGACGGTGGAGGTTACCGTGTTGGTTGCGGCTGCGGCTGTCACGGTGGCTGTGATGGTCTATGTAATAAGAAGGAACGATGTTAGCGATCGTGAACATCTTGGGCGCGGAGCACACACTGATGGCCAGGCGGTTGTGGTGGTGGGGGAGGGACGACTTACGTTAGCGGGCAGAGTTGTGCTAACGGTGGTCGCTGTCGTCGTCGTGCTGGCGGGAATCGACAGACAAGAGCAGGCCTTTGACACTTGCGCCGCGCCGAATGCGGCGACGTAGGCGGGAAGCGTGGGACCCGCCCGTTTCTCTTTCGCGGCCGCGGCGGGCGTGTACCGGCTGTAGATTGTAGCGGTTCCGCTGGTTACGGTGCTAGTGACTGTTGTGGTTGTCGTT